CTAAAGAGATAAAAGGTATACAGTATATACACTGTATATGCAACAACTCTCTAAGAAAAGACTTCTTAAAGCTAAAGTACATATATATATTGATGATGTTTGGTATAGAGAAGCTACATGTAATGTATTTAATGTTAAACCATTGCATTGATAGGTACTAGGGATAGTGGCAGGAGTTTTGTTACAGGATCACATTGTGAGGATGTCGGAATTCCAACAACTTCCTTATCACAGGATCTTTATCATGCTGTTCATTGAGCTGAATGCACCAGAACATATCCTAGAAAACATTAACTATCAGGTCCTCACAGCATTCTGGTAAGAACATCCAAAGATTATGACCACTGGCCAGTTTATAGGTTTTATGTAAGGATATGTACATGTATAAAATATGCAATCTAAACATATATATAAAGATTTACTATTATTTATAGCAACACTTTCCACGTGTTAAGACCTGCCAAATCACCTGGATTTTCCTACGCATGGTTGGAGTTTATTTCTCATCGGGTCTTCATTGGTCGTATGCTTGCTCTGACACCTCAACAAAAAGTTAGTTTATGAGATAAATGCTTGCTGATTTTCTGTAAACTCTACATACATGCATATGAAACTTTTATGTTTAAAAAAAGGCTGATCTGGAAAGGCTGCTGAAATATGAGTTGTGTACCTTTTGTAGGGATGGGGAATGTATGCCCAGTTGTTGATTGATTTGTTCAAGTTCTTGGCTCCTTTTTTGAGAAATGCTGATCTCACCAAACCCACTCAGATGTTGTACAAGGTAATTCATTGTTTCTGAGGGATACTTCTAATGTGTACACATGTATTTATAAACGACTAAGCAAGAAACTGTTTAAGAAGAGTCCAATATAAATCCAATCTTCCCATTAATAGTTTTCCTCAAAATTTTTTGCAACTTTATATCAAATATTATTCATTGCTAAAAGATCATCATACAAGTATGTTTATCTGTTAGTGTGAATTTGATTGTTACCTTTTGTGAAAGTCGTGTAATTTCTCACAGGTAATGGTGCATTATAATATCAATGTTTTGAATGTTTTAGGGCACACTTCGGGTTTTACTGGTCCTGCTCCATGACTTCCCAGAATTCCTCTGTGATTACCATTACGGATTCTGTGATGTCATTCCACCAAACTGTGTTCAGATGCGTAATTTAATTCTGAGTGCTTTCCCTCGGAACATGAGGCTTCCTGATCCCTTTACCCCTCACCTTAAGGTAGACATGTTGGCAGACATCTCAAATCCACCTCGCATTCTCATCAACTTTGCAAGCAAGATACAGCCTGCTCAGTTTAAAAAGGTAAGGTTCAAAGAATTAATATGTGTTGATTTTACAGGTAATCCTTTATCAACTCATCTCTCAATAATAAGGTCAAAAACAAAAAATGGTAGGTAGGGTGACAATTAGAGAGCAAATACAGTGCATGTAGAGTATCAATAGGCAAAATCAATGGTAGGGCTATGCAGTGAGAATATTGAGAACACTTAGTCGATATCTTAAGAAGAAAGAATGATGGAGAAGTAATTCTTATGGGGAAAGGGATAACACTGGGCTTTTAATTGACTAGTGTTGCATTCAGTTACTTCGGAGTCATCTTTGCTCATGGAGGGACCCAATTTTATTGGTCAGCCTTACCCATGAATTTAAATCTCCATGAAACAAAATTGTCAACACTTTGGTTCACTGAGTCCTCTGGAAATAGGAGTTACCCATGAACTTATATCCCTATGAACTAGTAAAATTTTGCTTGCACATGAATATTGACCCCGAAAATTAAAATTATTTATTGTTAGAATGATGTTTTATTGGAATTGGGGCTCAGAAGGGCAGATTTTGGATTTGAATTGTGTAATTTTCTTTGCAGGATTTAGACTCTTACTTAAAGTCGAGGTCGCCTGTGACATTTGTATCAGATCTTAGAAGTTACTTACAGGTAAGTCCATTCTGATGCTTGATATGTTTGTACATGTACATGTATTTCAAATTGTGAAGCATTGTAACTTGCATTGTATTAACTCATTCAGCCCCAGCCACTCTTATCTACACAGTGCCTCAACATCTGTTATCAGCATGTGCCCCAGAGAGATTTCAGGAGGATGCTTAGCGCTTGATATAAACAAACACATGCTTTGTTTACCTCTGTATCTCTTAAATTATTCCACTTATATCAATACAATTTTTACACAACAAAGAAAACAAAATTCTGAATTCATCAGTATAATTTTCTTCACAAATAATGGAATATTTTTAGTCATCCACCATTGTGTTTGTAATGCCACGCTTGAAAGTAACACTATACTTTCATTTTCCATTGTTTCCTTTATTTTATGAATATTTATAAGGTAAAAGTTAAGAAAGACTTGTTAGAACCTTTCTGATTGGATAAATCACAACATTTCTGGCTGAAATCCAATTATTCAGCCAATCAGAGGACTTTTTCTAAACCCTATGTTGGCTTCGCCTCCAAGCGGGATCGGCCATTCATAACATTGTAAACAACACTACTGTAGTCGGTATCGGCCAATAGTGGTATGATAAATACCCCGCCTGTAGTAGGGATCGGGGCTGAATGAGTTAACTCTAGTTTGTATATATATTTTATAACAGTCCAGTGAGCCAGGAACACGGTACAACATTCAGCTAATGAATGCTTTAGTGCTCTATGTGGGAACACAAGCTATACAGTTCATACATGGAAAAGGCCTGACTCCCAGTATGAGTACAATTGCCCATTCTGCCCATATGGACATTTTCCAGAACTTAGCTGTGGCCTTAGATACAGAGGGTAAAACCAGCCTATTCATTATATGACTTATTTAATGCATTATAAATGGGGTGTTATAATAGAGAGAAACAGATTTTGAAGCCAACAGAATTCATTGAATTTTCAAAATGATGAAAAATACTGACAACATGGAACAAAGTATATTTTATTGTTGATATTTTATAGGTCGTTACCTGTTCTTGACTGCCATTGCTAACCAGCTGAGGTATCCCAATAGTCATACCCATTACTTCAGCTGTACACTTCTGTACCTCTTTGCAGAAGCAAACACCGAAGCCATTCAAGAGCAGATAACAAGGTAAGATAAAAAGTCAATTCATTCAGAAGCACATCTTTATAATCCAAGTGCTCGATACTGTAGTTGATGTTTAATTATGTTTCTTGGTTTGCATGCATTGTCAATAAAGGGTGTAACATACCTTTACAGTTCAAATTTCTACTTTCAAATTTTGAAATAGTGTTTGCTTTAATATTAAATACACATTTGTTCAAATAATGGATTAAAACCTCATCTTATGTTGTAGAGTTCTTTTGGAGAGACTAATTGTGAACAGGCCGCATCCCTGGGGACTTCTCATCACCTTTATAGAGCTGATTAAAAATCCTCAGTTTAAATTTTGGAATCATGAGTTTGTCCATTGTGCACCTGAGATAGAAAAGTATGTACCTCATGTTTTTGTTGGAGTCCTCTTCATAACAAATATACAAGTCAATACAAATGTGGTTTTTTGAAAGCCTCCAAGTAGCAAGTGTTTGAAATAAAGAGATGAAGGTTTAGTAATTGTAACAGTCTTATTTTTCTAGTGCTTTTTCACGTCAAGCAAATGAAGAGAATACATATTTAAAAGGAACTAAAGAATTCTATTGTTTAATATTTATATGTATCTATGCATGTATGATGTCATTGGAAGAAACTAAAAAAATTACAAGGACATGGGTTTTGTAGCAATTTTTGTCTTATTTCAGGTTATTTGAATCCGTTGCTCGATCCTGTATGCAACCAAAACAGAATCAACAAGCTTCCTCAGGTTTACGAGAATCCGAGACAAATGAAATGCATTAGTTACTGGACCCACATATCCGTCATTGCTTGATAGGACTGAAGTAATGCTTGTCGTTGTGTACGGCTTTTACTGTCTACAAAGACTGCACCGATCATTATCTGGATTTATATTGAGTGATTAATTTATTTTGGTATTTGAAAATTTGCCTTTCAATGCACTGAACTTGATCATTATCATGGTAGCTGAATGTACCCAGTCTTTCAACCATGACATTTGTAATATGGAGGCATTCTTGTCGATGTTTGTTTTATCTGCAGTGAATCATGTCTAGGTGAACTAAGGGTAGATAACTATGAGAGCTGACATAGTTAAGATTACAACAACTGTGTTGTTATAAATGGAAACTGAATAACTTACAAAGCATACTGTATTTTGTTGATTGTACATATTTTCCATTCTGTAATATAAATTCTTATATATATTTGTGTACAAAACTTTAAATTTATCATCCATGTGAATGATTGGTGCGCCTAAATATATACCTGTATAATAAGGAGCTGAAATCATTGCAGTCATTTATGTTTGATTTTTGATTAAATATTTACTTAAGTGGGATATGTGCTTCAATTACTTGTACAATCATTTTAACCTATTACACACACATGCAAAAATTTAATTTTCACCCCCATGCTCTTTTTAGGTAACTTGAGTCACTAAAATTCTTTTCAAGAACAGGAAAGCCTTATTAGTCATATTTACATGGAAGCATCCTCAGGTACCGGTAGTTTAGATTCAAGTTTGTTCAAATCATGACCCCTTGGGGATAGAATGGGGCTACAATAAGCAATCAAAGTTTTATGTAGGAATACAGTTGAACCTTGATATCTCGAACACTGATATCTCAAATACCATGGATATATCGAAGTGATTTGGAAGTCCCAACCACTTATTCTTGAAGTATTTAACCCTGATATCAAAAATCCTCGGATATATCAAAGTTTTTTCTTGGGCCCATTGAGTTCGAGATAACAAGGTTTAACTGTATATAGGTAAATGGAACTGCTGATAAGAACAAGAAGGACCATAGTTACTCAGGTGAGCATTGTGGCCCATGGGCCTCTCCTTTTTCAGACACTGTTTGCAGTTACATCTCCAGAAAGTATTAATTTCCAATTAAACATTACAAAATTGAGACTTGAAAAAACAGTTTTTATTGTTCTTCAGTCCAGTATGGTTATAATTTCACAAAATTCAAACTTGATTGCTGACTGATATACGAAGCAGTTTTTGAAAAAATCTTTCTTACATATACATACATGTTTGTCATGGCAAAATCTTACAGAAAGCAAAATTATTCAGAAGAATAGAAGTAAAACAATGTTCTCAAAGATTCAAAACAATGATTCGCAAGATTAAAGGGATACCAAAAAATATTTCAAGACTTAATTACAGTATGCTTCAAATTCAGACTTCCTGAGCAAGAAATGAAGAAAATCATTGAAAATTCGTAAAAAAAAAAAAACACGATTTGTTCGTAATACACTGATGCACCTGTATGGCAGCTTATGGCGAAGGTTAAAGTTTCTTAAATGCAAGTCAAACTCCAAGGTCAAGAAATCAAAAATGTTGTTACCCAAAGAAAGGACTTGTGTCAGTGCATATACCTGGTAAATATGAAAGCCACAGCACAAAGCTATCAAAAGTTATGGTCAAAGTTATTTTTCTAAAAGTAGGTCAAACTCCAAGGTCAAAATTAATGGTACGCAGGGGAATACCTTTTAATTAGAAATACACAATTAGATATACACATGCAAATTATAAAAGCCCTAGCACCAACTGTTCAAAAGTTTTGGCAAAGGTTAAAGTTTTCAAAAGTAGGTCAAGGTCAAAATTGTTGGTATCCAAAGGAAATCTTGTCACAAGGAATATACATGTACCTGTGAAATTTGAAAGCCCTTGTACTAACTGTTCAAAAGTTATGGCCAAGGTTAAAGTTTTTTAAAGTGGGTCAAACTCCAAGGTCAAAAATATTTACACCCATGGAAACGTATTTTCACAATGAATACACATGTGAAATATGAAAGCACTAGCACCAAGTTCAAAGTTTATGGCCAAGGTTAAAGTTGGGTAAATTTTTGCAAAAGTGGGTCAAACTCCAAGGTCAAGAGGTCAAATATGTTGGTACCCAAAGGAAGGTGTTGTTACAAAGAATGCATATGTGAAATATGAGAGCACTAGCTCCAACCACTCAATATGGGCTATGTGAAAGGTTTTGTGGACAGACAGACGGACAGGGCAAAAACTATATACCCCCCCAAATCTTCAATTAAGGGGGTATGATTATATATGTATTCCATCTACAAAAATATATATGTATGAAAACGATGCATTTGTAAAACAATAAAAATGTAGGACATGAATTCCCCACCCAAGGTAAACTTGTATTGCAACATGAAAAGAAATGTACCATTATCAGTCAGAGATAATATTAAAATATGATAGTTGTTCAAAATGAAGGTAGTAATAATTTTATATTTTTTTCATATACATAACTCTTTACTATGTTTAATGCAAAACAATTAATACTGAGGTCAATGTCATATGGAAAGTCAAGGTCAGCAAATTTTGACACAGTTGAATAGCTCTTATCAATTTGTATCTATGGAGTTTGAAGAAAAATTTGAAACATAAATGCAAAACATAGGTAATCGGAGATTAAGAGCTCACCTCAACGAAGGGTGTCTTTTAGTAAGGCAAAGTCCCAAACTAAACTATTGATGTAGTAGTGTACATCCCAAGATGCAACAATTATGCAATTTTGATCTGGTGGGGCTTGCAGTTACTTGGGATTGATGGACTTGTCCAAAAACTTCAAACTAGTCACTGATCCAGAAAATGTATTCAAATCCAGCATCTGAAGCAAGTTTGAGATTGTTCATCCCTTGATGCATCATCAATGCAAGTTTGGTTCAGATAGGCCTTATAGTTTCTTGATAATGGATCTGCACCAAAAACTTTAACCTGGTCACTCAGGCCAGAAAATGTAAGTCAGATGATCCAGTATCCGAAGCTAGCCTGGTTAAGTGTGTATCCTTAGATGTATCATTTGTGCAAGTTTGGTCAACATAATTAGAACTTTTAGTTACCTTAGAATGAACCTGCTCCAAAAACTTTAACCTGCACCAAAAACTTTAACCTGCTCCAAAATCATTAATCTGACCATTCTTTAGCTGAAATTACAGCATCTGAAACTTGACTGGTACAATGACACATACTAGAAGCATCTTCCATGCATCTCTGACTAATGTAGGGCATAGAACTACATGTAATTAAAAAGCAAACTGCACCAAAAACTTTAACCTGGGATGCGGAGACCGACACCAACACCGAAGGTATCACATAAGCTCCTCTCAACTTTGTTGTGGTGAGCTAAAAATGAATAGTGAAGGTCAAGGCCAGAAAATTAGAGAGTTTAGCAAACCGTGTACGCGTACGTGTAGCAAGGGTTCCCCCCCCAGAAATCTGTGCATTACGACATATATTTTGCTTTTCACAAAATTCTACATGTATGCACTTACTTGTAAATTGCTGAGTACATATAAGTCCAAACTTGTAGCTTATGTTTCCTTATCTGTAGTTGTTTTCAATAAAAGTGTGTTTTTCTAAACCTGAAGATTTGATGCAAATACTGATATAAAGAACTAAACGTCTAAAAAATAAAATTACAATTATATAGAGTGTTAAATACACAACATCTAGATTTTAAAAACAGACTTTGGTGGATTAAATTATAAGAACTCTTTTCAAATTATTTCTTATAAAATTTAATACATGCATATATTCATTAAAAACAGTGATATACATACATGCAATAGATTTCATGTGCATTCTAATGATTTTTAATGATAAGGACTTCTAGTACATTGAAAATACTTACAAGTACACATACACGTTATACATTGCTAAACAAGAAAAATAATGTAAACGTGTACTTGAAATTCTAACTTGTAGTTTACAAGTACAACAAGTGAGCTTGATAAACCTCTCTATTGACACAGTTGAATGGCCCTGACTTAGTATGTATCAGTGCAAGAGTTTTTTGATATGAATATATCCTTAACAATTGATTTGAACAAGACATGAAATAGGTAATAGTAAGGTCAAGGTCAGAAAATTATGCCAGTTTAATTGCTCTCACCAATAAGTAGTAGTGTATGAATTTTGGATTAAAATCTTTAAAACTGAGCTAAATGCAAAGTACATGTTTTATTCGCAAGAACTTTATTTTTGCATAATTACGCAAGACTGTCTACTCACAAAAAAAAATTATTTTCATGTAAATTATATAATGAAAGATTATATAAAACAATAACCAAAATTTGTAAAAATGTTTTTTTTTTAAATTTTTGTGATCTTCAGTATGACGGACAGACACACGGAAGGATGGAAGACAGACATGTAAAACACTATTTCTCAGCCATATTCATGGTGGGGCATAACAAAAAAATGTAAATAAATATATCTACAACAAACATCTCTCACAAATACATAATTAATAAATACATAATTAATAAATGATCTAATCCATATCCACTGTTTATTAAGCGGGGATTATTTAGAAGAAACCAGCTACTAGCAATTGTATAAATGAGGGTTGCTGTAACATATACAAGTGTGTCTTATGAGACAAATCTATTCAATTTGTGTCTCTGACTCAAATACATAAATTCTACCCGTAAAACAATCTTTTCATGTTAATTTTATACCCAAAATAAAAATAAAGGCATAAAAGTGGGTTATCAGTACTGGAAAAGCAATATATATGTACTCTAATGTACCTCCAATTCTAAATACAGTGTTTATTGGGCACTATATGGGCTTGGTTGGATTACTTCTAAGGAATGGAGAAGTACTTTAAGTCAAGGTTACTACCAAGGTCTATATTCTTTGACTAGCAAGTGTGTTATATAGTCCACAAGGAGAAGCTCTCATACTAGGGCACTAATTAAACTATTAACTGCTGACAGAGCTTTTCACAGCTAGAACATATATGCATATATTACTTTTTTTTAACAAAACGTATGTAAAATTAATTTAAGATTTGGTGGGCGTGGAAGTTCCTTTCACTGTGGTTCGGTGTAAAATGCGCAGGCCCACTTCTGATACGGGGTACTGTGTCTCGGGTGAGGCCTCATGTCCCACGGCCAGGTTGTCAGAGATGATGAAGTCGCCTTGTTCCCACTGTAAAAAAACATACATGAACATGTAAAACTTTAAAAACATACAAGAAATGTATAACTTACTGGTATTCCAGCTCAATATTAAAATAAACACACTGCATGAAGAGTTATAATTTTCAGCTCTGGTGTATTAAGGAACAGAATAACACTAGGACTAAGTTAACTTTTATATGGAACACACTGTTACTGTCCTACATGCTATACAAACTATTATTATAAATAACTATTAGACATTAATCCCTGTGCACACGGGTTGATGAAGATGTTAATCAATATGATTAATTTATATTTCAAAATATTTCGGATTTCAGATATTTTTGAGTGGGTAATACCATCCCCTCATTTCTTAATTAGGAAATTTCAACTGGCCATGGATTTTTAGAATTTTCTTAGTGACCTTGAATTTGCCTCAGATGACCTTGGATTACAGTCAATACACATTGAATTTCTTATATCATATGCAATCTTCATGCCCATTATGAGCTTACACTGTTTCTCCATTCCAAACTTAGGGCCTAGACACAATTGCATGGACAGGCAGATGAACAGGGTGATTACAAATATCAAAGCTCACACATATATCATAACTGCCAAATATATCTCTAACTTCCTTATAAAGAACATTAAAGCTAAAGACATTAATACAGAATGACAGATTTTCAGTCAGGACAAAAATATCACACCCCCTGATCTCTGATCTTGGGGCATAAGAGCAAGCAGACACATGAGGGAATAAATATCCTCTTTATCCTTATCATTTAAGTGTCCTAGTAAGTTTACCTTATGTGAATAAATCAGTCTACGATTGTCTTTCTCGATTTCTTGGTGGATCTCCATTAGAATGTGTTTGGTTTCAGGCCAGTCTGTCATTCTCTCTTTGTCAGTCCCAGCATCCCACATAAAAGCATCAGTCATTCCCAGGTGAAAACACAGAGTCTGCAACAAACATGAAAATTCAGAAAATTTGTATCCCCATCCCTTTAATAAAAAAAAGAAGAGGGTGGAAGAACTGAAAAAAGTATGCAGATGTAGAAATGTAGAAAGAAAAAAGGTCAACCCTAACCATTGAGCTTTTGACCTTAATGTCAGTAGGGGTCTTTATTAGGTTAAAGAAATTCATGACCTTATGTTTCATTGCAAAAGCTCATAGAGAACTAAGGTTATCATCTGAAAATATGTACATTGTATGCAATTGCTGTAAAGAAAAATATTGGATGGATCCCCAGGTTTTTTTTTCAGTTTAAAAAAAACTCAAAACCAGGAAACCATTTTAAGCAAAATATGAATTTTTCCTCTTGACCTTTTTATCCAAAAATCAAACAGGGTCTTCCTTAAGCTATTATATAAAACTTCATAGAAAAAGCTCAAGGAAAACCAAAGTTATCAGCGGAAACAACTTTTTGCATTGTATGAATATCTGACCTTGACCTATGACATAAACATCAATAGGGGTCTTTTTAAAGTCTATAGGAGATATGATACACATGTATAACTTCACTGAAAAAGCTCAAAGAGATTAAAATTTCTCATCTAGAAACCATTTTATGCCATATATAAATTTCTGCCTTGACCTTTATCTTTTGACCTCTAAACCAATACAGGGTCATTTTAAGGCCATAAGGAGTTGTAATATGAAATTTCACTGCAAAATCTCAAAAGCTTCTTAAGATAGGGTCCAGAAATGAAAGTGTTACACACAGACAGAATGTATGAATTCCTGGCCTTGACCTTTGACCTTTTCACCTCAAAATCAATAGTAGTCTTTTTTAGGGCACAAGGAGTTGTGATAAATTTCTTTGCAAAAAGTTTCAAGAAAACTGAAGTTATCACTTGGAAATTGTTATTTGCATTGTATGAATTTCTGATCTCGACCTTTGACTTTTTTACCTCAAAATCAAAAGTGGTCTTTTATAGACCATAAAAATTGTGATATAAAATTTCATTGCAAAAGCTCTGAGTTTTTAAGATACTGTGAAATAACTCATTTTTATTGGGGGTTAATTTTCGTTGTTTTTGTGGTATGAATAGTCCCACTAATTCATGTCCTCCATGAAATATAAATTTCAAATGTATAGCAACTCTACACTTTGTCAACCATGAAAATCAAGTTCCCTCAAAGAGACCAGTCTAATTATCAGTGTATCATGAAATATATATCAAGTAAGAAGTAAATAATTATGAAGTTCATATTTCAACTAGAAGACTTTCTTGATTGAGATAACAACAGATAGCAAGAGAAGCTTACTATTTATTTTTTGAATAATAATGAAATAATCCAGTGATGCGGATTGACTCCTTTAAACTTTCAGAACTTCAAAATACTACTTGCCAATGAAAACAATATTTAGTCAAAGTGGTCAGTAACCTTATGTCACTGCCATGAAATAGTAACTTACTGGTTTCTTTGTGACAGGGTGTGCATATATTAAGGGGTGTGTGGACTTTGAGCGACGATCACTGACCATGTACAGCCTCTCCCACCTGGCTCTTACATCTGGTTGTAGACTCTCAATCAAGTCTGTCAGTGGTACAAATGCTGTAAGCAACAGAGGAAATGTCCATTGCATGTAAAACAAAATTTATTGTTATACCTTTATACCTTTAAAAATTGTTTCCTATATAAATCTACTCTAAAAGAAGTCTAATATTTCCAATGTTTTACTGAGCAGTCAAAAAAATCGATGTAGGACCATAGAGTGAGATAATGGACCTGTCAATGAGATAGTAGACCACTACGATGTTTTTTCAACACACGGTAATCGGGAACAGCTATATCTTATCAATTATCGCAAACATGAAAGCCAGCACAAAATATGTCAAAATAAAAAGGAAAAGGTAACAAAACATTTATACTTTATAATGACTGCATGAGTGCTCAGGCAAAATGTGTTTTGTCAACTCCTCAAACCAAACTGTTTGCCTTCAGCCTAATGGCCTTAGGCAAACTGTTTGGTTTTCCAGTCCGACAAAATGCATTTTAATTGCCCTCTAACCCATAAATGTATTATATTCACACATCAGAAGGTATTTATTTTAATACTTTACAAGTAAGTACTCTGGAAATCTAAACAGCTTCATGATTAATAGCAGGAGTCAGAAATGCATTTAAAAAATGTGTGGCGGAGAGATGGGTACGATCATCGGTGGCCAGATAGCTCATGCAGTTGGTAGAGCACCTGACTGGAGATTCAGATTCAGGGGTTTGAATCCCCGTCTGGTCTATCCATTTTTCTCCTCTCCCATTACATTTGGTGCTGTGCCATGCCCTGGAAGTGACAGGTGAAAGACCTGCCAAGGGAAAGTCTGGGTTGGTGTCTTCGAGGGCCGAAGACTTTTAAGGAGGATGGAATGTACATGGTGATCAGATGGGTTCGATTGCCGGTAGCCAGATATAGCTCAGTTGGTAGAGCACCTGACTGGAGATTCAGGGGGCCCGGGTTCAAATCCCAGTCTGGTCCATTTTTCTCCTCTCCTGTTCACAGGTGCTTGAGGACAGGACCTCACCCCCCACCCCGATATAGACCCCCGGGCCTTTTCGACTTTTTTCTCTTAAATTATCTTTCAATGATATATTTGTGATATAATATATACCAACAATTGGAAAAATTAACTAAAACAAACATTTTACAAAATTTACCCACTCTCTTTAATTTATATATAGAGTAGGGTAGTAATTTTTATAAAATGTTTGTTTAAGCCAATTTTCCGAATTGATGATATAGATTATATCACAGATGTGTCATACATATATAATTTATGAGGAAAAAAGTCGAACAGACCCGGGGTCTATATCGGGGGGGGGGGGGTCCTGTCCTCAAGCACCTGTGCTCCCGTTACAAATGTTTGGGTGAATGTCTGGAAACAATGACAAACCTGTATCCCCACTTTTGGGGACTGCCACCATGTGATAGAGTGACAATTTGAATGGCTCTCTCATAAAACTCCCGTCAATGTGCCATCCCGTCCGCCCCACATTCGTGCACCCCTCCTCCTCGTTATTTGACACACGAAAAACATCAGGATGAGGCGACCTTGGGTGTTTGTAAAATGTGGATTCCAAGTCCCCGAACCATTTACTTATTTCCACATGACGATCACCGCCGACAATCCCTTGATTTTTGAATATCAATAAAACATGTTCATGTACTTCCTTCTTAATTAGGTTAATCACTTCCTCTGACACCGGTTCATTCAAATTGACATCTTTAACATCAATAATCTTCCCAAGTTCCTTCATGATGTGAAAGAGAAAGTAGACATTCTGGAGAGTTCCATAGATAAATTAACTTGCGCATAATCTTTTCCAGAAACTTTTGCATTTATTTCTCTAACTTATAACATTTAAAACTGTGCTTTGATCTTTTTTTCTTAAGTAAATGATTACATTTTAAAATAAAAAAAGAGACCCATGGGCCACAAAGCTCACCTGATTCAACCTTAACCCTGTTACGTTCTTCACTTACATGCCTAAGTTGCTGTCACAGGCATTCTGTTTGCGTATAAAAAATTACCCATAGTTAATTATAACAATATTTTTCATGATCATACTATGAAGGTAAACTTTTATTAGAAAAAAAGTGTCTGTGCAAAGGTCCGAACCTTTCCCCAGGACCATTTGATTCTCTGCTTTATCTCATCATTGCATGGAATTCGACTCCAGCATAGTTATATAATTTTTATTGTGGCTCTGCTGTTCTTAAGAACAGGTTATTCCAATGTAAAAGTTAGATCCCCGGGTATTGTGACCTCATTATACCCCTGGAACCATTCCTTACAGAACAAGAGGCCCATGGACCACAATGTTCACCTGAGTCACCTTGGCCCTGCTGGTTTTTAAGGGATTCTCTCCTCCTTATTCATCTTTAAAAAATAGAAATAAAAGGGATTTTTTTTTTTAATTTCTTCTAAAAAACACCTTTTTTGTCAATTTTTATGTCAACACACCCCAGCATGGCCAGTGACACAGTTCAGTGTTGTTCTGAAAATTTACTCAATAACATATCTTTAGGCTACATAATACTAATTTGTGATTAAGCATTTCTGGCTGGCGTGATTTTATAAAATAAAGAATATTAAAAATTCTTACCTGATTACAAAATTAAAACTTTTTTGAGAGAAGTTACATCACTACATGTATCATTGTAAAGAAAAACAACCATGTTTTATATGAAGTTTTTCTATCTTATTTCTGACACAGTTAATCTTCCAACAATTAATCTCACAAATCCTTGAATATTTAAAAAAATGGATTTTTAAAAAAGTTGAATCTTCATCAAGACATGTAAATCATTTCAACAAATGGAAAAATTCTTCTGGAAAGAACTGTACCCCTAAAATTTAACTTCCTCATAAAATGTCCTATAAAGAATAAGTAAGTACAGTATAGTTATGAAGATATGATCAATTTATTGCAATTCACAAATTCATATAATAAAATATTTCACAAATATTTTGAAAATACATGCACAGGTACATCAATCTAATTAAAATTAGACTTGTAATTTTCGCTCCTCTACGATATGCTTCAATGTATTGAAGCGTATCGTAGAGGAGTGAAAATTACAAGTCTAATTTTAATTAGATTGACAGGTACATGTATCATGTTTCTACAGAGAAATGAATTCTCCATACAGTACATAAAGCTCATTCAGCGTTAGAGTAGTACACTGATATATGTACAGGATGTTCCAACACATCCTCACAATCGATGACTGCATCATATAGAACCCATGAACACATAAATCATTAAATGATTAATAACTAGGATATCTGACTTACAATGTACATGTCCATCACAATACATGTATAGATCAAGAATGACTTCAATGTGAATAGAACAAGCTGCATCAGAACATAATGGCAGGCATCAAAGGATTTTTTTTTTCAAAGTATAAATTACACAATATACAAAAAAAAAAACCCCATAAAATTCTTTAAATAGATAACACAGATTTTGTCCATCATTTAAAAAAAGGATGCAAGTTAATTTAGTAAGACAAATCATATGATGACACATTAGTTTCCTCCCAGATTTTGGCCCCTCCCCCAATGATGTCTTTGATTATCCGCGTTATTATCAGGGGCCTGCCGACGACTTGATGGAGGTATTCCGAACCCTGACATGCCACCTCTTCTGTTTGGAAAATATTTGTACCTGATAATCAAAGAAAAGAGTTATTAATTTAGTTTATTGATAGATTCTTTACCTAACAAATAGAAACTTACATGCATGGTGTTTTACTATACACAATATTGGTCAGTCTGATTCTATGTGCTTCTGTTAAGTACAACTAATTTTTTTCCAAATGCTTTCAAAGCTTTGAATATTTTCATTATTGTGTAATTGAAAAATCTAGTGGTCATCTTGATAAACCGTAAGTACAATAACGGTTAATAATTCTGTCATCTCTTATTTAGAAAATTGATACATATTTACTCCAAATGAAATTATTAAATTTAAAAATATGGAAAACTTCTTTTTTGCAAATTACATGTATTCCATAATCAGGTAATATTTACATTTAAACACATGTTTTTTACTTGTGAAAATCATTGCCAGCATTTTGCAGTACATTTAATTCTCTATTGTTTATATTGCAGCATGTGTTTCTTACAAAATGTTGGGTACTGAAATAAGCCTTGCTCCTCCAAAGTCTTGTGGATATTTAAACATCAGAAAGAAATAAAGATGCCCCACGATGATTCCAACAAGTTCCATTAGACCTCTGTAAAATAAAACATATATTTCTCATTTACTTAATCTTACTACTTTCAGGCTTAATCCTTTTTAACCTTGAAATCAAACCTGAAAAAAACAGAAGTCTCTGACGAGACTGTAGCTCTACTGGTTGTACTTATAAAGGAAGATAAAAGTAGCACTTGGTCTTCAAACTCTGCAACAGCAATACATAGAATAATGATCCTTGGTTTAGTCTCTTTTTGTGGCAAGATTTATTGCAATCAGACTAAAACTGTAGGAGGAGTAGCATTTTGAAAGTATTTCAAGAAAATTTCTATTTTAAGTAACCATGGCAACACTGTTCATCAAAATCAACAACTGGTACAGAGAATTATGTATCTTAGTGTAGTCTACTTGTGTGCCAAGTTATAATGAAATCAGATCAAAACTGTAGGAGGAGTAGCGTTTTGAAAGTTTTTCACGGAAATTCCTTTTTATAGTAACCATGGCAACAACGTTCATTGAAATCAAAAACAGATATACAGATTTATGTATCCTTGTATAGTCTACTTGTGTGCCAAGTTATACTGAAATCAGATCAAAACTGTAGGAGGAGTAGCGTTTTGAAAGTTTTTCACAGTAATTTCTATTTAAAGTAACCATGGCAACACCGTTCATTGAAATCAAAAACCGATACACAGAATTATGTATATTAGTGTAGTCTACTTATGTGCCAAGTTATATTGAAATCAGACCAAAACTGTAGGAGGAGCAGTGTTTTGAAAAATTGTTTACGGACGGACAGACAGACAGACAGACGAACGGACACCTTACTATCGCATAAACTCTTCTGGTCTCTGACCAGTAGAGCTAAAAACTGCCTCAGCTCTGTTTTTACTACCATTTTCCATTGAATATGAGTACCATACAAAATTTAATTATCAACTCTAATGTTTTGAATTTCTTTCACTATGAAATTATATAAATTGTTCATCTTTTTCAAAGAAATTCCACATATCAGGATTGTTTCTTTAATACAACTGTTTTCCAGATCACAAGTATCTGGTACATGTATCAGCTCTTTGGCTATAACACAGTAGTTACACTGTATTTCTTTTACAGTCTATTATGATTTATATAATCTCAAAAGCTGTGCACAAAAGACTTGTTACCATAAAATATGAATTCAGTACAGGCAAGCATAGCACCTTTTTATTTTTTTTTGGGGGGGGGGGGGGGCAATAACATGTTAGATGATGAATATTATTTTATTGCTCATAAATGTATCAAAACATTGGAAGAGGTGATGCTATGCAGCTTTTTTTCTTTAGAATCAAAATTTTATACATTAATATGGAGAATGGCCCAATATTTGATGGAGTATAAATAATATCCTGATAGAGGCATGACAATATCCCAGTTTGAGCTATATGGACCACGGGTATCAGCCTAGGTAGCTCAGTGGTTAGAGCACCTGACTAGTAATTTTGATTCCCTGTCCAGCCCTATATTTTCTTTATTCATTCTTCCTGTTTTTCCTACTACAATACCACAACCTGTGCACAACCTGCACTAAGTGCATGTAACCATATGTTCAAAGAAAAATAAGTCCTAATTAAGGTTTAGTACTGAATTTTAATGTAGACCTTTGAATGAAAAAATAAAAAAAAAATAAAGGACATTTTTCTTTTCTGAAAAGTTAATGCTAGTCTTATACCGGTAAATTTGTCTCCATACTATGATAACAAACTGAAAATTAGTAGTATAATCAGAAAACTTACCCTTGTCCAATAATCATATTAAAGGCCAACAGGACCCAAGGGAGATACATTGCCTGAAAAATAATCACCAAATTCTAAATGATGAATACAGAGAACAATAACACAGTAGTAAAAGATTCATTTTGTAGGATTTCATTGGAAATTGTTAACCTCTGGACTTCTGACTCAAACAGAAACATGCAGTAAGGACCAATCAAAATCTCAATTTTATGACCTTGACCTTTGATCTCATAACCCAAAACCTTTTGCTCTCTTCATTTGACTAACCTCCACCTGTGTGGAGAATATATGGAAAGACTAAGTTGAATAGAAAGCAAAGTTATAAAATAAAATATTTTACTTATTACATATTGATAGTCTTATCTTCACTGTTTTAGAGAAGAAGATTTTTTAAGATTTATTCCTGTATATTCCTTTGTAAAACTTTGATCACCTATTATGGCCCCACCCTATCCCCAAGAGTCATGACTTGAACAAACTTGAATCTACAATATGTAATAACGAAGATTCCATATAAGTTTCATCTTCTCTGGCTCAGTGGTTCTTAAAAGAAGACTTTTTTTCACTATTTCATAATTACCTCCCTTGGAAGAGGGCCTGGTTATTCATTTGAACAAAACTGAATCCCCTTACCCAAGGATAATTAGTGGCAAGTTTGATTGAAATTGGCCCAGTGGTTCTTGAGGAGAAATTGACTATGTGAAAACTTTAGAGACAGACAGACAGGTTGACAGACACCAAACAAAATGTGATCACGTAAGCCTTCAGCTCAGGTGACCTAAAACTGAGTAATGTGTCACATACAAGAGTTAACAGAGTGACATTATCTTGACCTTCTGACCCTGACCTTCAACAGTGTACCAAAAATCCATAAACGTCTTCCTTTACCCATGTTCTATTTATATCACTGTGCTTAAATCACTGAAATATATCAGAGTGCTTGTGTCAATAACAGGCTGACTAAAGGATAAACGGACATTGCGATTTATTGTACTGGACTCCCTTATTTAATGTAGAGCGCTATTATGAAAAAACAAACCTTGAACTGAGTTCCAAACCAGAAAGAAACAATCATATCTTTGTTAAGTTGACACCAAACATACAGGACACTTAACACCATGGGATCCATTAAGAGCTACAAGAACATCGATAAACACATTTATAGATGTGTAACATTCGTGTGCTAAGCATATTTCCTGATTTAAAGCTCCCAAAAAATAAATAAATATTGAAGATAAGGTTTTCTTTTTGACATTTTTTCTGTGTTATGATTCAACAGTACTTACCCACATTTCTGCAGCAAATCCAATTATCTGTTTATAGGGTTAAGGATAAAACTCATAAAACATAAGGAGAAATAGTAATTTTACAGAAATATGAAATGAATTTTTTATAACAACAAAAAATTGATAATACATGTAATTGTTGTAATTCTCCAAGTACATATTCATTAAGGATACAACAAGAGACAACCAGTTGAAGATCAGCAGAAATGCCATCTCTGCAGGTTTCCCATCGAATATACCTTTTGAAAATAAGATGTATGACAAACTAAAATGATCTCATATATTTAACAATGGTAAAAATAAGAATAACAACATGACTGTACATTGCCATTTCATAGTATTTTAATTCTCTAAGAATAGAGGGAATTTTCTCCCAGGGCATTACTGAACATTGGTAGAATATTATTTCTAATTTCTGTGAACATGGGAAAAGCTACCACAGTGTGGTGATACACAACTTAGTCAAGAAGAACATTGGTAATTTGAAAACATGTTTAATTTTTATGAACCTGTTTCAAGTCTTGTAGAATAAGAATATAAGAAATAAAGGTTCATCAGATAGTGAAATCCACTGGGTCCAGATATCGGGTAAAATAAAACAGCTGTCACTGGTCTCCAGATCTGTAATTAAAAGGAAATAAGGAATTCAATCTCTTTAGGAAAAGTTCAGCTTATCATTCATTAACCAACTCACTTAACTGTGTGCAATACCTTTACATTACTGTAGATTCCTTCTTATGTTGCCTGCAGAGCAGAATGACACTTAGGGATCACTTTACCCAGCGTCTGTCTGTCTGTCTGTCTGTCACACCTTATATCTTGAGAACGGTAAGAGATATGAATTTGATATTTTGCACATATTTTGCTTGGAACTATGGCTTTTGTAAATTTCAATACTAGCTACTGACTTTGTGACACTTGACCCTAAAATGTGACCTCTTCAAAATATTTCATAGTGCCAATATATAGCATATTTTTTACATTTAAGAGGTAAGTCTGTGCCATTTAGCATGTGCACCGTTTGTCATAAAACATCATAAAAAAAATATCAGCATTACAATCCATTTGACCTTGACCTACTTTACAAAAAATCACTGGACAGTTTAATTTTACTTATGACATTTGAATTTGAGAGGCAGGGTTTTGATAATTAGCATTTAGTTTACCAGCTCATGATACTGTACTATGAAACTGATGATATTCAGCTACCACACAAACTCATATTTAAATGCTATGAAAATACATCAGGATATATTCCACAATGGATCATGTAGGCTGACAATTTCAGTAAAGACACACTGAAATCTCTTTTGGAGGATTTTTGGAAACACATATTCATAAAATGATAATTATTTCTAATAATTTCAATTAATTATTTATTTGAGGGTCGTGAAACCATATTTTTTTATTGTCAGATTGTATCGCAGTCTAATACATGTAATATCCATGGATGCCCTTTTTTCCTTGCAAGCAAATGCATGAACTATCATGCTAGTGGTTAATATATAGATGACCACTCTAAGATTTATTTTAATCTTTAATAGAGCTACAAAGCAGGCAACACAGGCATTCCTTGGAACTCTCTAGTTATATGCAAGTACTTAATAATCACAAAAATGACTTGTAGACATCACAAAATATGAGTTTGTGAGTGAAAGTTTTTACATGTTCTTCAGCAACAAAAAATTTAAAAGTGTGCAATTTAATTTTGGTAGTGGTGCTTCTCTTAGTGACAATAAATTCATCTCTTGGTTTCATCTGTTAAGTTGACTAAGAGCCAGACTGAGTTAGGTTATGGGTTGACTTGATACATCAATGGCATAATGAATTGATTTAATTAGTGACATATATATATCATGTTTATATATGTCTCTGATTTAATCTTAGATGAAAGAGAATTTACTATAGTATAATAGAGCTACAACAATTCAAGTACAATTCAGGTATCTCACAATTTTCAATGCTTATACCACAATTAGATTATTTTTTATTCAATTAAAAGGTATCAAAACTCTGATAATACAATAAAGAAATACAACTCTCCTGTTCTATTTCCTTATACTTTTAAACATGACAATCTGTTGTAGAGATGTACTATGTTTTCATTTCAAATGATTTGCCAGGTGTGTGTACAGAGGTAAAACAAATTTATCTATCGCAGCATTTCAGTATTCTTTGAGGCCAAAATATTTCAACAGCAGGGACATAAGGTTTGCTTCTTGGTTCTGCTGGTAACCATCGTTTTTGGTGTTATAAAATTGTAAAGACCAAAAACTTAGATTTCTTTCATTCCAGAAAAATGTAAAATGAATTGCATATAAAAGATGGTGAATTGAGACAGCCCTTAGATTACTAAGTTGGATAATTCTTTTTGAGTACTTTATTCTTTTGACATCAATCACATTTCTGAAACATTCATAGACTGATGAAAAGAGTATGACAGGACACACACAAAAAAAACATTATTGTAATGGAACACAAAACCAGTTTTCATCAACAATATTATTTTGACAATTTAAATCCACCAAAATTTTTCTATGTGTTTCAAAAGAACTTGAGAAACATAATTCAACACTTAATTAATTTACCTGGAATTTGTAAAATACACTTTCGAATATAAGAATAAGATTCCTAGGATTAATTAGTCCAAATCTTGCCACGAGTGGCACCACCACAGAACCGGTAAACCAGTATTTTGTCATCTGAGGAATTCCTCGATACCAGTCCCCTATATCGTTTGAAGCCATCTTTCTTTTTGGTTATTTTCTGACGATTCAACGTCCTCTAATTGGTTTCAAATCATACAATCTACAATTTTTTTTAATCTGACGTGTCCTAAATCAAAACAAACTTGGTTTCACAAACCGGAAGTATAATATGTAATTACTATTATATTTGCTCAAACGAAAAAGAAAACGACAAATTGATTAATAAATATTATTTAAATGTGTATGTTATTTGCATGCATTATAGAATGCATATTTGTTTTTTTAAAATATGTTATCAGTTTTATTAGTAGTAATACTAATTCTAAGACAACATTTTAAATTTCGTTTTACTATTTAAATTGCTATTTATAGCGCGTCAAATTCAATAACATGTTTGGTCTCGAAACGGTACACAAGTTCATGTGAAGCATGTAAGTAATTTATTTTTAATTCAAAATTGTTTTATGTGTTTGAAGCTGAACTTTGAAACTTAGCATGTTTGATTTTAAAACAACTATTTTGAACCATCCTCATCAGCATGACCAGAGATAAATTACTGTTCAGTGTTCTTGAAAAAAATAAAAATAAAAAAAATGGATAAATAAATGTTGTCGACGTCCTTTCAAAAGCTTATCTGACTTGTGCAACGGGTTGCAAATAAAAATATGTGGAAAGTATTATTTCTTGCCATATGTCTCTCACTCTGACTGCAAATTTTATTTTTAAAAAATCTTTGATTTCTAAATGTAGCTAATCCACCTAAAAATTAAAAAGAGGAATTTCAATGCAAATCTTTGATTTCTAGGAAGTTAAGTCCATAGAATGAAAAGAATTAGCATTCTATTTAAGGAATTTCACACAATAAACTAAATATTGATGCCCCAAAATACCCAAACACTGACAGTCTGTGACCCAGGAGAGCAAATCAGGGAAGATAACTACCAGAAGTATTTCGAGCGCGATTGAAATTAAGCAAAATATAGATGACTGAATTTAAGGTTTGAGTAATTTTCAAGTTAAAAAAATTAAGAAATGTATTTTAAATTGCAAAAATTTCCTTATATTTATAGCTATTTTGAGCTGTCAGCACTTTATTTTTTTCAAATAATGAAATACCAACTATGTCTCCGATCCTGATGAAGACAACATTTTATAAAAGTCTGTGCACATTTGTGCTACGTGTTGGGGACTTCGTTTAGTCCTGAAAAAATCTTGAATAATGTTTAAAATCGTTAGAAAGTTGCAAATTTGTGCAAACACTAAAAACGTAAAGACAATCTGAAAAAATAGTGTACATGCTACACTTCTTATTCAACGTACATTTTCATCAAAAATGTTCTTATCAAAATAATTTTTTTCTATCTAAAACATAAGATTATATCGGAAAACAAAATAGCTACTTACATAATCTTTAATTCTGAACTGTCCTTAGGCAGATAGATCAGAATATTCAATTTACTAACATTGTTTACTTCACATAACAAATTCGAACGGTGATGGCCGCCAGGTCACAAACACAAGTTATCTAACTTTGCAAAAAATGGCGTTTACTGGATTAAGCTACTAAATGGGCCTGGACACAGATTTAAAGTTAATAATTTCTCAATTTTTCTGTATAATGTCATGACTTATTATGTTGCTATAGCATTTCACATGGAAATATGATAAAAGCGTGTTCAGAAATTTCTTTTTTCTGGAAATAATTGAACCTACGAATTTTGGGAGGCGTTTGTTTGACACATCCTTGCACTTTCACAAAGTAAAAATTATCCTTTATACTTAAGAGAAAAATTTTGTAGTGTATTAATGAAAAATATTAAAACTATAATCCAGAAAATTCATAGTAGAGTGAGAAAGCAAAACCAGCTCACCTGGCAGTATTGTCAGTCTGTGCTCATTGATCTGTGCAGAGTTAAAAACAAATTTTCATCAAACGTAAACAATAACAATAACAGAGCTTGTGCTCTGTTTACAAAAACAGATGTTTGATATGATGTAAAGAAGAATGTTGTTGTCATTGAATTCTAAGAATATTCATGTAAGTTCAATTTGTTTAACTGGTTTTTGAAAAAGCGTAGAAATTTAATATGTAAACAATGCAACTGTGTCCAGGCCCCTTTAAACCATAATAGATTGATTCATGTCCTGCTTTAAAGACTTTGAAGTAAAATAATAGTTGATTTAAAATAATTTCATCATCATATGATATTTTAAATCTACAACTTTTTATACAGAAGAAGGGTTTCAAAGAAAATGCAGTCTTTAGATGTTTGTAAAAGAACATCAGGAAAAATTTGGCACAGAAAACCAACTCCATCAACAGATAATGGGTAAATATGCATTTAACACAGCTAGTAGACTACATGTCAAGAGATCAACCCAGATTCAAATCCTTGTGATGTCAAGAGAAATTATACTCTAGAGTATTCCTATGAGAAGCATCTAGGATTCTCCAGAAGAACTGATGATTATTACATTTTTTAACATTACCATGAAGTGGTGATGGGTTCTCAAAGAGAATGGTTAATTCTGGACTTAACTTAGTGTCAAATATTGGTTATAATTGGTTAATGGGAATTTTTATCTGAAAATGTTCTTAAATTCTAGAAGCATCCCAAAAAAATTTCAATGTTGTTTAATTTCTAAGAATGCTTCTAAATTTAGGACTCTTTAAATGGCTTCATTTTTAGCTCACCTCAATGAAGTTGGGGGAACTTATTTGATACCATTGGTGTCAGAATCCCATTGAAGTTAAAGTTTTGGAGCATATTTTTTTTCAAGTACTTCTATGCTCTATATTAATCAGAGATGCATGGAGGATGCTTCTAGTGTGTTTCATTGTACCAGTCAAGGTTTTAGATGCCTCAATTTCAGCTAAAGATTGACCAGGTTAATGTTTTGGAGCAGGTTGAAGTTTTTGGAGCAGGTTCATTCTAAAGTAACTTTTAGCCCTATGTTCAATGACCAAACTTGCATAGATAATACATCTATGGATACACACTACTGTGCTAGCTTTGGAAACTGGATTTGAACTACATTTTTTGGATTAGTGACCAGGTTAAAGTTTTTCGAGCAGGTTCATGAATTGACTCTAAACCCTATGCTAACTTACTTTGCATTGAACACTGTAAACAAGTGAGTTGAGCAGACAACACTTTGAGCCATCCAGCCTCGTGTATTTATTATTCTATAAGATCAACATACTTATTTAGAATACAACCCAAGCCCCTATAAATGTTACAGTTAAACATGCTTATAACGAAGTGCCAGGGACGAACTATTTTAATTCGTTTTAAATGTAATTTATATATCTGTTTACTGGTTTTGATACCATGGGGAATGAAAATTACTTCACTATAAGCTTGAATTCATTATACATGTTATAAGCATGTTCACTGTAACCCTGTTTTACTGTATATGAAAAGGATGAATGTTAATTTATAATTAGTTGGGATAATTATCCTTTGGATTTAAGTCTAATGACCCTCTGATAGAAGAAATAATTTTTGAAAGAAATACTTCAAATATATCTGATGATTTATTTCATCAGGTGATACTTATTCAGCCTAACTAATTGATTTTCTTATGAATCAATTATAATGCTTTTGTTGTTGATGAAATTCATTTGTTTAGAATTTTTAAAAAAAATTTGGATGAAATTTAGAACAGAGGGTCATTAGACATTAAAACATTTACTTAGTAGCAAGGAGTCCTGGTCTTGAGACCATAAAATGAGAACAGATTTAAGTCATTTTTAACAATATTTGAACATCCTGATTTTTATTTTACATAATGTGTTTTAAACAATGCAGGTTCTTAAAATTCATATACAAACATATGATGAAAATCTTGTTTGATTATCAAGATTATTAAAAAGCTAATTTGTCAATTTAATTTTTTTTTACCTAAGTCTGTTCACAGGTTATGGTTTTAAGACTGGGCCAGCTGACATGTTTACACTAAATTAAAATCCATTTGAAAAAAAGAGAGAGTTTCAGGGTAGAAAATATGAAAATATTCTAGATACCAGTACTGTGGGTGCTCAGATGTAGAATTGAATGTGTATTTAAAAGTGATCAAGAAAACAAGAAGTGAATTATATGTAGTCATTTTGATAATCTAGGTTAATGGTTTCAATAACCAACAGTCAGTCTGGACCTTTGTCACAAAATGGCAGGAGTATAAGGTTTTTACACACATCATTTGATAACACTGGAGATTGCTTCATAGCCGGAGATCACCAAGGAAACATTTTTTTATTTGATCTCAACAAAAACAGGTAAAATTTTAAAAAGAACATTCTGCATATTTCCATATAGACTTGAGCTTATTCTGTGACATCTTGATTAAATATACAATGTATATATATGCAGTTACCTATTTCTTAAATTTTTGGCTATTCAGAATGACTATTTTGGTTTTTGATTATTTCATCAGGTTTGCTCTGACACAGAAATGTGGCCATCCCTGTACAGCACTAGCCTACAACTTGCGCAGAAAAACAGAATTCCTTGTAGGGTTATCAGACTACTCATTGAAATGTTTTGATACAGGTACGGGAATATAAATGTATTGATATTAATCTTGAATGTCACAATGTAGACAATAAAACTGTTGGCTGTATTGAATACATGTATTTAGCATATTTGTAGTCAAATTTAATGATTGTACAATTAATATAATTAAGTATTAATTATATGTGTATGTAGATTGTCAGTATTCAGTAAAATCTGATGATGAAATCTTTCAGATACAAAAGAAATGGTAGCCTGGATGAAAGGTCATGAATCTGCCATCAGTAGCATATCAGTCCATGCCTCTGGTAGATATGCCCTCACAACTTCCTTTGATGTTGCACAGCTTTGGGATTTAGACACCTTTCAGCGCAAACGAAAACTGAATATCAAAGAGGATGTTGGTATTGTGCAGGTACATGTATTTATATAGTTTATCCAAACCGTAAAGTATTACATGTACATCTGAATTTATTTACAGCAAGTGCATTTTATTCAAGGCTGTGTTTCAATTTTAGAATATATATAATTGCATTTTAATTACCTAATTTCATACAAAATTAAAGGAATACATTAAAATGTTGGTATACAAACTTCTGTGCTCTTTATTGTAAATCTTTACTCTGCATGTCTTTATTAATTTATTTTATAAAAATAGTTATTGTGCTGTGCTGTGTTTTGGTAAAAGTTTGATTAAAAAACATTCTCCTTTTTATATATGTAAAATAAAATTGAAGCAGACTGCAGTTCTAATATTTTTTGTCGTATTCCAGGTGTTTTTCCTGCCCCTGAGTAACACCATCATCACAGGTTTTAAGGATGATACAATATTTGGATGGGAGTCTGACACCCTGAACTGTAAATACCAGCTCCCTGTTCCTCCTGGCAAATCCCCCCACTATAAGGCATATGCTCCTACAAGGTACGTCATTCAGTTATTTCTGATATGGAAGAAATCTGATTAATACTTGTACATGTCTGATGAAGGTAATGTTATTGTAATACTTTCCTTTCATCATTTGTATGACAGGGATGGAAGACTGTTAGCAGCTGGAGGTAGATCCCGGTTTATTCATCTTTGGGATTTAGACACTCATAGACTCCTTAGGATTATAGAGTTACCGATTAAAGTCACTACCGTCAAACAACTAGTGTTTCTACCTGATAACTTTGATGCAGGAGCTAGTCAGGTTTGACACTTAACTGTTAATCAAAAATTATAGTAATTTCACCTGAAGGTGTGAAAAAAAGGACAAATTTTACATTTTGAATTATATGTATTTTTATATGATATTTCTATTGATTATACCCAAGTTGTCTCTAACCTGAAAAAAATTTGTAGACTATAAAAGTGATAAAATTCTTCTATTTCAGACATTGGGGGTGTTAAGCCAGGATGGAATTATTCGATTTATCAATATCAACACTTGTAAGCTTTTATTTGATGTGGGAGGGGTTGAGAATAGGATTAACAATGTGACGGTCAGTCCTGGGGGGCGGTATTTAGTGGCCATCATGGAGGATGGAAGCTTACATGTCTACAATCTACACACCATGTCTGATGAACTCAGCAAGGTAATTTGTTATATGCTCTGTACGCGTTTTGTATGGTATCATGTATCGTGTAGGTCGTCAGTAGATTAAGATTAATACTAAAGTATATATACATTCTCAACTGTCCACTCAAAGTCCTCTTGGATACACCATGAACTCTAATTGAGCTTCCCTTCTATTTTTCTACATACTAATTTCTGACTATAAAATTTTCTGAATACTGACATTGTATATGTCTCATAAAGGAAAAATGACCAATATAATAGAGTTTAATGTAGCTTTTGCATTGGTAGACTAAGGCAGTTGAAAAGTGGATTATGTTGATTTCATTGTAAACTCTACTACGGTTTTAGCTTATTTTGGAATTACCCTTAAAAAAAGAGAAGATATTACCGGTAAGCTTATTTTAGAAAAAAAAATTACCCCAGGCCAGAATGCTTATTAGTTTATTAATAAACACAAGCACTTAACAAGTTAATGATAAGATATAAATATTGTATACTTTTGAGGAATAACTGTCTAATTTTTAGCTCACCTGAGCCAAAGGCTCAAGTGAGCTTTTCTGATCAAAATTTGTCCGTTTTCTGTCGTCGTCGTTGGCGTTGTCGTTGGCGTTGTTGTTGTTGTAAACTTTTCACATTTTCATCTTCTTCTCAAGAACCACTGGGCCAAATTCAACCAAACTTGCCACAAAGCATCCTTGGGTAAAGGGGATTCAAGTTTGTTCAAATGAAGGGCCAAGCCCTCTTTCAAGGGGAGATAATTAGGAATTAGTGAAAAAATAATGGCATCATTTAAAAATCTTCTTCTCAAGAACCACTGGGCCAGGAAAGATGAAACTTATGTGGAAACATCCTCAGGTAGTGTAGATTCAAGTTGTTCAAATCATGGCCCCCGGGGATAGGGTGGGGCCACAATGGGGGATCCAAGTTTTACATAGAAATATATAGGAAAATATCTTTAAAAATCTTCTTCTTAAGAACAGTAAAGCCAAGATTGGTCATATTTATATGGAAACATCCTCAGGTAGTGTAGATTCAAGTTTGTTCAAATCATGACCCCTGGGGGTAGGGTGGGGCCACAATGGGGGATCCAAGTTTTACATAGAAATATATAGGAAAATATCTTTAAAAATCTTCTTCTTAAGAACAGCAAAGCCATGATTGGTCATATTTTTAGCTCACCTGAGCTGAAAGCTCAAGTGAGCTTTTCTGATCACATTTTGTCCGTAGTCCGTCTGTCCGTCCGTCTGTAAACTTTTCACATTTTCGACTTCTTCTCCAGAACCACTGGGCCATTTTCAACCAAACTTGCCACAAAGCATCCTTGGGTGAAGGGGGTTCAAATTTGTTCAAATGAAGGGCCATGCCCTCTTCCAAGGGGAGATAATTAAGAATAAGTGAAAATTTGGTGTCTTCTTTTAAAAATCTTCTTCTCAAGAACCATTGGGCCAGAAAAGTTGAAACTTATGGGAAACCTTCATTACATAGTGTAGATTCAAGTTTGTTCAAATCATGACCCCGGGGGGTCGGGTGGGGCCACAATGGGGGATCAAAGTTTTACATAAGAATACATAGGAAAATTCTTTAAAAATCTTCTTCTCAAGAACAACAAAGCCACAATTAGTCATATTGATATGAAATCATGCTCAGGTAGTGTAGATTTAAGTTTGTCCAAATCATGACCCCCGGGGGTAGGGTGGGGCCACAATGGGGGATCAAAGTTTTACATAGGAATATATAGGAAAATTCTTTAAAAATCTTCTTCTCAAGAACAACAAAGCCACAATTAGTCATATTGATATGAAATCATCCTCAGGTAGTGTAGATTTAAATTTGTTCAAATCATGACCCCCGGGGGTAGGGTGGGGCCACAATGGGGGATCAAAGTTTTACATAGGAATATATAGGAAAATTCTTTAAAAATTTTCTTCTCAAGAACAACAAAGCCACAATTAGTCATTTTGATATGGAATCATCCTCAGGTAATGTAGATTCAAGTTTGTTCAAATCATGACCCCCGGGGGTAGGGTGGGGCCACAAGGGGGGATCCAAGTTTTACATAGAAATATATAGGAAAATATCTCTAAAAATCTTCTTCTTAAAAACAGTAAAGCCATGATTGGTCATATTTATATGGAAGCATCCTCAGGTAGTGAAGATTCAAATTTGTTCAAATCATAACCCCCTGGGGTAGGTTGGGGCCACAATGGGGGATCAAAGTTTTACATAGAAATATATAGGAAAATATCTCTAAAAACAGTAAAGCCATGATTGGTCATATTTATATGGAAGCATCCTCAGGTAGTGAAGATTCAAATTTGTTCAAATAATAACCCCCGGGGGTAGGGTGGGGCCACAAGGGGGGATCAAAGTTTTACATAGAAATATATAGGAAAATATCTTTAAAAATCTTCTTCTTAAGAACAGTAAAGCCATGATTGGTCATATTTATATGGAAGCATCCTCAGATAGTGAAGATTCAACTTTGTTCAAATCATTACCCCGGGGATAGGTTGGGGCCACAATGGGTGATCAAAGTTTACAGAGGAATATATAGGAAAAAGTCTTTTTCTCAAGAACAGAAAAGCCATGATTAGTCAAATTGATATGGAGGCATCTTTCGGTAGTGTAGAATGAAATTTGTTCAAATGAGGGCCCCCGGGGGTAGGGTGGGGCCACAATGAGGGATCAAATTTTTACAAATGAATATATGGGAAAATAATCTGCTGCTTAAGAACAACAAAGATATTTGTTATATTGATATGAAAGCATCAATCTAATTAAAATTAGATGTTCTGAATCCGCTATCGCTTCTCAAACATCTAACAACATCCCATTCGGGGTCACGTCACAGCGACCTTTCGATTACCCAATGAAATCGCCGTCGTCGAAATCTTGGCTCATAGTTCGGATGCGTTTCTTTTTTTTACTGCCAAACCTAAACGCCCGAGAGGTTTCGTAGTAAACAAAATATGCATGGTAAAGACCGTGCTATATATGAATGTGACTTGCGGGATATATAGTAGTTTGTGCATTTTCGTTTGCGTTATTCAGGTAAGAATGTCAGATTGGCGGACTATACGTTCAATTTATACCAAAATTACTTTAATTCAACGTAAGACAGTCTACTGAGCATCAATAATATAGAGATGTAGCCGTGGAACTAATTTTAGAATTGAATACAGAAGGTTGAATCTGATTGGCCAAATTTTTATGTTTATTCATAATCGAAAGGTCGCTCTGACATGACCCCGAATGGGATGTTGTTAGATGTTTGAGAAGCGATAGCGGATTCGGAACATCTAATTTTAATTAGATTGTGAAAGCATCATCAGGTAGTTTAAAATTCAACACCCCCCTCCCTGTAAACTTTTCAATACTGTACTGATTTTTGCTTTTTTTCCTAGCCAATGTGCTCAGGTGAGCGATGTGGCCCATGGGCCTCTTGTTTGGTTTCATGATGTGATCAGTCGATTGGCTTGCGTGATAATTGCATAAACGCTGAAGGCGTTTATGCATAAAATTATCATGCAAGCCAATCGATTGATCATCGTCATGAAACCAAAAAATCTGACAATTATTCCTTATATTTACATGCTCTTGATTCTGCGAATTCACGTGCTACAAGCCCCGCTTCTGTCTCTATTTGTCCCGCCCCGCACTTGATTTTTTTTTTCACCACGCCTATTGATGAACCAGTAGATTTATGTAGAAATAAAGTATTTTTACTAGTATTTGAAATTTTATCTTGACAAAGACAATGGAAATGTAAATATTTATTCATACATTTAGCTTCTAGTATATTGAGCGTCATGGAGTATATAACCATTTAATGAAAAGAAGTTCTTTTCAGCCACCGGCTCCTCTGGTCAAAGTGGTCACCAACAACAAGATGTCAGAGACAATGTCCACTGAGAGGTCATCTATACTCAAGAAAAACCGGTCAATGTCAGCTCCAGCCAGGGGCAAAGAAAACCGAGAGGAGTCAGATATAGAGGTCAATATCAGGAACTACTTTCTACGTAAAACAGAATATTAAAATCAGCTTATGTTAAAAGGACCAGCATGTTCTTCTCTCTGTTGGTATTCATGTACTGTAAAATCTAAAATTTTGTAGTCCAAACAACAGAGGTTTTCTGTTGAACCAAGTACAGAGAGTGGATTTTGTTACATTCAAGACTACTGTATAATACATGTAGTTTGGATTGTGTGTGAAATCAATTTAAGAAATAATTTGATGTATGTCTGTTGTAGAAGGAGCTTCCAGAAACTTTAAATGCAGAGAGATTAAAGGCCATATTAAAGGGTTATGGAGAATACCCAGCCAAATACCGAATGTTCATTTGGAGATCTATTCTACGATTACCAGAGAACCACACAGCGTATGCTGCTCTTGTTGACAAAGGCACACATCCAGCATATGCTAAAATTCATGAAGACTACCCTGTCAAAAGCAGAAAACTGTTACGCATCTTGCAGAGGTACGCATGAGTTCTTTATTATATAATGGTATCCTTACTTTGACTTTTAAACACAAATGTTCAAAAAAGATATAAATAAAAAAATACATATTGTATACTGGTACATGCATATATAATGTTCATCAAGATTTAATCTCTAACTTTTGTACTTATGCCGTTTGATATTTTATTTACAGGATATTATCTGCCCTGGCTCACTGGTCCCCGATTTTTGGAGAAACCCAGTACCTTCCTGTTTTAGCATTTCCATTTGTCAAACTGTTTCAGAATAACCATCTTGTTTGTTTTGAAATCTTAGCAACATTTATGGGTAGGTATTTTTTCCCAGTATGGGTATATGAGAATGAAGGGGATTAAAGTTTGTTCAATGTATCTAAGAGGAGATAATAAAAAAGGCAATAATAGGGCGGGTCATTCAAAAATCTGCTTATCAAGAAAAAAAATCCCTTTCACCAAAATACACTGTGCCAAGTTTGGTTGAAATTGGCACAGTGGTTCTGAAGAAATCAAAAATATAAAAAGTTAGCAGATATACAGAAAATATAAAGGAAAATATCTTTAAAAATCTACTGCTCAATATTAAACATTTGGGCCATTATTACCAATTGCCCTGGGGTTTAGATTGGGTCAAATATTCACATTGAATAGAAACAAGCAAATTCATAGAATTGTGATACCCAACTTTCAGGGTCTTATCGGTTAGGTGAAATGATTTATGGCATATTGTAACTGTCTTGTCATTCTTGCTTGTCTATCCATCATGCAGAAAAATTTTGGAAGCAACATGTTCTAGTGCAAGAGTTACAGCAAAGATTAAAGTTTTTGAAAGTTCAACTGGTGTAGATCATAAAGTCAAAAGTCATAATACATTCAGAAATGTCTTGTAATTAAATTAAATTGTGCATTTAGTAATAATGAAAAATATGAGAGTCCCATCTCTTCAGGTGCTAAAGCTACAGCCAAAGATTAAAATTTTTGAAAAGGAGGTTAAACTTCAAGTTCAAAGGTATTGTCATAGGAAATGCACTTGTGAAATATGAAAGCCTGTCTTCTCTCATTCAAAAGTTATGACCAAAGTTAGTTTTTTTTGACAGACAAATGAACAGAGGAATGAAATTTAATGTCCCCCAGCTTTTGTGAAAGTAGGGCACAATAATACACAGAAAGAGGTTTCCAGTAAGTAAGCCTAGGTCAAACAGATAGCACTCTCTATGTATCATGGTGACATGCAGATTCATATTTGTTAAACTCATCACCCCTGGGCCTAGGATGGAATTTAATGGGCATTTTACTAGGTAAATAATAATAAAATTTAAGAATAGCAAGGCAACACTTATTCATATTTATATACAAATATTCCCAAGTTATGTGGATTCAAGTTTGGCTTAAATTATGGACACTTGAATTAGGGATGAGCTAAAATTTAGTTTATATAATACATGCATATAGGAACTAGAAATATGTCCATAGGACATGAATGCCCCAGCGAGTGTATATTAGTAATAAACATGAAAATTTTTATTAGTGTATGAAGTTTGATGAGAATATCTTGAATAGTTTTTTTTAATTAAAATCGAAATCTAAAAAAAAAATTGGATATCTAGATGATAAATTCTCACCAAATTATGAATAAGAACATTAGCTTACATAAAAATATCTTAAATGGTTTCTTTAAAAATTAAACAAAATGCAAATTAAAGAAAAGTGAGGTCAAGGTCACAGGAAATGCAAGGTCAAAAGTTTTTGATACTGTTGAATAGCTCTCACTAATACGTGTCAGCATATTAAGTTTGATAACAATATCTTGAATGGTTTCTTTAAAACTGAGCTAAACACTAACTTAAGAAAAGTGAAGTCAAGGTCAAAAGAAAGATCAAGGTCAAAAAATGTTGATGCAGTTGAATAGCTTACATCGGTATTTATCAGCACAAGAAGTTTGATTACACTATCTTGAATGGTTTCTTTAAAACTGAGCTAAACACTTATTTAAAAAAGGTGAGGTCAAGGTCAAAGGAAAGGTGAAAGTCAAATAATGTTGATGCAGTTGAATAGCTCTCATCAATATCTATCAGCGTAGAAAGTTTGATAAAAATATCTTGAATAGTTTCTTTGAATTTAAGCTATGAACTGAGCTAAAGGCAAAGTGGGACAGAAGACGGACATGACAAACTCTATAAGCCCTGGTCATTTTCATGGCAGGGCATAAGAAAATCTTCTACAGAATAGCAAAGACATCTTAATTATATTGATGTTCAGAATCTCTGGCATGTAGATGGGTTTCAAGTTTGGTTAAGTCTTAACCCTTGGGGCAAGAATAGAGCCAGAGTAGGGGTCAGAATTTTTCATTTGAGTATACATGTGGAGGGAAAAAATCTATTAAAAACAATCTTCTGAAGGATGGGAGGATCAAGGTAAATCAGGTGAGCATTGTAGCCCATAGTCTTCTTGTTAGATGTTCTCTGATTGAGAGGGATGTATTGTTTTGATTTTTTCCTTGCCGTGTCCCATAATTCTTTCCTGTTACCACCGTGGATTTTTTTTTAACATCATTATACTTTAATTTTCTTTTTTCTCCTTTATAATGCAGTAAACTGGGGAGAGCACTGGTTTGAGTATTTTCCTAATCCACCCATCAACATTTTAGCCATGATTGAAAATGTCCTAGCTCATCATGATAAATACCTTCTACAGCACTTTGTTAAGTACGGAGTCACATCACAGGTAAGTTTGTAGGTCTCAGGTGATTAATAAGGTGTGAACACCAAGTAATAAAATTTATTTCAGATTTCAAATATTCAGAATCCATTTTACTTATTAGCTGTGTATTATTTTGTGCTATTTATTTTTGGTTGTGTGGTTGATTTTTTTAAAATATAAAATAATGCTTCATTATGTAATACATAATTTTATGAAATCATATGTATGAATAAGCAGGCATACCTATTCTTTTAATATGGGTATCCATGTATAAAGTGCAGTCAAACCTTGTTATCTCTAACTTGATGGAACTAAGAAAAAAAACTGAGAGAAATCTGAGGATATGAGATATCAGGGTAAAATACTTAAACAATAAGTAGCTGGGACTTGCAATTCACTTTGATATATCCATGGTATTTGAGATATCAGGGTTTGAGATACCAAAGTTTAACTATATATTGATAGTGTTTGTAAAATTATGTAAGGATACATACAGGTACTTAATATATTTTGGGAGATTCATAATTTATTTTTTTTATCCAAAAATTGCATTACGGGTACTATGTTAGATGGAAAGAGGTTTTATGTAGTAAGAAAAGAGAAATCAATGACTTAAAGATGAAAAGGAGTAGCCAATGGATTCCAGTTCCAAGTGAAAAACAGAGAAAAAATTCCAAATACAGAATTTACATTGTAATGGAAAAATTATTTTCATAAGCGAGAATTAAGTAACTTCTCCCAGAGTGAAAACTACATGTACTTAATAAATTTGAGTCATAATTGGCATATATATTTCATATGAAGAGCAATAAATGAAATATTGTCCTTAAAATGATATAGGGAAAAAAAAGAACATTTACAAGCTTTCAAATGTGAAAATTATGTGTGTCAAAGAAATGTGTAGGGTGTAAATTATAGTTATGTTTAATTCCACTTTATGTACAATCGGTGGGAAAGTAAATGTTTATATAATTTTCTTTGAAGACAAATGAAGTAGGAGAATTTTCCATCATAGCATCCTGATAACAAGAAGAAACTAACAAAATTTTAACTATTAACCATATTAATTGAATAAAATAAAATAATTACTGAAAAAATAAACTACACTTATTAGACACTAAGGATAGATGCTCATCAGAAAAATAAAGTAACTGAAATAAAGAATTTCAAACTAAAAAAATTATGACAAAGAAAATTGAAACTCCTTATTGAAATTGTTAGCAATGCTTGAGAGCCTGGGAAAATTACCCGTATCCATACATATATTGTTTACATGTGATCATCTTTCAATCACCTTGTTTCATTCCAAGCCAAACTTCATTGGGGTGCACTTTGTAAACAACAATAACACAATTATCATTTTATTATTGTGTTTTACCTGTGTATCATTAAAAATAATAACTGTGGTACACAGGATCATGACAGGCAAACCAAGCATTCTGATTGGTCCATTGTCATGCAATGGGAGGTATTCATTGGTCAATAAGTCTGAGTAAGTGTTCAGTAGAGGCATGACCTGTGAAATGCATGTGTCAAGGTAGGGTCTCGGTGAATACTGTTCTGTGGGAAAATAATTCTGGAGTGACTTTGAGACTCCTCACTAATTACCAGATAGAGGTCACATGGACAGGTTCACAGTCTTAATGACTTCCAGCACTGCAAACTTGTTTCTGAGTGCTCAGAGAAAGTGTTTGACAAGTCCTAGTTCAACTTTGATGGACTTTGAAGAATAATCAGAAATTTTATAGACATTTAAATATTGGATTCTGTGAAAACAATTATGGCATCCATAATTAAGAATTCTAAGATGAATGTGACAGGATGTGAAGGACTAGCTAGGTTGTCATCCCACCCCATGTTTGAGGATTTACAAGCCACCCTTGTGTCTGATTGTCTCCAGGTGACTGTTCCCTATGCCCTGTGTTCAGATGATACTGCAACCTCTTGTGAATCCAAGTCAACACCAGAATATTCTTATGCAGTGGTGCAAGAAACAACATTACAACAGCAATTCCTGGAATTTTCCTCGAACTCCAATCCCAAAGTCCAGGAATTAAAAACATTTTACAACACCCAGCTGGCCACCATTGAAACACAGAGGCTGGATGCTGTGGCTAAACTAAAGGCTCATCATATTGATACACCATCCCAGTATTTGAAGGAGATGACTAGTATACATGCTTACCATGACAAACAGAGATCTCACCTCACTAACAGGGTGTACAGCAGTCTACAGCTCCTCAAAATCAGCATGGATAAACTTCCTGACAGTTCTACCACCACCAGACCACGCTCCCGTCAGCTCAACTCCAAGGCCACATCCATCATGTCGCAGTGGTTTGAGAAAAACATTAACCACCCTTATCCTACTGACGAACAGAAGGAACAGCTGGCTCGAGAAGGGGGAATAACTGTGGCACAAGTCAAGGCCTGGTTTGCTAATAAAAGAAATCGTACCAGCAACACCAAACCAAAAAAGCAGAAAATGCAAGTGGAGAAGAAGCTTTTGAGCATTTGTTCAGAATTAACAGGAAGCTCATCCAAACAGCCTGGAATGTATGGGGAGATAATTCAGCAGCTGTCAGATATTGTCAACACTACTGCCTTCAACCAAGGATTTGAGAAACCAGAATTTGACTTTCTATTGTCAAGTGAGGACAGTAATGGAAGTGCATAGTTTTTCTTTTCTTGTATGTGATGTGGAATTTGGATTTCCTCTGCTTGAATTGACTAAAATAAGTCAAGAACCAAAGTGAAACATTTTCCATTTTGAACTCTTGTAAATGTTTATTTTTTAGTGCATGTTGCTTTTTGTATAGTGCTTTGTAAGTACACAATTTGTATTTAAATGTTTTTATTAATTATGTATGTAATAAATTGTAAATATTTAAGATAAAATAATTTGTCTTTTGTTTATAAAAAGAATGGAAAATTGAAAAGAAAAAAAAAACTATTGAGTTTTAGCCAAGTATAAGAAGCTGATTTAGAGGTACTATTGATACATACTTCAATGTACTGAAAATGTGGTGCAAATACAGATGAACTTCGGTATCTCCAACACTGATATTGAGAATACCATGGATATGTTGATGTGACTTGGAAGTCCCAACCACTTATTCTTTAAGTAATTTAACCTCGATATCACTTCCCAACCACTTATTCTTTAAGTAATTTAACCTCGATATCACTTCCCAACCACTTATTCTTTAAGTAATTTAACCTCGATATCTCAAATCTTCGGATATCTTGAAGTTTTTTCTTGGTCCCATAGAGGTTGAGATAACAAAGTTTGACTGCACTGTAAATGTATTCTATTTCATGTGTATGTGATTGGAGGAAATTAATTTTTGTACAAGTTATAAATGTGCTAGATATAAACATACATGTATTTAATATAAAGACATTAAGCTTTGTACTTGATTTAGTGAATATGGCTTTTGTGGGAAAAATGATAAAAAGAATACACAGCTAAATGTAATACTTTTACAGTATAAATTATGGACTTCACAGCTATAGTTATAGATGTTTACAATTTTTCTTGCTATATATTCAAAGTAATCTCATCAATTAACTCACCAATGCATGTGGCTGGAAAAGATCAGTACACCCAGAGTAGATGTGTGCCTGTAGAGTATTGATTTAATACAAGAATTATGATGTGGAGTATTCAAAAACACTTCTATTATGATTATTTATCATAATGATGTGCAATAGTTTCACTTTCTAGTTTTACCACATATTTGTAGTGTCTGAATAGATTCATTAGCCAGCATACATTATCTAACTCTGCAAATAGAAATCTATATTGGCATCCTTCCTTTGGGTTTTTTTCTTACTGTACAACACAGTGAAATCTTAATGTACAGTTACTAGATTTCATTTTGACAAATCAGCTGTTGTGATAGTGGATGAGTTAATACATAAAACTTGAAGAGAACTGAAGCTTGACTTGACATATGTATATAATGTACTTTATTTACATTCGTCTTTGTAAGTTAAAATATTGTCATCAGTGGGGTTTTTTTTTGGCTCCAGATCTACGCGTGGCCATTACTGGAGACTCTGTTCTCTGAGGTCCTGACACGAGATGAGTGGCTGATGTTGTTTGATAATGTCTTTACTAACCATCCTTCCTTTCTACTGATGGTGGTGGTCGCTTATGCCATGTCAGCCCGGGGGCCACTGATGCAGTGTGTAGAACTGGATGACTTCAGAGTAAGACCTACAATTTTTAAAACAAAAAAGTTCCTTTTAAACCCAAGTTTGAAGAAAAAGGACCTAGCTATTGATATTCAGCCTTTAAGATTTTAAAATAAAAATTATGGCTCAATCAAATAAGTGATTACAATGCTGAAAATTGGTTTATAAATTTTTAACAAATTAAAAACTGGTCAATCATTCAATACTATTATTTTCTTTAATGTTTAGTATTTCTACCACCATCGTAATGCTGTGGATGTACGGCGAGTTATAAAGGAAGCCTACAGACTGATGGAGGCCACTCCAGAGGATATCCATCCGCGGGGCTCCCTAGAGGATTTCCGACCTCTTACCGTGGGGCAGTATCCAGTGTTTAATAAGTATCCCAAGTTCATTGTGGACTACCAAGTACAGGAAAGAGAGAGAATCAGGCAGGAGGAACTAGATTACATGAGGCAAAGGTAGTGACTCGTGTCTTCTACATATTATTTCACAGACAAATGTTAACCAGATAGTATTTGTGACATCTTTATTTGGAAGTTACCTATGGAAATCTCATGGCTATTTTAAAATATTGTGACTGAGCTCTCTGTTTTATAAGCATTACACAGTAAGGAGTGTAACATAAAAAGAAATACATTTGATTATTGATTTATTGAATATCTTTTTTGTTAGGGAATATTATTTATTTTACTGTACATCCAATGCATACAGGCTCAGACAGTTATTGCACTTTCATGTTGATAAGATACCAGTGATGTTTCATGACAAGAGTTGACAATATGTATTGTAGACAAGTGTCCCTCGAGATGCAGAAGGAGACAGTGAAGAGACAGCAGGAGGAGGAGGCCTGGTACAGACAACAACAGCTCCTCCTCGAGGCTGAGGAGAAGAGGAGACACATGATTCAGACTGAGGAGCAGAAACTAGTGGACCAGAGAAAGAGGTCAGTCAACCTTGAAGAAGAAAGGACACTGCTCGAGATTCCTTTGTCATGTTGTATTATTTAACTGAAAATGTGTTACAGTTTCACAAATTAATTACAAAATCTCATAAGATACATGTTCATGTACTTATTCTGTCCCATATTGGTACCTTTGTGCTTTAATTCAGAAAATTATGGTATATTTAGACTGTATGCGATGAACAGGGAAGTGAAACTGAAGGAGCTTCAGCTGTTGGATGCTGCCAGGAGGAAGTTTCTCCATTTCCAAAAGCAGCAGCGAGAGTCTGAGCTCAAACGTCTGGATGATGAAGTACAGAGAAAGGTATTTATAACGATCATTTCAAGACATTTTGATTTAAACACTCCGCAGGAGTATTTGATGCTAAACTAAGTATATTTCAGGCATTACTGAGAGACCAAGAAACTGAAACTGCATTAGAGGAAGCAGAAATTAGAAACCTGGAGCTCCAACTTCAGAAAAAAATGTTTGAACAGGTAAAAATTAAAAAGTATATTCATTTGGTCAGAAATCCTGTCCGAAATAATGATAAAAAAACAACAGGAAAATGTTTGAATGCAAAACAATGCTTTAAACAGTCTTGTGTATGCTGGTACAGGTGTAGATTGATAAATGGTATTTTTAGGTCACCTGGGTCACTCGGGTGACCTATTGCTATCCGTTTTTGTCCGTCGTCGTCCATCGTGCGTTAACATTTAAACATTTTCAGCTTCTTCTCTGAAACCGCTCAACCAATTTCAACCAATTTTGGCATATAGCATCTATGGGTGAAGGGGGACAAAAATTGTGAATTTCATGGTCCCTGCCCCCTTGGGGCCTGAGGGGTGGGGCTAAAACCACCAAAATTAATGCAGTCTTTAAAAATCTTCTTCTTTACTCCTGGACATCAAGCATTCAAACTGCTGGCATGATTGTAATAAGGATTAAGCCCTCTACCAAAATTGTGAAATTCATGGCCCCAGGGTCAGGGGTTCTGGTGCTAGGGTGAGGTTATATAGATCATATAGTGAAAGTGCATTATTTCTTTGAAAATCTTCTCCTCTGCTCCTGGTTATTAAATAAACTAACTAAGTACATAGTTATAATGAGCATGGCTGCCTCTTCTAAAATTGTGAATTTCATGGCCCCTGGGTCAGGGGTTCTAGTGTTAGGGCGGGGCTCTATTGATTATATAGTGAAAATGCATTATATCTTTGAAAATCTTCTTCTCTGCTCATGAGTATTAAATAAATTAACTAAGTACATTGTTATGATGAACATAGCTGCTTCTTCCAAAATTGTGAATTTCATGGCCCCTGGGTCAGGGGTTTTGGCTTTAGAGTGGGGCTCTCAGGGTTCTCCACATTTGAAAATTTAACCATGGAGGAAGCTGAGCGAAGGCGCAATGCGACCAAGAACACGAATGCATGTTAGACTTCTTAACCTTCATTAATCAATTGATTAATTCACAAAACTTAACCACTGCAGCACAAAAAGTTGAAATAACCAATAATTTTTTAAGCTAAAAAATTAAAAATAAAAAGGATTATGTATCTTAATTACTCTACAAATGTACCAAAATTGGTCTAAAACTGAAGGAACATTTTGAAGGAATTTCAAAATAATGTTTTTATAGAGTAACCATGGCAACAGTTTTCAAAAACTGATATACAGAATTGATGTTGCCTGTTATATAAAAAGTTTTATTTAAATATGACAAAAACTGATGAATTGGTAGTACTTTAAAAAAAGTTAACAGACACACAAACAAACGAAAGCCGACATCCTACTAATGCCTAAGCTTTTTTTAACTTCATGATCTTTGAAAACTTACTGGTGGCATACATGGTAAAAGTAACTTAGTATAACCGGGGGCATCAATTTGCATTAATGTAATTTTCCTTTCTCTATTCTGTCTTTCTCTAAACGTTATTTTTTCTACATATTGCATTTTCGCTGAGTTTCCTCCATTGTTTATTCCTCCACGTGCCCGTGCTAAGAATAGCGCCACGCGAAGTTTCATAAAAACGGGAGGTAACTCTAAAACTAAGACGACGATTGGCACTTACGAACATTTTATCAGAAAGATAATAAAGTTAATACTTGAAAACAAAGCATGAGGAATTGATTAAATACAAAGAATAGGAAATTTTGAAAGGGCTCATTTTTTTCTGGGCATACCTACTGCTCGTTATGATCTTTTATCAAACAGTGAACACGTTGGAATTTCCCGAAATTACATGTTTGTATACTACAGGATAATTAATTCTCAAGATATTGATCTTCAGCTGATTGACCCTCCATTGTCACGCTTCCCAGCATAGTCGCCGATCAGCGACCGTGTTTGTTTGCACAGTCCAGTTTCCCTCGAGGCATGCCAGATGCATGGCAGTCGTAGTATAAACACAATTAACTACTCAAGTCATTAAAAAGTAGGTGTAAATACTAAAATGCAATAAAAATTTAACCATGGCGGTCGCCCATTTTAACCATGGCGGCCGCCCATTTTAACCATGGCGCAGCTCGTTTAACCATGGCGCACATAAATTTAACCATGGCGGGCCGCCATGGTAAAACCCCTTGTGGAGAACCCTGGGCTCTATTGATTATATAGTGAATATGCATTAAATATTTGAAAATCTTCTCCTCTGCTCCTGGGTATGAAATAAAGTAACTTAGTACATAGTTATAATGAGCATGACTGCCTCTTCCAAAATTGTGAATTTCATGGCCCCTGGGTCAGGGGTTCTAGTGTTAGGGCGGGGCTCTATTGATTATATAGTGAAAATGCATTATATCTTTGAAAATCTTCTCTGCTCATGGGTATGAAATAAATTAACTAAGTACATTGTTATGATGAGCATGGCTGCCTATTTCAAAATTGTGAATTTCATGGCCCCTGGGTCAGGGGTTCTGGTGAAAGGGGGGGGGGGGGGAGCTCTATTGATTATATAGTGAAAATTCATAATTTCTTTCAAAATATTTTTTTCTACTCCTGGTTATAAAGCAAAGAAACAAGTGTATAGTTATGATGAGCAAGGATGCTTTTACAGAATTTTTAAAACTTGTGGTCTCAGGGGTTCTGTTGTTTTTCTGAAAGGGGGGGGGGGGGGCTCTATTTGATAATATAGTGAAAATGTGTGAATTCTTTGAAAATCTTCAACTTATTGCATAGTTATGATGATGAGGGTACCTCTTCCAAATTTGTAAATTTTCAACATCTGGACCATTTAGTCAAGTGTTCTGGTCCTGACCAGGGCTCTATTAATTTGTATTCTATTGAATGAAGTTATTCCCCTTTGCCATTCACTTTTGATAATTAATCACTATAGATAATGTATTTGAAAGGTTAATAGAATAAGAGAATTATGTAAGAACATTTATTGTATAATATAAAAAGTACTTTCATAGTTTTAATAATCAGGTAGACTTGGAAATAATAGATGAATAAAAATGAAACAAAAATAACTTATCTTCTAAAATGTTCTTCAAAGGCCAAGTGAGGTCAATGTGAGAGGTAATAATATAGACATTTTGTTAAAAGTCTGCATGGTAATAGTGATAAATGGGAGACAGATAGAAAGATACTAGACCAATTATTTTGTTGATCTTAATCGTACTAATTTTCTTGCTATTGGGCAACAATTAAAGCTTCATTTTATCAGTTTATGGATCCTCTAAATTGTTGTACTCAGGTGACCGTTAAGGCCCTTGGGCCTCTTGTTCATGTATGTAGGAGCTGTTCAGGGACTTTGCCACCGCAGGACAGCAGCTAAGAACAGAACAAGACATGCACAGAAAGCAAGCCGAACTGGAAGAACGGATCCAACAGCGACTGAGAGATGCAGAGAGGGAGAGACAGGTGGAAATCCGCAAGGTAAAATCAGTAATTATCAAATCAAAATCTAGTTAATGTCATTTAATGCATCATTCTCTTTAGTTCATCTGTAATTTTATATTTTAGCAATTGCAAGAAAACTTAGCAAAGGCAGCACAACAGAACATAGAAGCTTGGGCACAAAATGAGTTTGAGTACCGTCGGAGAGTGGAGGACTTAGAAAGAGAGACCAAGAGTGTACAGGTTTGTCATACATCAGAGGAGTCTACTGATGTGTAATAATATGCAGTGGTTGACAAGATCTAGGGATAATTGCTGGCTGTTTTGAATCAGGAACTGAACTGTTGCCCAAAGCTGAAAATCACAGCAACAGTTCAGTATGTTGTCCAAGTACTCATTCAGTAGCTGTTATGTTACACTTTCTCAATTTGAACATGTAATGTACATAAGGCCAAGCTGTAGAAAATTCTTTGTTTACAGTTTCCAACATAAAATTTTTGTGTGTAGTCGAAGATTTGGGGGCATATATTTTTGGGTCTATCCATCTGTCTGAAATGCACAAAATGATTTATCATAACAGCGGTGGATTCTTTTTGCTTGTCCACCAAAAAATTAGCCTTCCCCATAACTTTTGGAAGAATGGTGATAGGGGTTTCATATTTTACATGTGTTTGAAGTTTGACCTACTTTTAAAAACTTTTATGAATTATATGAAACATTAACCTTGGCCATAACTTTGAATGGCTGGTTCTAGAACTTTCATGTCTCAGTTGTGTATTCCTCTTGACAATTCCTTTCTTTGAGTAAACATTTTTGACCTCCTGACCTTGACCTTGGAGTTTGACCTATTTTTGATAAACCTTAATCTTAGCTATAACATTCAAATGGCTAGTGCTAGGGATTTTGTATTTCACTTGTGTATTCCTTTTGTCTGAGCTAGTTTTTAAGGCCACTATTCTCTGTATAACTGCAGCTTTCAAAGACAAACAGTCAGAACAGACAGCTCGAGAGGGAAGTCCATGATCTGATGCTTCAGTGTCAGGAGAAAAGGGTTAGTATCCTTACCATACATGTACAGTAATCAGTGAAGAGTATCCCATTTGTAATTGATGACATCTGGGCAATAGAAATAAATCTGAATGCAATTTAAAGAATTCATTGTAAAATATAAAGGTATATGGAATTTGAGACCGTGATTTTTTTTGAAGATTTTTTTTCTGTCTTTGTTGATGATAGCATCCATACTCAGACATTGGAAAATTATTTTGCAATAATTTATACATTTTACAAATGGCAAAATATTTTTTTACTGGTATGGAATTCAATGAGGCAGAATGAACCTTGAGGACTGCTTAGAGAATTCAGTTCTTCTACAGTAGATATGAATTAATGAGAATGACTTTTTTCTCTTGACAGGAAAGAGATGTAGAGGATAAGCAGGAAGAGCTGGAGGAACAGAAGCAGCAGGCTACCAAAGCCGATAAACGACGACTGGAGTTTGTGGAGGATGAGGCTAGGAATGCTCAGGAACACGGCAAGTCCATGACGGAGGATGTATTGTACGCAACCAGGAGTAAGTCATACAATATGGATTTTATTATGCCTTCAGAGTAAAGTTTTGTTTAAGAGTACTGTAAATAAACTTATTAAGTTTTAATCATATTTTAGTGCCTTTTGCACTACTTATTGTCAGCTAATCTATGTAACCACTAATATACATATACATGTATTAGTGATGCTTATCTATGATAACATTATGATAATCAGCTTGAGAGGTTTTGGACAGCCTTTAAGGTAATTTCTATCACCAGTACAATGTACATGTATATACATAACAAGCCTTCATAATGAAACTGTCAACTTAATAACCTTCTATTTGACCTTGACCTCACTTTTCTACATATTGCATTTTGTTAAGATTTGAAAAGGGTCAACAAACTTAGTATACTGGTACATATTGTTGAACACAATTCAGTGACAAATCAACACTTCATATACATGTACCATGTTACAAGAGTAACACTAGGATGTTGATTTTGAAAGTAAACAGAAAGCTAGGTCCATTTTCTTCTCTGTATTTTATCACTGGTCAGACCAAAGAAACAAGGTACATTTCTTTTCGGGTACCATTAAGCCATTCATGTCCTATACACCAAATTGATTTAAAACAGATTGATTTATCGGGGAGGTTATGCATTCAAGACAAGTATTTGATTTTTTGGTACGTTTTTGTTTGTAGAACAAAGGCTTGGTCAGTCATACCTTAACAACACATCTCAGTCCTCAGCCTGGAACACTCTCCAAACATCCACAGACCCCGAGTCATCTGTGTCACTAGAGAGGAGTAGTCGTACATTTGACAAACAGGAGCTAGCTCTCCTAAATGAAGTCAGACGACTCCGACAGAAACTAGCTATAGAAAACAGGAATAAAAAACCACCTGTCAATTATGACTCTACATAAAAATACTTTAGAATCATTGTAAAAATTCATTGTGTCAGAAAACACTTGTTATTTATTAATTATTAGTATATATAGTTGCTCTGTGTATCTGTGATATTATTAGATACTGTTTATAAATTTTCACAATAAATGAAAGAAGTTATGTATAAAAATGTTTTTATTTCAAAACTGATTAGCTTTATTCCAATTTCAGGCTGATTACAGTTCTCTAAATAAATGAAAGAGTTTTGCTGTATTTGATTAGACTGAGGTTTTGATTTTTTATCATCTGGGAGGCCCAATTTTTTTTTTTCCCTTCAAAACCCATGTTCCTAGATCTCGCACATTTGAGCAGTAGCTGTTGGTGTCCTGTAGATGTGCAATAAGGCTTGGGTATTGTCATTTTAATCCTGAGAACCAATTAGGGACAAAAAAATGGCATTATTCTACAAGAAGCCACATGATCATCTGTCAGAGCATTTTATGCTCAATTTGATTCATGTATATTTTTGTAAATCATTGTATAACTATTGCAGCTAGTTACCCAGGTTTAATGGAAAGTACATTTACAGGCAAATATTTACTTGCTGGTATTACTGTCTTATGACAACATGAAGTTAGATGTTGTGGCATAACAAATAATACAAGAGGCCCTAGGGCCTTAAAAGTCACCTGAGTATAATGCAACGACCCATAGATTAAAACAAAATAAGTTGATAAATAATATAAAAGCTATGATGTACAAAAGCAAGAGAAATAGGATGATCATGGATCAGCAAAATATTAATTAAGTACTCAATAATAAATATTAAAGTTGATATATTTATTTGCCTATACTTTCTCCTATTTGTCGCTATCTTCATGCATACTAAAAACAATAGTTCTAGAGCACTATTAGTTAACACATTTCTTTCCCCCCTCTCATTGGCTTCTCTTAGTCTTTGAAGATTATTTATTGTACATTGATACAGTATTTTTGTCCCATTTTTATTTATCTATTGTTTAAAAGGTTATCAAAACTATGAAAGTACTTTTGTATTAATTATTAAATTTCTTTTATAATCCTTTTTATTATACAGTGATTAACTATTACAAGTGGATAGCAAAGGGGAATAACTTCTTTCAGTGGAAATTAATAAACTGACCAAAGTGTAAAGAATTTCAAAATCTGGTAAAAATACCCTTGCTTGTTACAAATTCATATACTTTATTTGCCTCCTAGATGCCTAGGAGCAGAGAAGAAGATTTTCAAGGAAATAATTCATTTTCACTATGGATTCAATATAGCCCCACCCTATTACCAAAGCCCTTAATTGACCCAGGGGCCAAGACATTTGCAATTTAGGAAGAAGTACTCTTGCTCATCATAACCATGCACTTAGTATGTTTCCTTAATAACAATGGGCAGAGAAGATTTTCAAAGAAATAATGCATTTCTACTAGATATACAAAAGAGCCTCACCCAAACACCAAAATCCCTGACCCCAGGTTATGAATTTCAAACTTTTAGAAAAGATTTTTTTGCTCGTCATAACCATGCAATTAGTTTTTTTTCTGTAAAATACCCAGGGACAGAGAAGATTTTAAAAAAAAAAAAAATGAATTTCCACTATATATTAAATAGCCCCCCCCCCCCCCCCCCCCCCACACACATACATGAACCCTTGACCTTGAAGCCACAAATTTCACAACCTTCGATCATCATAACTATACACTAAGTATATCTGCTAAATACCAAGGAACAGAGAAGATTTTCAAAGAATTCATGCATTTTCACTATTTAACCAATAGAGCCCCGCCCTTACACCAGAACCCCTAACTCAGGGGCCAAGATATTCACAATTTTAGAAGAAGTGTCCTTGCTCATCATAACTATATACTTGGTTTATCTGCTAAATACCTAGGAGCAGAGAAGATTTTCGAAGAAATAATGCAATTTCTCTATATAATCAATAGAGCCCCCCTCCCATATAACCCCTCACCCTCGGGCCATAAATTTCACAATTTTGGAAGAGGCACCCTTGATCATCATAACCATGTACCTAGTTCATCTTCTTTATATACAGGGGAGAAAAGAAGATTTTCAAAGAATTTATGATCAACAGAGCCCCACCCGAACTCCAGAGTCCCTGACCCTGGGGCCATGAATTTCACAATTTTGATAGAGGGCTCTATGCTTATTACAATCATGCCAACAGTTTGATTGCTTGATGTAAGGATAGCACTAATTTTGATGGTTTTGGCCCTGTCCCTCAGCCCCCCCCCGGGGGGGGGGGGGGGCAGGGACCATGAAATTCACAAATTTTGTTCCCTTTCACCCATAGATGCCATATGCTAAAATTGGCTGGAATTGGTTCAGCGGTTTCAAAGAAGCTGGAAATGTTCAAATGTTAACACATGACGTACGAAGGAAGACGGACGAATACAAATCAGGAGCAGAGCAAGTACCGACCTCTAAAAAATATCAGAGGTGGGATCAAGTGCCATCGAGGAGTAAGCATCCCCTGTCGACGGGGCACATCCGCCATGTGCTCATTGTCCTGATTGGGCAAACGGAAAAATCCGTTGACAATTCGGTGTTTAAATAGTGGCCTAACAATTAGTATGAAAAATGTCAGTCAGCATTCGACTTAATGATAGATTGTATTTGCTGACAATTGCAAGGTCATTGTATCGAGTATAGAACTTGAGAAATGATGACTTAAACGAGTTTGTTGATATCCTTATTTCATCAACTTGTTTGTCAATACCTGCATGTCCTCGTTTTAGAAATTGTTATTACGTGAAGCATACTCTTGCGTATCGAATCAACTGGGATATATACTTGAGTTTAAGGGAAGATGACGATTGAAAAATTGAAGTCATTACTTTTATCATAATGCTTTGTTGTTAGGATACCATTAACGTCCTTTTCGAGTAAAATATCCAAATATAAAACAGATTTGTCAGACTTTGTGGTATCTTTTAATTCAAGTTCACTGGGATATATGTCGACAAATGAATGGAAGTAAATTAAATAAAGCGTCGTCGATATATCTAAATGTCGAGTTCAAGGCCACAGGAAGTATTAGTGTCTTCTCCTTTTCTGTAGACGTTTCGGAATTCTGCTTCATATGAATACAAAAATAGGTCTGCTGATAACGAGGCGCAATTTGGTATCTATGGGAATTCCGACAGATTGCTGGGATACCTGATACCCGATAACTACGAAGATATTGTCAATCAGAAACTCAACCATCCTATCAATCTACTTAGAGTACTCGTATGTACAATCAGAATGTTTAATATAAGACTAAGAGGCTCGTAGGCCACGTACGTACGATCTACTTTTGTAAAAAGACGAAATTAGGTCTCTCCCTCTATACTATGAAATCAAGTTAATTTTATTGTATAGAGGGGTAGACCTAAATAAATTGAACATATCATTAATGATATCGTCATTTACCAAATATATTAGATTGGGAGTGCCTTTGATATTTATGTGAATTATTTAGAGTATACTGAACTATTGTGGTTTCTTCGCTAGTTTACCCTAGTACAAGGACAGCGTCTTCTTTTCGTCATGGATTTTGTCGCCATGCAAACTTGTAGAGGCTGAGACCCACCCCCCCTTTTTTTTTCTCGGTTTCATGATGATGTGTTTTGTGTATTGTATGTTTTCCTGTCTATAAATAAACTAACTAAAATAAAAATTGAAAATCGCTGAAATTAGCGCAGTTTTAAAATAAATATATTTATGTAATATATAGATGTATTTATCAATAAATATCAATATATCTATGTATGAAAAAATTGATGAAGTTTTTTTTTTTTTTTTTTTTTTTTTTTTTTGGCAGTAACTATTTCTTTCAGGGCAAAGGGGGGGGGGGGGTGTTCACACAACTCAAGAATTGTATATTTATATAATTATACGTGTACATTGATAAGACGTGAATTTTAGAAGTAACCCTGTAATATGACATGTAACATTTAACACTTCCTACATTATATTTGTTATGAATTCGATAAGTCTAGTACACGAAAAAAAGTGAACAGGGTTCTGAAACCGATTTAATTAAGATCGGGATCGAGAATACAATAAAATTTACACAACAAAAACATTGAATCGAAACTAAGGCGTAGATTTGTTGCACTGCAATATGAATGGAGATGACAGCCCGGTTCTGCTCTATGCACATCCTTCAATGGAAGCATTAGCAGAAAACATTGCCAACATATGCTCCCATTCTATTAGTCCGAAGGAACAGCAGCAGTCTGAGCAGAGCCAGAGGCCGGCATTCCGTGAGGTCCGTGCCTTCTCAATTTCTGGAAGTAGCTCCAAACCCCGAGAAGTCGAGTTTAGAAAAACCATTCAGTGGAAAACATTTCCCGACGGGTTTCCAAATTTGTTTATTGAGGATGTTAAATACATGGCAGGGAAAGATGTCATCTTCATCGGGAGTTTTCACTCTCCTGATGTGGTCTTTGAACAGCTGTCAGTTCTGTATATGTTTCCAAGATATTTAGCACGCTCATTTCACTTCATAATGCCATATTTTCCAACTGGAACCATGGAACGTGTCGACACAGAGGGACAGATAGCTACAGCAAAAACTATGGCCACGTTATTGTCAGGTATACCGCTCACAACAAAAGGACCAGCTCAAATTGTCATATTTGACATACATGCACTTCAAGAAAGATTTTACTTCTCAGAAAATGTCATCCCAAGGCTTGAATCTGCTGTTCCTCTATTGTTGAGGGAAATGAAAACCTTGCCTGATTTTAACAACATGAGTGTTGCATTTCCTGATGATGGAGCATGTAAAAGGTTCCATAACTTCTTTCCCGATGATGACCCTATTACATGTGTTAAGATCAGGGATGGTAATCGTAGGATTGTGAAGGTCAAGGATGGAAACCCTGCTGGAAAACATGTTCTTATTATAGATGATCTGGTTCAGTCTGGAGGAACACTGCGAGAGTGCGCTAAAGCATTGTACGAGAAAGGAGCAGTAAAAGTCAGTGCTTATGTCACCCATGCTGTGTTTCCTAAGGAGTCCTGGAAGAAGTTTATAGATTCTGATGTCAAATTTGAAAATTTCTGGATTACAGATTCACTGCCTCATGCCAAAATGATATGTGAGCACCCACCCTTTAAGCTTCTTTCTTTGAGTGAGCCTATTGCTGAAATGCTTTTGGGGTATGACTTAATGCCATACTGCTAAGCACATTTTTACAAAATTTTACAGTGCACTTTGCTAACTACAGCATTGTACTTTTATTAGGACTTCAGAACTAAAAAATAAAGTAGGGGGGATAACAATGTTTTTATTTCAAATACGATATTAATTAGGAAAATTCTGTTGAGTGAGATTGTGTAATTTATTGCCATGTGATATACATGCACATGTATTTACCAACTACCGGTAGTTCAAATAATACTTTTTTGAATATGTTGAAGAGGCTATAAGAGGGATGCATTTTTATGCCCCTAATCGATCAAAGATACAGGGGCAACAGTGTTTCACAAACACATATTGATCTTTCTTGTTTTTCTTGATCCACTGCTGACTAATATAATTTGGGGGGGGGGGGGATGAGAGGCTAATATGACCTCTTTGGGCTCACCTGGAACTGGTCTAGACCTATATCATAAAAGACGATTGTTGAATATTGCATTAAATTTTATGGTGTTGGCCATATCCTCCCAAAGGCTCCAGAGAGGCAGAGTGGATGAAATTCACAATTCCTAATTTTCTTCCCCTTTACCCATAGAATTGGTTGAAATTGGTTGAACGGTTCCAGAAAAAAAAATCGCAACGGACAATGCATGACGACAGACAAAAACACAGCAGTAGGTCACCTGAGTGACTTGGGTGACAGGTACTACACCTATGCATGATTTTTTGTTACATGTACTACATGTTAAAATGAAAAGATAAATTTTTGAGATAGATGCAGTGTGAATTTTTAGAACAAGGTGTCTGTAACATGTATAAACTATGTTTTTTAGTCCATTATGTTTTGAATGCATTGTATTGCATACAGGGCTGTCCATAAGAACTGAAATAGATGGAGAAATTAAAAAAGTAGACGGGTGTTTGGGCGGGGGTGGGGGGGCAATGCCCGAGTACAGAGTAACGGTCGGATTATGTCAGTAGAGGTGGGAAAATTCCCCACCCCCTGGTCTTGTAGACAATCCTGTGTGTATGGCTCAATGCAATGTTAAAGTTTGTAGATTTTGTTAATATATAGTATATAATTTTTCTTTATACAAATAGACTGAACAGGGTGAAGGGACCAGTTGTACTTAGTCTATCATACACAAGTTTATAATACAATGTATATAATGCAACCAATGTTTAATATTATTATTTATCATATACTTAGTAGTAAATACACCGATTCTGCACTGTGCGATAAGGGTGACGTCACAATATCCCATATCAAGGACTAGTCCGAAAATCCATATCATGTATCGGACCAGCGAGCAAAAATCCATATCGAACCGAAAGTAACGTTTGTTTAAAGTTTAAAAGTTAATTAACTTGATTTTATTTAAGTATACATGTAAAATAATTCTTTACTAACATCTGTGGACTTAATTTGTTTTCAAAGACCTTAAATTTGCTTTATTAGATTTAAAGAAAAAGGTCATAAACATGCACGAAACATTCTTCAATGATTTTATGTGCATATTAAGTATTTCAAATATTTGATAAATAGAATACATGTACTACATACATAGCCTTCGGCCCTCGGGCTGATATGACATATGATATGGATTTTAGTATGTAATATTCTCTGTTTCACATTCTTTTGTACAGTAGAAAGCACAAGCAATTTTCACCTTATTTACATGTATATACCTGAAGCTATTTTTATGAATAAATGGTTTCCATCTTCTTATAAATACATGTACAAGTATATGCATTTATATATCAGATTCTGTGATCTGTTCATTTTAGAGAATGTCTATTCACTCTACTGGTGGCTCTTTTTTAACCTACCATGTATTGTGGCATATATTGTACAAATTATTTTTTAGCTATAATATTAAATTTTAGATCATTGTACTGACTTAGTTATCAATTATTTATTATTTAAAAATGAAAATCGTTGGTTTTCATTGTTGACTGGACATTAAATTTGTATTTAAAGTATAAATAATATGGATAGTTTCTGCAATCAGATATTTATGGGAACCTTACTTTACTTAGGTCAGTCACGGCCAAGATTCGAACTCATGACCTTCAGATTAAGTAAAGATACTTTATTCAGATATCTTAAATAATGTAAACTGTAGTAATCGGACATCTAGGTTTAAAGCAACATTTTTATTCATTACAATAATAATGTGTATTTTACAATAACATCAGTTGAGTAAATTTTCTTCATTTTTTTTTTTAAATTCTGAAATAAAACCAAATAATTTAGTAAATTATGTGTATCTTCAAAAATAAAAATGCAGAATGCATCATCTTGAACAATGCGACAAGTCATGGAGAATATAAATTTGTTGAAACTGATCTTAAGCACACATCTGTATTGTTAATGTCAAGCTCTGTAGAAATTACAAAGAATATTTCTCTATAATTAAGATTTTATTGAACTGCTTTTTATCAAACATTTCAGTGGAGAATCTGTCATTTATCACAGGCTGTGCATCTTGTTAACATTGTAGTGCAGAAGTTAATTCTCTAAACACTGCCAGAAATAGTTGATGATACAAACAATAATTTGAAATTCAAAAGAAAACTTCAAGTGTGTATGTGTAAATAATAATAAAAAAATTAGTCAATGACTTTGGGCATAAGAATATTTATATATTAAACAAAATTCGTAAGGATGAGATTCTATGTAATTCTAAAAAAAATATACATGTCTACATGTATCTATATAATAAAGCTTATTTTATTACATCAGAAATTTATTGACTTTATATTTAATAGAGTGGCTGGAAAAATTAAAAAAAACAAAAACAGACAAGTGCGTAATTCCGTGCAAAACACATATGGCATATCAATTACACATGACAGTTAACTTTATCAGGGAGTACATGTAATTTTATTCCAAGTAAATTTTGAAAGAAAAAATGATAAATTAATCCCAAATAACATGGGTCCATTTAATTTTTGCTTTAGATTATGAAAAAACCAAAATTATTCTTTTTGTGGCTCAAAATGATAAGCCATCTGACTTCAAATCTTTGTGCCAAACTACCCTACATGTTACTGGTACATGTTTATATACAAATGCAAAAACAATGTTTAAATCAACACTTCTAAACAGATGATACATGTATTCATACTATAATGATGTATTATAATAAATACAAATGTAAAATATATTTCAGTGTACTGTGGCAAGGTGGAAACAAGTTGGCCCAGAAATAGTGTAAAAATGTTGTTTACAAAGCAGGTTTTCCTGATATCAATACTTGTTGTTTTTTCTGACATATATTCTAATAACGTTCTGAAAACTCTCTTTCTTTATTATTTAGTGGTCTCTACCTTTTATGACAAGTGTTTAATTCCTTCTTGGGGCAGATATCATAATTATGATTCTTTGGGCGAATACCATAATTTTTTTCTTATTCGAATTTTGTGTACATATTTCAGTAAATGTTTCAATGCACTATAAAAGTGGTCATGTCAAAATGTTTTTGTAGATTATATGAGCTTATAAACTCATTTTATACATTATTTCTGAACCAATTTCTTGTGAAAGGGCATATACTGTATAATAAAAAACAATTGCACTAAAGTGATCAATTTAATGTGCAGCAGATGAGAAATTATTGGTGGCAGTTCATGTAATGGTACATGTACTCATGTAGTAATTTTGCATCACCTAAGATCCATAGATTTCCTGAGAGTTTTTTAAAGACTTGCTTTTAAAAAGAAACCTCTTATATGTTTTCTTGTCTACATACATGTACATATTATGAAAAGATGACAGTCAGAACAAAATAACTGCCATAAAATATTTTTTAAACATGCATGCATATTATATAAGCATCTTATATAAATTTATCTTCTTACTGAAATATCAAACATTGTAAAACATCAGTGTACTTTTCTAAATAAGGCAATGAAATTTGATTACGACAATAAATTATTCAAGCCAATTAATAAGATAACCTAATTAAGATCGACAACCAAATCAACCTTTAAAATATCACAAGTATATAACAACTTGATTAAATGCTGGACGGATGTGTGAACCATGTCACAAAAAATGCATGACAACTGCACCATATACTGTACATAGTATTCAGTCTCGTAACTTCCATATGTACAAATATTCAGTCTTGTAACTACTGCTTGTCTGTACAGTTCTGTTCATAACATCAGCACCAATACTTCATATTTGTTGACAATATTGAAGATACATGTACATGTATTTTCAAAAGTAAACAATAACACACTTTACCTGTACAAATTATATATAATATATATATAACAAGATATAGACAGTACATAGTATTTCCAAGTGTGTAAATTTCTTGCCTCCAATAGCAGATGACGTAGATGAAACTTTTCAGTTAAAATTTTATAAGTACAAATATGTATAAAAAAAGTTATTCTTTCATTAATATTGCATAGCCTTAATATTCCACCATTTAACATCTGAATCCATACAGCATTGTATTTTGGTTAATATATAGCAGTTTTGATGATGACAAAACTTAACTTTGTTGAGGTCAGAAGACTTGATTTTCTAGTATGTATAACAGCCACTCACTGGGATACCTTCTTTATCAGACTAGAGGGCGGCCGAATTACAGTCTTTTCTGATTGGCCTGATGGTTTGTCTGTCCGTGCAGTGGATCTAGCTGTCTCTGTACGAGCTGTTTCTGTCTCTGTGTATTCATCATCATCATCGTCTTCATCATCATCATCCTCATCAGATTCTTCTTCATCATCTTCATCTTCCTCAGTTTCATCATCATCCAAACCATTCTGAAAATCGGGAATTTCAGATTGCATTGTGAGTGTACAAAATGCATTTATTTTTTTTCCATATGTCTGATATTAGAGGACATTCAATAGATGATTTAATTAATAGAATAAAATGACTGTCATGGATTTCAAGCTGAAATTTTCAATTTGTTCTATTTATTTTAAGTTTTTCATAAAACTCTACAGTCAAACTGGAAAATGTAACTAAAATTAAAAAGTCTCTTCACTCCTTGTTATATTAAAACTGATCTCAATGGTTTGCAGTTTGAAGGATTTTAAAATGTGAGAAATTTGAAATGAGCATAATATGGGTGTACCCTGGAGTCCACAGTGGCTTTGAGAGGTGAGGCACTTGTGCTGGCTGACTTGGTGGGGGTGACATTACGACTGGCAGGGGCAGACTGTTGTCGTCGAATACTGGACGGTGGATGTCGGTCCTCAGCTGACTCCAGGGAGGTGTAAGAGGAGGACCTTACCATGTTCATTCGGTTGGCAGAATTGGATGGCTGCATTTTGGACCTAAATTCCTAATGAATTAAAATAAAAATTAAACAGAGTACTAGTAATGAATATAAGATTACTTAATGTTAATGAAATGTGGCCCTTCATTTGAACAAATTTAAAATTCCCTTCTTACAAAGACACTTTGTGGTAAGTTTGGATGAAGCTGCATCCAGTTATTCTGAAGTATTACAAAATTAAGAAAATTTAACAAATACACAACAGATTGACAATAGACAAACTTTGGTCCATGAATCCTACTTGAGCCTCAAATGGGCTTTGGAAAAAAACATTTCACTCGTTTAACAATGACATACCTCTATATCTTCATCCAAATCAAATGATTTAATGTTCTGAAAACACTCTGTGTACATTTCTAGAGCTTTGGCATGGTAGATCATCTCAATGTTGACAAAGTCTGTCAAAACTTTCTGTTGAATAATATGAAGCAAGAATGAATTATTTCATAATTTTGAGCATAAAATCACTGCATTTCTACTACAAGTATATTCATGATATACATATGAAACACTTTAATTATTCAGATTGTGTAGGGAATGAATGATAATTAAAAACACTGTGTAATAAATTTAAATCAATACGCTGTACAATGATCTCTCGTTCAGTATTAACATGTTGTTTTGCTATGAATAATACAGTGCATATGCTGTTCCTCTCCCATATACCTTTAAATCTTTTAATTTCTCCTCTTCAAATTTATCGATCAGCTGTTCTAGACTTTTTGTGACAGCTGATGCTTTAACACTGGCCTTCTGTAGCTCTGTCTCCGCCATTGTCAGCTGGGCTCTGTTAGCAGGTGCTTTCTGCCGCAGTCTGTCTAACTTCTTACGCTGAGTGACTTCTAGTTCTTGTGTTTTCATTCCTTCCTTAATATCATTTTTGGCTTGTTTACATTTTAGTCCGTAATTTGCGAGAGGTGTCAGAACTTTGGCTTCCAGTCTTGTTACCTACATTGAAAAATTACACATTTTAATGTCATGATATAACCATTTATACCTGTACATAAATTAACATACGCTGTCCTCTTTGGACCATAATTTGATTTCAACACACACTAAAATCTGGTTTAACTGAAAAAAGAACCCCATAAAATCTGGTTCAAGTATTAAAAGTGGATATGATTCCTTTGATGCACCATGTGACGATGTCGTCTATCCATCGGTATACCTGACCTTGTCTGTAGTCTAATAATAAAATAATGTTATTTTACTATACCTGAGCTTGTTTACAGTCATGTAATAAGACAGTCACCTGAGCTTGTTTAAAGTAACCTATCTGTACATTGTCTGCTTACAAGATTTTAAACAAGCTCAGATACAGATACTTGAGCTTGTTTACAGTCACGTAATAAGAGAAAGTCACCTATTTATAATTGAGCTTGTTTACAGTCACCTATCTATGTACCTGGGCTTGTTTATGGTCTTGTAATAAGACAATGTAACCTATCTGAACCTGAGCTTGTTTACAGTAATGTAATAAGACAATGTAACCTATCTGAACCTGAGCTTGTTTACAGTAGTGTAATAAGACAATGTAACCTATCTGAACCTGAGCTTGTTTACAGTAGTGTAATAAGACAATGTAACCTATCTGAACCTGAGCTTGTTTACAGTAATGTAATAAGACAATGTAACCTATCTGAACAGAACCTGAGCTTGTTTACAGTAATGTAATAAGACAATGTAACCTATCTGATCCTGAGCTTGTTTACAGTAATGTAACAAGACAATGTAACCTATCTGAACCTGAGCTTGTTTACAGTCGCATATTAAGACAATGTCATCTATCTGTACCTGGGCTTGTTTACAGTCATGTAATAAGACAATGTCACCTATCTTTACCTGAGCTTGTCTGTAGTCCTGCACTGAAGACAGATTGGAAGCAAACTCTGACAATGACCTGACCATGCTTGGGTTATGGGTCTCAGCATCTGTATAATCCACCAAGTCCTTTGCTATCTGATCACCTATAGTAAAGCAAAATTACACTTGAATGTTTAGTGTCCTTCTATTATACAGAACAATATCTAGTGTCACACGTACACCAAATCTTCTTATGTGTCACTCAGAGAGGCAGCACTGAGTAAGGAAAATTACAGCTAGAACTGTTTTCATTTCTTTTTTGGGAAATCTTAACTGTCACTACTTTATGGTATGCCTTCACTGAAGGAACAAACACTGTTTAAAGCTCAATTCTGTTTTTCTATTACAACCATTTTCAGGCAAGAATCTTTCATATTGTTCTAAAATTCAAATATACAAGTGATTTTTGGTATTAAAGACAATAAGACAGTGTAAACCATCTTGATCCTCTCTTGACCTTGACCTTTAGATTATTAGATCGTTTTGATAACCTTGACTTTGGCATTCAGAAAGTTTAAGACATCTGAAGGAGAGACATTTATTGTCCTTCATTAAAACACTTTCAGAATGCAGATAGTCTAACATTGACAGATATAATTATTAATATTTTACTTTAAACCTTGAGACTTTCTTTACACATATAACAGTGACTGATTATACTTTAAATCTTATGTAAAATGTGAAGATCTCAAGCAGTGACCAATCTCATGAATCCAGTAAACAAAATGAACAGGGCACAAACATGGACCCCTGGAAACACCAGGTGGGTTTAGGTGTCAGAATGAGTAAGCACTCCATGTTAAATTCACCGTGAGCCCTATGTATTGATCAGGTATGCGGAGTATATTGTAGTACCCTGTAGTCAAATTTAGTATAAAAGCAATAACCTTACAAATGGTATCAAACATGTCAGACAAAATATGACCCAGTGAACTGATAGGTTGTATTTACAAACAAGGTAAATATAACAACTGTAGAATATGCAAAAAACTGACTTTAAATAGGGCTTTTCAAATCCTTGTAATATCAACTTATTTGTCGGTAACTTGCTCCAGTTTATAAATTGATTGTACTCAGAAAATGCTCTTGGATATTGAATCAGTTGGGAGACATAAACATTATTTAAGCAATTCACTAAAAACTGCTGCTGCAGTACAGAAACAAGTGAAGAGGGGTTTGAATGAAGTAAAACTTGCAGCATATTACCTTTATTCTTGAATCTAACTTTATAGTCAAGACTACATACATGAATATTTGTCCCTAATGCTTCCTTCACAGACACATCAGAAGGTATTTTACCTTTATCTTAAAAGCTACCTTTACTGTTATTACAGCTGCTATAATTAACTTTATCTCAAAGCCTCCCTTCATAATGCTACAGCTGCTATAATTAACTTTATCTCAAAGCCTCCCTTCATGATGCTACAGCTGCTATAATTAACTTTATCTCAAAGCCTCCCTTCATGATGCTACAGCTGCTATTTTAATTACTTTATTCTGAAGGCTACCTTTATTGATATGACAGCTGTTATTTTAACCTGAATCCTAAAAGCTACCTTTATGTTTCTGCTGTTATTTTACCTTTATCCTGAAGGTTACCTTTATTAATGTTACAGGCAACAGCTGTTATTTTACCTTTATCCTGAAGGTTACCTTTATTAATGTTACAGGCAACAGCTGTTATTTTACCTTTATCCTGAAGGTTACCTTTATTAATGTTACAGGCAACAGCTGTTATTTTACCTTTATCCTGAAGGTTACCTTTATTAATGTTACAGGAAACAGCTGTTATTTTACCTTTATCCTGAAGGTTACCTTTATTAATGTTACAGGTGTTATTTTACCTTTATCCTGAAGGTTACCTTTATTGATGTTACAGGCAACAGCTGTTATTTTACCTTTATCCTGAAGGTTACCTTTATTAATGTTACAGGTGTTATTTTACCTTTATCCTGAAGGTTACCTTTATTGATGTTACAGGCAACAGCTGTTATTTTACCTTTATCCTGAAGGTTACCTTTATTAATGTTACAGGTGTTATTTTACCTTTATCCTGAAGGTTACCTTTATTGATGTTACAGGAAACAGCTGTTATTTTACCTTTATCCTGAAGGTTACCTTTATTGATGTTACAGGCAACAGCTGTTATTTTACCTTTATCCTGAAGGTTACCTTTATTGATGTTACAGGTGACAGCTGTTATTTTACCTTTATCCTGAAGGTTACCTTTATTGATGTTACAGGCAACAGCTGTTATTTTACCTTTATCCTGAAGGTTACCTTTATTGATGTTACAGGTGACAGCTGTTATTTTACCTTTATCCTGAAGGTTACCTTTATTAATGTTACAGGTGTTATTTTACCTTTATCCTGAAGGTTACCTTTATTGATGTTACAGGAAACAGCTGTTATTTTACCTTTATCCTGAAGGTTACCTTTATTGATGTTACAGGCAACAGCTGTTATTTTACCTTTATCCTGAAGGTTACCTTTATTGATGTTACAGGTGACAGCTGTTATTTTACCTTTATCCTGAAGGTTACCTTTATTGATGTTACAGGCAACAGCTGTTATTTTACCTTTATCCTGAAGGTTACCTTTATTGATGTTACAGGTGACAGCTGTTATTTTACCTTTATCCTGAAGGTTACCTTTATTGATGTTACAGGTGACAGCTGTTATTTTACCTTTATCCCTGAGACGGGCACATTTTCTTGTGTAAGATGCCACATCATCACACAGCTGACCAAAGTGTCGCTCCACTAGGTTTATACGCTCTTGTATCAGCTTAACTTTGTTCTCACTACAAGATCAGATGTAGAAAAAATAGTGGTTGTACAGTTAAATACTCTACATGTACATGTAAATGTCACAGAAATATTTTCAATAGACTCTTTTTTGCAAATACATGTACAATTAATAGATACTGAATTGTAAAATATTAGAAAAAGTTAAATGTAATAAGGAAAATAAAATTTAAAGGAAAAAAAAGAATCACATGAATTTACTTGATATAAACAGTTGACCTTTGAGACATTAAATTTAATCAGTAATAAAGAGCAATTGTCAATCAGCATATCATAAGATATATAACAGGATATTTTAGCACCCAGCAAATTTTGTGATTTTATCCTAAAATTAACTACATTTTGTATTATTTAACATGTTTAAAATATTATCAATTTTTAGTGATTTTAGGGATAACTCTATTTGTTTTCCCATACATTATTTGGGTTAAAATTTTTGGAGACATTATTTTTACCTTTTCCAGGACCACTACTAAATAAATGTAAGCCAAAATTTGATGGTTGCTAAAAATTCCATTTATATGATATTTCAAATATAGACTCGATGTTAGTTATATAGTCAGTTTAACACAAATAAATAAATAATACCATGGACAAAATCAAATATAAATACACAAAATATTATAATTTATACATGTATTAATAAAAGTTTTGACTGGAAATATATTACATGGATAAACATTGATTATAAATTGAATCAACTTGGAAAAACCATTATTCAACATTGTATTATGATAGTCTAGAAGTATCAATAATAATAAATTGAACTGAAATAAACTTCATTTCTACATTTTTTCTAAGTTACTATATAGTATGACCAATTTAGATGCAATTATACTGATATATTTAATGTAAACACATATACTAGTGATAATCCCATTAGAAAAATTGTCAATCCTACAAATATTACAACTTCTAGAAGGATATGTTGTTTTTTGAAAAAGTGCTTTGACACCAGAAAAGAAAGTCAGCAATGAATACTTAGAAATATGTGAATATACTCTACATTATTTTGTTCAACTCACATTTGTCACTTTGTATATGTATGTATTATTCTTGTTAATTCGTTTTATGTCATGACTGTATGCCGACATGGTAATTGTCAATAAAGTGAATTGAATTGAATATATGTAGGATTCATTACATTACAGCACTTGCCTGTGATTCATTCTTCATTTAACATTATTTGATGTATTAGCATAACTTCCACTCATCACTATTTTTCAAGCATTTTCATGAGATTTGTTTTGACAACATAAGTGGGGACATAATTAAGGGACTTCTCTAAAATTAGTTTCATTACCATAAATCCCATCAACAGATTATGATTATAAATGGTTGTTTAAAATCCAGATGGAAAGATTTCATAAAGTTACATGAATCAAGACATGTACAGGCATTAGGTCTTTTCTAGATGTTCAAGAGTATTATAATGGCAAATAAAGCATTAATTCACAAATGAAAATTTTAATATTAATGGAGCATCATTTTACATTAAACACTTGACATCCATAATATTTATAATATTTTAAAAGCACAGAATTCTGGTATAGGTTAATGATATTAATAAGTATTTCTACCTAAAATCAAATTAATAAATTACCTTATTATAACATGACTGTAAATAATGCATGTATAAAACTAAGTATTACATCTTACTTTAAAAAATATTTAAAATCACTGGAATCATCTTTATAACAAGCAAGCAATATAATTTACACCAAACATAGTAACAAATGCCAGAAACTGTCAATTCTAAATTAATGTTAATGCCCCCTTCCCCTATATGTATGATACTGGTAATGCCTCAAAATCCTCATGCATTACTCATGCAACATGCTGTTCTGACTATTAACAGATACCATGCACAGGTGATGAATGCAGGAAAAAATAATGATATGCCTCTCTGGAGTACAAAGGTAATCTATGCTAGCCAACATAAACAAAGAATGTAACATAGCAATATACCTTGATTGCCCTTTAGAATCATTACCCATCATTCGTTTAATCCAGCTTCTTTGGTTTGGCTTTTGTTTGCTTAAAGGCACATTAAAACTCTTTAAAAATCTTTAAGATTGTATATATTACAGACTTTGAAGTAGATTTTATTTGCTGTTATAAACTTTTACAATCATTCTGAAAGCAGTCTACCAGCACTAGATTTATTTTCAAAAATTACTGATTATTTAGAACACCCATACCATTGTTGTGTGTGTGTCATATACTTGGTATTAAATTGCGGAAAGAATGGGTTCATGCAATGATAAAACTGATCTCCCATTTTATATAACCCTGGATTCGCAGATCGTTTTCTGTACAGTGTAATCTTTAAAAATATTTAAAAATTTGTCTGCTAGACAAAATGGCATTTCAACTTATGATCAACTATATGTATGTCCACTCTCTGGCATCTAGTAGACCCAGGGGACATGAACTGCACTATCTTAGTAGACACCTACTAGCTCATTAAAATTATACATCAAGTTTGTCTGATCAAAATGCTACATGTTCAGGAGTGCAGAGATTTTTAAATGATGTGATGCATTTTCCAGTTTATGATCAACTTGTTCCAACCCTGGTCATGAACCCTGAACCAAGGGTCATTAATGTCATAGTTATTCCCTATAATTATTAAACGACCTATTGTATGATAGTTGTCTAGGGACAAAGAAGTTAAACAAAGATACCGATTTATTCAGTTTTCAATATTTTACTGAACTTAGTCTAGCCCTGGGTCCATATCAAAAGTAAACAAACATGTCAAATCATGAAAGCAGAAGACTCTCCTCTTTTCTAACTCAGTATGTAGTCATTCATAACAGTCATAAAGTATTGATAATAATTATACATATACATTGATTAATTGTTTACCTTGCACGTATTTCTGCACCAGTTCTACTCATCTTCTTTTTCCTACAAAACAAAACAGGCCGAAAAACCTCTGAAATTCCTCATTACACCAAATGTTGTTTTCAAAATAGAAGAGTTCTGATTTAACTGACTAGTTATATTTTATAAAACCTTCATTTAGGCCTAACTATACTATTTTTTTCTTTATTTAGAATATTCCATTTAAAATTAATTAATGTCGGAATGTATGTTTGAGTCTCCTCAAATAAGCATGTAGAAATATGAAGCATTCGATGATCGAGTTAATGTAGAATTTTTTAAAAATGGCGGCTTCCATGATTGGAAATCAAATTTTGGTAAATACCTTTATGTGTAGATTTAAACTCAAATGTACTCTCTTCATTAAATGTTGTCGTAAACCTCACTATGCAGGAGACATTTTGTGCCAATCAGTATTACAATTTAGGGTTGATTGTTCTGTGTATTAATTTTTCAGACACAAGTTCAGAGTTTGAATTCTATAAAACCTTTATACCAGAGGTGCTTAGAACTGGAAAAAGTTTTGAAGAATACAAGTACTAAGGTACGACTACATGTTTTCTTTTTCCATTCATTATAGCTCAGCCCATAATTAAATAAGTCTTTGTTTCTTCTGAGGCTCTGACTCATAATTTTTGAGCTGGGTAGGAGGAGTTTTTTTTACAAGATGAAAAAGTAATGAGCTTTGAACTTCAAACTTTATTTTGCCTGCAGGTAAGAAAAATATATTACACTGTATGTATTCCTATGCTCTTAAAATGTATTGGTTTAATCATTTCATTCTGAAAATAATTATCAAGATTATAAATTACATGCCAATTTGATAAGACATTTCATTTTCATATTAAATTGCAAAACACTGATCTATTGTTCACATTATGTAAAACTGTTTTTAATTGTTGTCATTAAAATAAGCATCAGTTCCTCACATTTAAGCTAGCCTGGCTAACAGCACATATATCTCAAATATTATGAGTGGCAATAATAAGGAAAATTTCAACTGCAAACAAATATTTTTTGTTCAACAATATGCCTTCAGTTTACATTCAACTTCTATCTCATTCATGTATCAACTACTCACACAGTGTTAACTAGTATTGAAATAAACTTTACATCTGAATTGAGAATATTCCTTCCATTAGGAATTGAAGAATGTCCTGCCTTATTTACTGGAGAACATATTTGGGTATGGACAAAATCCAGGCTGGGGGTTAGACCTGATCAACAGATCCTCCAATTCACAGGACTTTGATAACATCAGAAGACTACTAGCCCCTGAGGGAACTCTCCTGTCTCTAGTGTACACACTGATGACAGATTCATTCTACGAATTTCCAATAAACAGTCTACCTGTAAGCATTACATAAAAATGTATTCCTTTTATGTTCTGATTTTTGTACACCAAATAGTAATAGTAATTTTTTAATGGTTAAATTTAAATACATGTAGGTTCAGGACAGATACATGTATATACATCTTGGTAAAAAGTATTTATAATTAAAATAAAATTAATTTAAATTCTTAATTGATTTATAGGTTTCTGTAATATGATTGAAATATTCACTTTAATTTGTATTGTATATGACTTCAATCTTACAGACACCAACGCAACATTTGATTGAAGATGGCAGTTTACCAATTTTTTATGCCAACAAACTTCAGTATCTGAATTTTGGCCGACCAGTCATTGTACTTAGTATCCTTGACCTTAACACAATACAGTAAAACCTTGTTGTCTCGATCTCCATTGGACCAAGATAAAACTCAAAGATGTCCAAGGATTTGAGATAACAAGGTTAAAAACCATAAAGAAAAAGTGATTGGGACTGCCATATCACTTTGACATATGGCATGCATCAAAGATAACGGTGTTTGAGATAACAAAGTTCAACTTTATTTGAATTGTATTCAGTTGATTGTAAAATAGATGTACCATATACAACTTACTTTACAGATTGATGGTTTTATTTGTTGGCCTTGACTTATTGATTAGATGCCTATGAGCTGTATATGTTTCACCTTGCCTACCATCTAGTCAATCCTAGTGTTCAGAGACACAACAGTACCTGGAATAACATAACTGATTCCCTTTACCCAGTTCTTATTGATGATTACCTAAACTTTTTCTTGCCATTGAATAAAGACAGTCTGCCCAAGATGCCCATAGTTCAAGCACTTGTACGCAGTCCAGTTGCCCACTCTCCAATGGCGGGGTAATAATCAAGCCTTCCTTGTTCACAGAATCCATAAAATTTATAAAACTTCTCCACAATCTAATTTCTGGAAAATATCTGAGTAATGAAATCAAATGAGCAATGTTTTAAAATCTTATTAAAGTAAGAAAAAAGAACTTTATGATTGTCATTAAAAAGAAATAAGATAGGGTGATAAAGAAAAAAAATGTGAAAATGTTACAGAATGATTTCTATGTAAAGATATTCCCACATTACAGGAAGTCCTTCAATATGCCAACGTCTCCCCCCTCCCCACAGCGACCCAGTCTGCTGAAGTCCAGTTTCGTATCAGCCCAGAAACAGCATGCCCAGACAGCAGCAGTTATCAGTCAGGGGGAGACAACTGAGACATACCGATCGGACACTCTTATACAGGTAAGGCTCAAGACATTATATTGAAATAAGCCAGGTTTCCTTGTTGAAGTGTATAGGCAGGGTTTCTGGATTTCATCAAAAATTTCTTCAGAATTTTCATTAAGATGTAAAAAAGTCTAGTATTAGGCCATTTTTAGTATTTTTTCTAAGCTAAATGCTCATTTGCACCTTGGTTTTTGCCATTCATTGAACACTATATAAAAGAACTTGAAATTCAGTTTATAAAATACCGTATATGCAGAAATTTTGGCGAGGATTCAATTTTGGCATTTTTAGCAAGGGTATTGAGATCGTTAAAATTAAATATTGCTAATATTTTATTCCGTATTGGAGGTTACCGTTATCTTTCTGTGCACCATGAAATCGCTAAAATTACTCCTCGCTAAAATTAAATACTGATTTTTAAGGACAAATCGCTAAATCTTCTTTTCGCTAAAAATTCCACTTATACAGTATTGCATTGAGTTCTTATTTCAAATTATAATGTTTTTGAGCTTTTTAAAAATTGAAAGAGTGAAATGTAGTTTTAAAATACATTATTAAGAGCATTTATTTTTATTTTCATGTACCGGTACATGTAGGTGTTTGCTGAGTTTTGGTTGAACCAGAATCCCATAAGCATTGACCGACAATCATTTTCTCATACAGCCTCGGTAAGTTTTGACAAAAGTTCAGTATTTTGTTCCCATCAGTGCATTTGGAAGTAATCAGATGAAAATTTCTTAGGAATTTTTAGACAGTACAGTATGCAAGAGCAAATAAACAAACAATAAATTTCTGTTGCAAATCTTGAAATATTAAGTGTGTAATACATGTACTTAAATATTAGTGTTTTATCTGACAAGCCACCGTATGTCCTGAGATTACAAAGAGGGCCGTACCAATACTGGTTTGTGAGTACTTTGGTACACATTACTGTAGTCATGTTATCCTGTAAACCAGCTTGGCTTGTAATACAGTCTTCAGTTTTGTTTAAAAAAGAATTTTTGAATAATGATATGTGGTTGTAGCTTAAAAAAGAAAAGAGAAAAAAAAGCTGAATTTTTTTTAATGGTGTATGATTTTGGATGGACAGAAAAATATACCTGTGTACATATATATACAATTTAGATGCTATGCATGCAATAGTTGTTGAAAAAAATGAATTTTGCATGTTTTTTCTTTTCTTTTAAAGAAACTACTGTAATACTATTATGCTAAGCCAAATTTAAAAATTTTAAACTAATACACAAACAGCATTCATACATTACACATTGAGCATGCAAATCCAAATGTTAAATGTGTTTGGGTCTGAAATTGGCATGCATACAATGTTTCAGGTATTTATAGCTTTTAACCTATAAATCACTGGGAAAAGAGAGTACATGTATACATGTAAATACTACATTACAGAAATAATAGTATTTTTCTTATTCGATAAAGATGATAGTTAACTGTTAAGTACTTTTATACATTTCATATGTGAATTCCATTAATGTGTTCAGATAATTGCCATCTTTCAGGAGAATTTCATGCCCAGCACAAACCATGTACGCCTCGTGAGATTGCTGGTGAAACACGTCCATAACTTTGTCAACACGGCCAAACCTGAGGTGGTGTCCTCACCATATCAAAGTCAAATCACGTCAACACTAGACGAGTTCAAAAAGTCAGTACAGCAATTAATATTCTTTTCTGTTGCAGAAATAAACTTACTTCTCTTCTGTAATTAAATTTGGAAAAATGTCATGTAAAGACCAAAAAAAAAACCTTACTGGATTTAGCAGCATAATTCTAGGCTTTTAATCTTTGATAAAAAAAAATCACCTTCACATCAGTTACTAGGATAAAAGATACTTGTCTCCTCTAAGTAGGTTTTAACTAATCAGCAGGGCTTTATTGACAGGTCTCTGATACCGTATGTCATACAGAAGAAGCTTTACACATTCCTTCGCCATGGCTTTGATAGATGGCCACTGGACTGTTCCTTCAGACTTGTAAGTTGAATATTCTTTAAATCAGTTAAGGACTCAAAATCATAAATATTTTCCCTCTCATTCCCTACCATGAAAGAAAGTTCTCAAATACATGTTCATGCATTTAGCTTTTCAAATCTGGCAAAATATGTTACAATTTTTAAAGTACATGTACACTGTACTATAATTTATCATTCCAGTAACAGGGTGTCAGATCATTTAAGCAAGGATGCTCAAGTTTCATAAAATGATTACCATTATGATATTACTTATCTATTGGATGTATGGTTTCAATGAAATGAATTCTACTTTGCATATGAAACACAAAGCCCAACAACCCAACAATACCACTTATAGTGTGAAAAATCTCATGGAATAAATTTTCACTTGTACAGCATTCATAGTAAGCATGTGGCCAGTTAAAGCCCATTTTACTTCCTATAATCATGTGTCATATTCAGTTGTGTTTTAACAAGGTGGAGCTAGTATAAAAAAATTACAACATGAAAACTACTAAGGTATAAAGATGCACATTTGCAAGTGAAAGTTAGAAAAAAAAAAGTCATTTATATTCTATACATTTAAGTTGATAATTCCTCCTGTTCAAGAAACATTAGCACTTCGATGTGTTGATCAAAATTATTTAAATAGATTAAAATACATGTACATGTATTTAAAAGGTTCCGTCCTTGTATTTTGAGAGAAAATGTATTCAGAAGGTTGCTATAACAATATGACATTATGATTATAGGAAGTAAAACAGGCTTTGAATAACCATGTGTTGTTTACTGTAAACAATCATTCAGCACAAATAATCATAGTAGTACTGTCAGTAGTACATGTATTGGTGTGTTCTGTGTTCCATATGCAATGTAATAATAATTTCATGGAAATCAAACATCCAATCAATGAATATGTAATATGGAAATCAAGTTATGAAAAACTGTGATGCTCGATTTTAAAGGTGAAATGACATAGTGAGAATATGTACAGTCAAGCCCCATAATTCAGATGCACATGTTCCCCCCAAAAATTGTCCAGATTAATGGAGTCCCTAGATTACTAACACAGACCCTTTATAATTGGTAGATATACATAAATAAATTCTGTTCCTCAAAAAATTTCATCCAGAAAATGAAGCTTTCAGACTGTTGAAGTGTTCTGATTATTGATGTCTGGATTAATGAGGCTGGACTGTATTTTTAAAACTTACTTTTCTTGTAGCTTCTAGAGACATGGTTAACGTACATTCAGCCATGGCGTTACATTTACAGCAAGTCACAGACAGGCTGTAGGGACAGTGATGTTGGTGACAATAAAACAGTAGAGGAAAAATGGTCAGTATTACAAAACACTCACTCCAGGAAAGGAAGAAAAGCATTCAGGTTTCCCTAGAAAGGGAAACTACTATAATGATTTTTCATAAAGGGAAAAAAGTTAAGATTTTTAATGCAGAACTACATGTATGTTTCAGTGACTGGAGTAATACATTGTAGTACAATATTATAGTAATTTTAATATACAATATTTATATACTCTATACATGATTGTAGGTTTCCTTTTGTGGAGGATAACCTGCTGTTTTATACAGTGTTGTATCAGGAGTTTACACAGAGAGTATTCAGAATGGATCTCACTACACAATTTAATGCCTGCATGCTCTACAGGGCAAACAAGGTACGAGTATAAAAATAAACTTTGCTACATACATGTATGTGCCAGGTATTTAAAATGCAAGAAAATCATATTTGATGTAAATATTTGTCTTGTTATTCGGAAGGCTCAATTTATAACATCAACTTTTATTACATTTAATAAATATTCAACCATTGCAGTGCATTAAAGAGGTAGTCATTTTGCTTGGGTAATCAGTTCTTTGTATTCAGTTTTGTTTTCATTACACTAAATGTATTTGTGCATGTATGCAGCTGATTTCAAAGTTCAGTGTCATACATAGAAAATTGGTGTAGATAGTTTTGATAGTTTTAACCTTATTTTTGACAACTTTGTGTTAACCTGTCACACAATATATGAGATAAACATGTACAATATGTTTGAAAAATTGTTAATTTGATGAAAGTCAAACATTTATTAAGACATTTATCACAGTTTTTTGGATTTCTGAAATCTTCTTTTCATGTGAAATATTACACCATGTACAAATGTATATATAGTGAATCCGATACAGAAGAAGCGAGTTTCATTTACTGTTTGATCATGTTGATGAAAAGTTCCAGATATTTAAAGTTGTTCATTCACAATAGAAAGATTGATTGGTTTATTGTTTTAATTTTGTTCTGTAACATACACGTATTTACATGTACATTTTTGTTTACACAGGTGTATAGTCTGCCAAACTTATCAAACATGGTATTTAGAGGTATAAACTTTCAGAATCTATTTTGCAAATATCTCATTTCAGAGTAAAAAGAATAAGAAAAAAAATGAAATCGTTTTGTTAAATTTTTAGCTTAAAATGTACCCCATAACATGTATATTGTTATAAAGTTTTGAATTGTCCATGATTCTGTATAAAAGAAGCTTGTAATTGTTCAAGTCATTTTGTAATTATAACATTATAGTGATAGTAGGAACACCTAATCTGAAGCCTCTGGTAAATTCAAATTCAAAATTTCAAACACTAGTCGTGGAAAAAAATTGTAATTCAAACAGATACACTTCACAAATGACATTGATTTTGATTTGTAGCCGAGAGGGAAATGTGTAATGCTATAAGGTTAGGACGTCCAGGAAGTCATGACCTGGGAGGGAGCTACATCTCCCCCGAGGCTAGTCTGTCCCTCCACTCACAGATTTCAGAGCTAGAGAAGCCTGGATTTCAGTATTGCAGAATGTACAGTGAAGAAATGATTCAAATGGTAAGTGGTAGATTTTACTTATAGGAAAAATAATGTTGATACATGCAACATACAAGTTTCAGGTTTAGCTATCTGAGCCCTGTGATATCTCAAAAAAGAGTAGCTCTTTCTTTTCAGGAAAATAATGTTGAAATATAGGTAAATCTGGATTTGCTGAGAATTTGTTTTTGTTTTAAAGAGAAAGTTTAACTTAGACACAAAACCAAAACTGACAAATTCATATGGCTTTGCTGACCTGGGTACATGTTTCTCCTTATAAACTCTTAACATCAAGAACATGCAGCATTCTCAACATTTTGCTTCATGTCAAGTACCTGGTAAATAAATTATTTTGACTTTCGACTGAATGATCCAAAAAGTTATAAGTACAGTAACTGTTCTTTAACCATTGTTCCCCTTAGGACGAACACATACATGTAGTCTACAAATGAGACAACTTGTATAAACAAAAAAAATCATGGAATGGTCATATCAGTAGTCATTACCCTTTGTCTTGAACCTTCAATAAGGGACCTCAAAATTTATAGGCATCTTCCTCTAGCCATTCTCCAACTATATGTATGTAGTGAATGTGAAGTCTCTGTCAAGTAATTTAAGTTGAGAGATAGAATTTGGGTGGCAAATAACTTTTAAAACCTTAGGGACCATGTGGGCCCCCAACTTCTCAAGTTTTGCCAGCTTTATACATTGATATTTTGTGGCCCACAATTTTCTGTCCACTTGGTAATTAAATCTTCATCTTTTCATATCAAAGTCTCTGAGAAGTACATCTACTTTCCTGTCCACAGTCTTCCATTTTTCTGTGGATTTAGACCTCATCATTGTATGAAATTTCCTGTTTAATGCATTTTCCTTCACTTTGATACCACATGGAAATAATGATGCGATTTAGGCTCTACAAAATGGTTTGCAGATAGATAATCAATCTGCAATCCTCAGCTGACTCCACTATGCTCCAGTGTGCAAGGTACGAGCCATGCAAGGAGCTCTGAGTGTGTAGGAAATAGTGAAAATGAAAATGCCTTTAATATTAGAAGCAAACCACAGTAAATTAAAAAAATTCCAATAAAATTCGTTCAAATTGCATGTTGGCAGTAACATTCTTAAGATTTGGTCGGTCACAGACAAAATTACTTATATTTTCGAGTGGGTGAGTGGTTATTTGCAACCCGGTAAAATTACTAGGATATCACATCACATAAATGATCATATTAATTAACTTGATCTTTGACATGGGGACATCAAATCTGTATGTTTTCCTTAAGATGTCCTAAAACATTATTATACACATACTACATGTAGATATGAATTCCTACATGTTGATCAAAAAGATACTTATATAAATGTGTTGATCATCAGATGGATGGAGAAGTGAACAAAGTGATAATTTTGCTTTGCTTTTTCTTGAGGTTGACATTATGGACTTACTTTTCAGATGAAAGCTATTTTAGGACATATAGAAGTTGCCAAACAAACCCTTGTAGCCTATGAAGAATCTATTAATAGGACCAGAAAGTCAGGATTAGCAGCCATATTTGACGTGTCATCTTGGTTCCAGGATGACCAGAGCATGGGGGACATGTCTCCGTCAGAAGTTAAAAAAGTTCAGTCATACTTGGACACAGCAGCTTCTAACATATGCTATATATTTGAGGTAGGAATGGATTTCACACTCATCGATTCTTCATATAGGAGGATATTTATTACATAGAATGATCCAAGAATTGGACAATTTTAGTTTGCTCTTCATATAAATTGCACTAAATGTGCATGCAAAATCAAATAATAAATATTTTGAAATCATTGCACAACAAAGAATGTACGAGTTATTATGTTAAATAGAAATATCTCAAGAGAATGAAAAAGTAGTAAGATGGTAACATCATTCTGTCATTTAGAGAGGATCTTGAAATTTCTTAATTACTGTCGTTTTTTTTTTTTTTTCATTTTTCTTAATACATTTTTCTTTGTCAAGTTTTGTTCTCATCCCTTTAACGATGCAGACTTGCTCACTGGTTATTTCTACTTTATATTAACAGCATTTTTGGGTATTTGTAGATTGAAACTCATTCTTTTCCTTCAAAACAAATGTCTTCACCAAATCAATTTGAGCAGTCCTCATTTTTGGAGAGCTCTTTGTTGTCAAATACAATACCAGACTGTGAGGAGACAGAGGAGGGGTTTACACTGACACCTCATGGAAGATATCAGGTCAGATTCTCCTTATTAAATGATGTAATAGACAGTGAAGAGAAATGCAGTGTTTTACTATTTTATCAATCATTGAAACTGTGTTGTTTTTATTATTTTATTGAATAATGTATTTTATCTTGTCAAGCTGTGTATTAAATTTGAGAGGGGAACACAATAATACCATTAAGGGTCTAAAAGGATTATGAACCTTAGCTAAGAATAGTTGGAATATTTGTAAAAAGTTTGCTTAAATTCACAATTTTTTTTTTGTTTAGTTGAAGAATAAGATGAGGAAGTTTGATGTTGTGTATCAAGGTGACCCAGATTTACAGCCAATCAGAAGTTTTGAAAATGCCACATTAGTTCGTCTGCTTCATCAATTCTGTAACTTCGTTAATACTCAGGTAGGTTAAATCACCTGAGTCACACAGGTGGCTATTTGATACATGTATTACTTTCCATCTGTCCATCATTGTTTACCTCCCATGATTGCACATGAGTCTGTAAACTCTGATTATTTATTTTTGGCTTCTTTTCCGACAGTACAGCTCAGTGTTTGATATATTGTGTTTATGGTTACAAGGCTAGAAGTGATTGTCATGGTATCCAGCTCATGGGGCCTAAAAATGGGGGTCATAATCTCCAAATTATCATGATTTCTTTCCTCTTTACAATCTTCTTTACTTTTGAACATCTTGCAGACAAACTGTATGCACAATTATAAATGACAAATAAGTGCTGTACAAAAATTATTAAATTTATGTTTCCTGGGTTCAGAGCTCAGTGAAGGTGATCCATACAATGAATCTTGAAAATTAAATAATAATAAAAAAAACTTTTATTAGTCCATGGCATTCAGCCACCCTTTTACCAAATTTGTAAAATTTATGTCCTTTAGAGTGAGACAAGATGATGATACATTGGAAATGCATTATATCATCAGACTCTTAAAAAAAGTTTGGTTACTATACTAGTACATCTATATAGGAATTGTCTTTGAAGTTCTTTGTCTCTCCTTCCTTCCATTTGTTAAATAGTGTCTAATCCACAACTTTGTAATGGAGACACATTGAAAGCAAACAAAAGACCTGAGAGTATGTCTTACTTTTAACCCAAGTTTATTTGGACAAAGTTGAAGGTTACTGTTGTAAAATGTAAATCATGTGCTTGTCTTCTTCTTGTAATCATAAAACACTGGAAGCTTGTAATGAAATTTAAGTTAAAGAATATCCAAGTTCTCAAACTGTCATGACCTTTATACAAGTAAGTTATGTGGACAAGTTCATTTCAGTGGTAGAAAAAGTGGGAAGCTTGCGAAATAGAGGATATTTTGAGAGCCCACTCTCAGTATCTCTAAATTTTACATTTTATTTTTGCATCTAGCAGACAAATTATCTTCACGATTATGAAAAGCAGCCATCAGTGGGCCCTCAAAATCAAATTGTGATATTTATACAGATTTCCTTATGAGAGATAAAAAAGAGTTCCTGAAAAATCTTTCATGTTTAGATTTTTGGGAATATGCATGTGTATTTTTTCCACACATTGTAAAATTTCCTTCTTGAAATTAAATTATAGGTTTTTTTTTTACATGTATATGAGTCACCATGACTTGGTAAGAAATTGCCTGCTGATACAGTGCATGTTCATACCTATAGAAAGATTGCTTTGTCAAAGCAGTAACACAATGTTATTAAGACAAAGTCACTGTTATTGAAAGGGAAAATACATATATGACATCTATGTGTGGCTACATTGTAGTCATTTATAAGGAATGTTAGTTTATTCTTCACATGCCATTCATTTATGACCAGAATATTGTATTATTGTAAACTTGACACAAGGTCATCATAATGAAGGTCAAGGATTCTAGAAGAACTTTATAAAAGGTCTGTATGGCCTTAAGTTTGAGCATGTAGAAGAGGAATTTGAAGACTGGTATGTGACATACAAGAGACTCATGGACTGTAATGGTCACCTAACTACTGTTTTCCTTGGCAATGACTTACTCAGTCTGACCTTGGCTTCAGGCCCAGGATCATGAAACAGACAAGTCAAATCTCAATCATAGGTAACTGGACTTGAATGACTCAAATGACCTCAAAAGTTGCTCTACTCCAGTACCCCTTTGAGTGTATAGAGATATTTATGATATTCATATGACTGTCAGTAAGGGGTTGTACAAGAGTCTAGTTTGATTTACACATTTTACTGTAAGAAATATTTAATTATTGCTTGAAAATATTTGGTTCAAAGATAAAATTTTTATTTAGCACTTGAGTAAATAAGGGTTGTTTAATTCTGATGTTTTTACAGTATGGTCAGGATATTCAGAACCTATGTGACAGGACTGACCTTATAGGACGGATGGCACAGGTGTATTTTGCTCCACCTCTTCCTTTGGACAGTAAATTAAATTCTCCAATATCAAGCACACAGAAACGAGCATTACAGAGACCACGACTCAGCCTTCGACTGCTGGCCAGTTATCGGACCTTGGTGTATTTGGGACTTTTCTACCTGATTCTCACCCTGTGGTGGGGTGTGGGACTAGTGGGATTTTGTTTCTTTGTGATTGGATTAGTATTATTGTATGGATTTCTTTTTGCCATGATTCACAGATCCAAAGTTAAAATGAATTAGATTTGAATTTTGACATTCTCTCATCAAATTTTACAATAATGCAATTTATATTTTAAAAAAAAGTGTTTTTGTAGATGCACATCAAATGTGAAGTTAATAAAATGGACGGATAATATTTTTATATTCATTTATGTATCCCTAAAGTTTTCTTGGGTTACCATCACTTGTTACAGTAATATTTATTATCTAATTGATCCAAACTTGATTTTATTTTACACAGAGAATTGAACAGAAAAATCTTACAATAGAGATTTTTTAAAACTTGTTCATAGACAAAGGCCAAGGACATGAAGATCTATCTCTGAAGGTCTTGTAGCCACAAAAACTGACACACTTTATACCAAATCACCATTTATTTTTTTTTAAATATATAGATTGTATCCCCTTGCAAACCCCTCCTGGAAAAATAAAACAAGGTCAAATTTTAGACCACAAGGTCAGTAACCCTAGTATGACATTTTTCAATAAAAAGTCTATTAATATTCCATCTATCAAAGCCAACTTTTTAAGGTTCAAAGGCATAGGCCATTTTATTTTGAATTAGGATAGAGATTTAAGGTATCTTTGACTTGTCCCCTCTTTTTTAAATCCTTATACATATATCTTATCCAGCTTTGATACATGTATTCATATGTAGCATAATACTAAATTTTAAAAAAATAACATTCTGTGAGCCTATAATGAAAGGTCTATTGACAAGCAATAAAAGTGCTAAATTTAAATGCATTTTATTTACAACATTATACATTGACAAAATACAACATTGCACTTGTGAATACCTGGTAGTAATAAGATTGAACACAGTCATAAAAATTATATAACACAATTGTAAAAACTACAGTCATATAATATAAATATGTGCATATTAGCACCCTTTTCTGTTATTTCTTAAAAAAAGAGCTAGGTTCACTTTATCCATAAAATGACCCTGCCTATATACCTATTAACTGACCAAGACTCAATGTCCCATTTTAAACATCAATACAAAGTAGAGACTTAAATTGGTGCTTTCATTTCCCATAAAAAATTTTCCTCTGAGGCCAACTTTGAAAAATTGTTTGGTTGTCATCTCCCGACCGACCAGCTAAAATGGCCTGACTCCAAAAAAATTTTGACCTCCAGGAAGCAATTATTTTTTTTATGCATTTCGGAAAATAGATTTTTAAAATTCAGCATTGATGTTGAAATTTTCTGTGAGAAAAAATTTCTCACATACCTACCGACCCAATTTTTTTCATCCTGAATCGGGAGAGGGCAAACAACCATTATTATAAAATTGACCTGTATTTTCAGCTCATAAAATATTCCTATACATTACTGAGACTTGATAATATCAACCAATTAAATTTTTGCAATCTTTTGGTTCAAGTAAATACGTGTATTAAAAAAAATAATTCCTAGTCATTTTGAAATGGAAAACACCGGGGATGCACAAAATATATATTGCAACATTAAAAAATAATAAAAATTATTACAATAAGTAAAAAAAAAAAAATACGGAACGACTTTACTTTACCGGTCCCCAGAAAAATGCGCTAAAATATAGTGTCTCCGTAGGCGACTTCAGTATATATGAGATCGCGTGAGCAATCGAAAAAAATTAAAAGTATGAGGTTTTTAGCCTTTTTGACCCCAAAATCGAATTCTACGGTTAAAAGTTTAGTTTAAAACTTCGTTTTTAAACGATGTTTTTAACCAAGTTTTCTGAAAAAAGTGATTAATATTGTTTATTCAGTGAAAAGGAGACGAAAAATAATTGTCAACGAAGCGCGTGCGGCGCATGCTTAGTGCCGTTTCTTTCGTACTTAGCCATTTTTTCATGTAAACAAACCAAAGAGATTCGTGAAAGCTGAATTTAGATCTTGCAAAAAATACAGATATGCAACTGAATTTCTTAATTTATCTAAAAAAACAAACAAACAAGAAACTAACCCTAATCCCTCGGATGGTATGCGAGGACTAACCCAAATCTCCCGGGCGGATGCTAGACTATCCCATTTGCGAGGACTAACCCTAATCTCTCGGATGGATGCGAGACTAACCCTAATCAGTTGAAAACTTGTGCAAGGACTAACCCTAATCTCTCAGGTGAGTGCCAGACTAACCCTAACCAGTCAAAAAATGTGCAAGACTAACCCTTGTCAGTTGAGTGACGTAAATCTTACGTCATAGTGCAATGAGCGCGCGGATCTTGCGGATCTGGGGACCGGTAAAGTAACGTCTACCCAAAAATACTCATAATTATCCATGTGAAAAATGGAGAATTACTTTCAATATTGCACAATCACTGGAGTTAAATTTCAGTTTTATTTTCCTTTGGTCTTTGTCATTTTGAAAATGTACATTTAATTGGATGAGTATATACAAAATGAGGGTTTAAAAATGATACATAATAATACACACACAGACATACACACAATGAGTAATATTTGGATCCACTGAATATGATCTCCTTTACTCTTTAAGAAAATCATTGTCGTTTATCAGTCAATAAACGCCACTAAGCATACCACCTGTAAAGATTTCTTGAAGGGGCTCTTCCATCAATGAAACACAATGACGTACATTTCAATAATACAATATATTACCTGCTTAATCTTACTTTATATGAATATTTATATAGATATTAAATATAAACAATAAAATGCCTTCCTTTGTTTTTTAGTATGGGAATTAACGTTGCGGCTTTTGCAGACCATACTAACAAAGAAAACATTTATTGTTTAATTAAATGAACACTATCTGTACCGAGTCCATATGTTTGTTTTCTGAATTTTTTCACTCTGTTTGTGGATAATGAGCTGATTAAGGAATATCAATTATTTCTGGTATGTGTCTTGATATCAGTGACTTATAGATCAGGGTTGAGTTTTTGTGTAATCTCAGCGAGATTCGTCGACACTAACAATTTTGGACTGAACATTTCTTCGAAGAGACGTTCATATTTCAAGAGTCGAATTGTTAAAGTTTATTACTTTCGGATATTGAAAAAAAAAAAAACAAGAATATGTCTAGCAAGTCTGTAGAGTCACTGACTCTACACTGTAGACTCGGAACAGAAAAGTCAAAATTTGAAGTAAGTATATAACTTAAGAAATAATTTTAAAAATAAAATAAAATTTTCATCAAGCATTTGTAGTTCATATCATACAAATTTATAGCATTTTAAACATATTTGCTAAATAAAAACAAAGCATAACAAGATGTGTTTGTGAAACACTGATGCCCCCGTATGGCAGCTTATGGCGAAGGTTAAAGTTTCTCAAATGCAAGTCAAAATCCAGGCCAAAAGATAAAAAATGTTAAATTTGAAAGCCCTAGCTGTAACTGTTCAAAAGTTATGGCGAAGGTTAAAGTTTTTTAAAAGTAGGTCAAACTCCTATGTCAAGGTCAAAGGGTCAAAGTGGTTGGTATCCAAAGGAAGGTCTTGTCACAAGGAATACATATGTGAAGAATGAAAGCCCTAGCACAAACCATTCAAAATTATTGTCAAGGTTAAAGTTTTTCAAATGTAGGTTAAACTCCTATGTCAGGGTCAAAGGGTCAAAGTGGTTGGTATTCAAAGGAAGGTGATGTCACAAGGATTACATATGTGAAGTATGAAAGCCCTAGCATCAACCATTCAAAAGTTATGGCTAAGGTTAAAGTTTTTCAAAAGTAGGTCAAACTCCTTGGTCAAGGTCAAAAGGTCAAAGTGGTTGGTATCCAAAGGAAGGTCTTGTCACAAGGATTACATATGTGAAGTATGAAAGCCCTAGCTCTAACCGTTGAAAACTTATGGCCAAGGTTAAAGTTTTTCAAAAGTAGGTCAATCTCCTAGGTCAAGGTCAAAGGGTCAAAGAGGTTGATATCCAGAGGAAGGTCTTGTCACAAGGAATACACATGTGAAGTTTGAAACCCCAAGTGCCAACTGTTTAAAAGTTATGGTCAAGGTTAAAGTTTTTCAAAAGTAGGTCAAACTCTAAGGTCAAGGTCAAAAGGTCAAAGTTGTTAGTATCCAAAGGAAGGCCTTGTCACAAAGAATACACATGTGAAGTTTGAAACCCCAAGCACCAACTGTTCAGAAGCTATGGCCAAGGGTCTCATAAAATTTTGCGAAAGTGGGTCAAACTCCAAGGTCAAGGTCAAAAGGTCAAATATGATGGTACCCAAAGAAAGATCTTGTCACAAGGAATACACATGTAAAATATAAAAGTCATAGCTCCAAACAATCAAAAGTTATGGGCAAGGTTAAAGTTGACAACAGACAGACAGACCAACAGATAAACAGACAAACAGACAGACAGGACAAAAACAATATACCCCCGGGATCTTTCGATCCGGGGGCATAAAAATTAAATTTGACTTAAGATTTTTTTGCCTGGTTTTGTTTTCAGATCACATTTTCATTGGGCTTTAAATGTCCGATTTCATCATCTCTACGATGAGGATCATCATCTGTGGTAAAAATCAGTATGTAGTAAAAAACGAACGAGCATATGAGAGTACAATCCTAACAAAACTACGAATTATTGCTCATACACTACATATTGTAATGGGGAGAAACCCAAGGCCACATGTTCCTATAGAAAAATGTGTGTCATTCCTACAAACTGTTTATCGAAAATGAAAAAAAAAGTACTTTATTGTCCTAGCTATGATCAATGTAGATAACATTATTGCGATATACATGTATTTAATGCTCAATGTTACATGAAGGGAGCCCTTTTTATTGAAATTACTAACCCCCTAAGTGTTAAAATTGGTAGAAGAGTTATGTAAATTTCTAAAGATTGGAATGCTTTGATATCAAAAAGGATATGACTACAGTAAGAACGTGTAGTTATTTGGATCTTTTGATGTATGTTATTTGTTTGATGTATTCATGACTATAATTATGTCAATGTGTGATGATGTTGTGAATAAAATGAATATATATTTAATATAGCAGTGCCGAGGAATGATTTTTTTTAGTTCAGAAAACTTTTATTTGTCATAATTGCATAAATTTCAATGAGAACTTTACTTTAAATACTAAATTCACAAATTGAATATGATTTTTATGTATCTTAAAACTGTAGGCATTCAGCACACCTTGTTCGTCCATCTCCTTACCATGGCAAGTAATATTTTCCATCTTATATATTTTGTAAAATATTACAATAGTATATACATGTATACTTAATCTTATATAGCTTATAGAAATGGTTATTGTCTTTTGTCATAACTCGTTAATTTGTACTGAAGCCCATTTAAGACCCACCAAAAATATATTGAATTCGATATAACGAGCTGTCAAATTTGTTAAAAACGAATTTAAATTAATTTTTCATATCAATTTTTGAATACGTTATAACTAATTAAATCCGTTTAAACTAATTCTTTGGTTTGTTATAACGAAAAAAAAAATCGTTAAGACAATTTCGACAATTCGTAATTACGAGTTCATAAACATTTTTCTAAAGGTTCTAAATGTCGAATTCCTTATAACCAATTTTAGAACTCGTTATGAACGAATTTAATTCGTTATAAGAAAATTTGTTCTTATTTAAATGAATTTATTCTGATTTAATTTTTTTTCAATTTGCTGAAATAAATTCAACAATCTGTTTTGAGGAATTAAATTCGTTAAAACGTATTAAACCAGAAGTCTCTGTCGAGACTGTAGCTCTACTGGTTTGTACTTATAACAAAGGAAGAGAAAAGTAGTACTTGGACTTGAAACTTTGCAACAGCAATAAATACATAGTAATCCTTGTTTTACTCTCTTTTTGTTGCAAGATGAATTGCAATCAGACTAAAACTGTAGAAAGAGTAGCCTTTTAAAAGAATTTTAGAGAAATTTTGATTCTAGTTACCATGGTAACATCATTCATCAAAATAAAAAAAAAAAATAAAAACTATGTTTCTCAGTGTAGTCTACTTGCATGCCATGTTATATTAAAATCAGACCAAACTGTAGGCGAAGTAATATTTTGTTTGTTTGTTGTTTAACGTCCCTCTCAAGAATTTTTCACTCATATGGAGACGCCACAACTTGCCGGTGGAGAGCTGCAAATTTTGACGTATGCTCGGCACTCACCGCCATCGAGCAGTAAGAGATCTTTTTCGTGCCAGCACCTACTGCGACATGGGACCTTGGTTTATACGGTCTCATCCGAAGGACCGGTCTCCATGTCCCACAGTGGGATTCGAACCCGCGACGTAAGGATCAATTCCTTACTCTGTGACTCTAGAGCAAACGTTCTACCACTGCGCCACGCGGGTGACAAGGAATGTTTTGAAAGTATGTCAAAGAAACTTCAGCTTTTTTGTAACTATGGCAACACTTCATCAAAATCAAAAAATGGACATACAGAATTATGTATCTCAGTGTAATCTACTTGTGTGCCAAGTTATATTGAAATCAGACCAAAACTGTAGGAGGAGTAGAGTTCTGAGAGTATTTCACAGAAATTTCTATTTTTAGTAATCATGGCAACACCGTTCATAGAAATCAAAAACCGATACACAGAATTATGTATCTAAGTGTAGTGTACTTGAGTGCCAAGTTATATTGAAATCAGACCAAAACTGTAGGAGGAGTAGTATTTTGAAAAAACTGTTTACAAACAGACGGACAGCTAGACGGATGGACGACGGAGAACTTACTATCGCATAAGCTCTTCTGGTCTCTGACCAGTAGAGCTAAAAATGTTATACTCAGTAACTAATTAAATTCGTTTAAACAAAGTTGATAATCCGTTCGAATTCAGAAATATTTTTAATAGATCCTAAATGGGTTTCCATAGACTTGAAGTCGACTCTAAACATTTTTAGTTATCTTTTATAAACTTACCTTCTGAGCGTAGACATAGACTCCCGATTACTGTATAAGAGATACATGTATTTGTATTTATAAATTACAAAAATTATGTGCCAAAAGCTCATTAATCAACAAGTATATATTTCATTGCATTAATTAAATAACTTCATATGAATTGAATAGTTCTTCACTTACTAAAGTAATGAAAACTGTTGTGACAAATGAAAACAAAATTCTTACTTTCACATAATTTTCCCCTTATCCCTTCATAGAATGTCTTGTGCCAAAACATAACGAAGATGAACCCCGTTAAAAAAATGCTTATTACAATAGATACAATTGTTTCAGGAAGGCAAGGCTCTTCTTCACAGCTATAAAAGAAGAGAAACAATTAATTTACCCACCGTTTCCTAAACAAATGACTATAAATTATAAAATATAAGTTTTCTTATCTGAAATGTATTTTCATATACATTCATTAAAGAAAATTTGAAAACGATTTCTTTTAGCATATATATATATATATATATATATATATATATATATATATATATATATATATATATATATATATATTTATATATATTAATATATATATTAATTCGTGCTTCATATAATTTTCAAAATATATTAATGTTTTAAATATATTTACTGAATGGAATACAAGTTTACCAAAGTGTCGGAATTAAATTTATGTATTAATGTATTATTATATATTAATGTATTATCCTAAATGTTCACCGTCATTTTAATTATCGTATGGTTATTATTTTTTTTTATCTTACGTCTATTTTGTGACATTTTTCTAATCCTTTATTTGTTTTGAAAAATATCTAACATTCTCTTTTTCAATTATTATCATTTGTCGTTAAACAGAGTTAATCCCATGGGATAATTTTCAAACCTAGACGAATAGATTATAAATATTAAAACAGATTTGGATAAGTTTGGATTTATTTTTTTTAATCAAATTTACAGATTAGTAATGCAACATGGACGTTTGTATTAGTTATGAAGTTTGATGATATTATCTTGATGATACTTTTGCTACATTTAAAACTTATGATTTTATAATATGCTGATAGCACTGTTATATTAGCAGAATCTGCTGATGATTTACAAAACGCATTGAATGAATTTCATACATATTGTACTCAGTGGAAACTTAATGTCAATGTTGATAATACCAAAGTCTTGGTTTTCTCCAAAGGGGCAATGTTATAGAGGAAATTTTATTATAATACCGAAATTATTGAAAATGTAAAAGAATTTAAATATTTAGGCATTATATTATCAAGAACAGGTTCATAATGTAAAGTGAAGAAAAAAATTATGTGAACAAGCACAGAAAGCAATGTATGGGGTGATAAGAAAAATTAGACAATTTAATTTACCGGTTGAATGTCAGCTTGACTTGTTTGACAAAGTAGTCGCACCCATATTTCTTTACGGGTGTGAGATATGGGGCTATGAAAATCTCGATGTTATTGAACGTGTTCATTTAAAATTTTTAAAAACTATATTTTATTTAAGAAGCTCTACACCAAATAATATGATTTATGGAGAGACGGGACGATTCCCCATGTATATTAATGTTTTTACAAGAATGATTACATACTGGTCAAAGATGTTTACATGTACAGAACATAAAATTGTCAATATTATGTATATGTATAAACAACAAGGTAACGATGGTATTAATTGTGAATGGATTGAATGTATCTAAAAGATTTTAAATAATTGTGGACTTTCATATATACATGTATGACACGAGCAAGGTGTGGTCAATATTAAATGGATAAGTGGTATAGAAAATCAGAACTTAAAAGATCAGTTTATTCAGAAATGGTCAAATGATGTAAATACAATGTAGTTCTTCTAAAGGCCAGGTTTACAGAATTTTAAAAACCAATTTCGGATTTGAAAGCTATTTAAAAAAATTACACCCAAAAACAAAGAAAGGTATTGATGAAAATGCGTACTTCAAATCATCATCTACCTGTAGAAACAGGGAGATGGTGTGGCACCCCTTTAAATGAAAGGATATGTTTACTATGTAACATTGGAAAAATAGGTGATGAATACCACTATATTTTAGAATGTACAGCTTTTTCAGAAATTAGGAAAGAATTTTACATATAGTAGTTACTGCAGTAGACCAAATGTTGTAAAGTTCTATGAACTCATGGCAAATTCAAATGTTAAATCTTTAAAACTTTGTACATTTATTTAAAAAATCTTCGAGACTGTCTGTTTCCCCTAATTGTCCTCCTGGTGTTTTTTCTTTGCATTGAATACATACATACTGTTAATACTATATGTCTATTCTTTTACATGCAGTTGTAAAATATTTATTTATGTATATATATATATATGGTATGTACCCTTGACAATTTAATAGATAGGATTTATACTTTATATCCCTCATGTACCATGTTGTATGGTTTGAGTGAATAAACTGATTGATTGATTGATTGATTAGTTTCTTTAAAACTGAGTTTTATACAAATAAATAATGAAGTCAGAAGTCATTGGGAAAGTCTAGGTAAAAAAGGACACAATTGATAAATTTCACCAAATTATGTTTCAGTTCATAAGCTTACATAAAAGTATCATGATAAATTTCTTTGAAACTGAGCAAACCGAAATTTAAGAAAAGCGAGGTCAAGACAATTCAAGGTCAATTTTTTTATGCTGTTGAATCGCTCTCGCTAATATGTATCTGCATACAAGTTTGATAAAAATATCTTGAAATTTTCTTTAGAGTGAGCTAAATGCAAATAAAAAATAAGTGAGGTTAAGTCAAAGGGAAAGTCAAAGTCTAAAATTTTTATATAGTTCAATAGCTCTCATCAATATGTATCAGCATATAAAGTTGTTTAAAAAAAATTTGAAAAGTTTCTTTGAAACGGAGCTAAACACTAATTTGAGGAAATTGATGTCATCATCAAAGGAAAGGTCAAGGTCAAAAATCTTGTTGCAGTTGAATAGCTCTCACTAATATGTATAAGCACATAAAGTTTGATAAAATACGTATATATCTTAAAAAGTATCTTTGGAAATGAGCTAAATGCAAATTTAAGAAAAAGTGAGGTTAAGGTCAAAGGGAAGGTCAAAGTTTTAATTTATGATGCAGTTGAATAACTCTCTTCAATATGTTTCAGCAAACAAAGTTAAAAAAAAAATCTTGAACGATTTCTTTAAAACTGAGTCAAACACAAACAGATATGGTCTTTTTTTGAGTTTATAATTATCTCCTGTTTCATTTGTACATACTATATCAAATCATTTTGTTCATGCATGCATAGTTACTGCAAGCAGATAGTCTTATTCGCCTTTGTTAATATTTTGTGTAATTAGTTGACAAAAAGGAAAGAACGTTTTTTTTAGAAGTTATAACACTCTTGTTTCAAAACTGTGCAAACCAAACAAACATGCGATTTCAAAGAAGCGGAAAATATATGTGTTTCATATAACATATAGCTGGAGTAATATATAAAGATAATAAGCACGGTTCGGATTCAGATATTGTATAGAGGTGGTAATTATATATTTCGAGAGAGAGGGGGGATAAGTGTATAATGTATAATGAAAAGTGGTTTACTTTACCTTCTTTTAAATGACTCTGTTTTACACCTAAATTTCATGAAATTATGAACATGGCATAATTAACAATATTATAAAATAGGGATACTGGCATGTAAAAGGTGACGATAACGAGCAGTGATCAATTTCATAAATCAAGTAAGGAATACAAATCATGAACAGGACAAAACACGGACCCCTTGAAACACAAGAGCTATGATCAGGTGCCAAGGAGGAGTAAGCATCCCCTGTCGACCAGTCAACTCACTATAATCCCGATTTTTGATCCCGCAGACGGAGTACATGTAATTTGTAGCCATATTTAGTATAATACAATGACTTAACAGTTTGTATGAAACATGTTTCACAAAAATACGAAGATGGATATTTGCAAACAAGGTCATTATAAAGACATTATAATTTGCGAAAAGCTGACTTAATTTAAACGAGGTTGTTGAAATCTATGTAAAATCAACTTTATTGTCAATAGTTTGCCTCTGTTGAAAAACTGACCGTACTCAAAGCATGAAATGCTGAAATCATCCCAGTTGACATAAAATTTAATTATTAGCTAGTCATGAAAAAAAATCGAAATATGAAACGGATGTAGTACACTCTGTTGTGTCTTGTATTTCGAGTTCACTTGGATATTCAAGTCGACATATGAATGAAATCAACAATTGTAAATTCCTAAAGAGTCGTCGACATATGTAAATGTTGAGTTGGAGGCCACAGCAAGAGTTTTCTTCTCATGCAGGTTTTGAATTAATTCTGCTGATTAGATATTATGAATGTTGTGTCTTTGAAAATTCACCCTTTTGAGGTATAAACTTTATTCCAATTGACTAAAGCATTAACGTTAACATTTCTGGGTAAACACCCGTAAAACTAGAGACCTGACCCTCTGCAAGGTAATTAATCATGAATGCCGTTTTTATATTGATATTGATCAAGTGGTTCCAAATGTGCAAGTGTCTCCTTAAAAATAACCGCAAAACACACGTGCATATAGAGTAAATACCTTACTAAGCGTAAGAGAATACTGATTATTGCATTGCATAAAAATTTTGAAATCACATATCAACATTCCTGGCATTTTGACCTAATCTTTGATTAACTGACACTGAACTTGAACTAAAAGACACCACAGACTCTAATACATCTCATCTGTTTAATATGTGGATATTTTGCTAGAGATAGACATTGATGGCAAACTAACAGCTACATTTTATGATTTCAATCCACAATCGTCAACTTCCTTATTTATGTAGTAATATACCATCATCACCTGCATATGGAGTTCATGTCTCCAAGCTGATTGATAACGCAAGTACACATTCTACGTACGAACAATTTCTTAAACAAGACCTTACAAATAAGTTGATAATACACGGATATCAGGAGTCTCATTTAAAGTCCACATTTCTCAAATCATGTAATTGTTTCAATGACCTTGTTAAAAAATACAATCCAGGCCCGTAGAACGCGGGGGGTGGGGGGTGGAGGGGGGACCAAGCCCCCTTTTTCCGAGTATAGTATTTTGCTATAGTAAAATTTCCCTTTAGATGCTTGTTGCCCCCCCCCCCCCTTTTTGTTGTTGTGAGGTCGAGCACTGGCAAATTCCAGGATTTGGACAGTAAATTAGGTGTTTTTTTTTCTTGTCCGATAATTTTGGGAAGTTGCTCCCCCCTCCCACTTTAGGTCAGTATAGGTTTTTTTTGCTTGTCAGATGTTTTTTGGGAAATTGCACCCCTCTTTTAAACCGTTGCTACGGGCCTGCAATCTAACTTTAAGTCAAACGTTGACTGACGTTTTTCATAAAAATTGTTTGGCCATCATTTTCACACTGAATTATCTAAGGATTTTTTTCGTTTACCCGATCAAGACAAGGAAGCACACTAGATATATACTAGATGTCCGTTTGCTACAGCACTCACCTAAGTCCGATCGGTCGATAAGGGATGGTTACTCCTCCATAGCACCTGATCCGTGCACCTGGGATGTTTTCAGAGGTCAGTGTTTGCTCTGTTCCTAAACTGTATTGTTCCAATGGATTTTAGAGCTTGATTTCTGTTCGTTATCTTCATATTTCATACAGGAGTCAGTGAAGTTATATAAAGTTAACCATATATGTCATTTTAACTCATATTTTGATAGTTTTCAAAGACAAATATAAGATAATTTTGATCTCTTTAACTGAATGACCACCAAATCTACAAGCTTCATATAAAAATATTGAAAAACAAGCGTTCCCAATTACCTTTTGATTACGACCTTTGAAGACCTTAAAATCCCTAATTAAAAATCTTAAGTTGTCTTTTAAATTTTGCAATGAATATCTATAATCAAATTGGGTAAAAATTACTGTACATCATGTACATGTAAATGTATTATACTTATCGTGTACGATATTTATTTTTTTTTAAATATATGCTAATAGCGTGGATTTTTTGAGCATTTCTGGATGTACCTCTTCAAGTATACATATATGCATGTCATGTAGTAGTGATGAAACAATTGTCGCCGACATTCGATTGTCGATCGATTGGAGCTCTTCGATGCTACTATTTAATCGATTACATAACAAAAGCCGCCGACATCGCTGATAAAAATATTAAAGGTTAATTTGGGTTAAACTTCAAATTTTATTACTAAAAAAACATTTGCAGAAAGGTTAAAAATTATCCTGAATTTTTAAACCGTAAAAACCTTCTTCGCCTCACTTCACTGGTTGTTTTTGACAATTTTTACCGCCATGTTTGAATATAAGGTACGGCTAATAACAGGAAATGACCAGCGTGATGGGGTTCAACTATAATCAGAAATACACAAATAGTACAGACGTTTTATAAACTTAATTGTTAACGATTTTATAAGTCCAAATGAAATTAGACAAAGTAATTCCAAGAAAATAAATAATAGAAGGTATGACTAATTTCAGTAATGTTCCCATTTGCATACTTGTATTTTTTTAATGAAGCATCCTACAGGAATTTAACTCTTTATTTCCAATTTTACTTAGAGAAAATAAAGAATTAGAATACTTTGTCATTAAAAAGTTAACTGAAATTACTATCATTTAGTGATGTACCCGATTTAACGGTAGCTGCTTTCCGCAAAAGGCGCTAAATAGAATAAACGGCCAACTGAAATACGTTAACGGTATCACATTACACATACATGTTAAAGGAACGGATGAAGGGGCTCTGAATATACAAAGTTAAAATATGTTCAAAATCTAATACACGACAGTATACGATAATGCTATTAAAAGCTAAGAGAATATGACACATAAAATAAAGAAGATTTCTATTTTCATTATAAAAATAAACGTTTAAAACCCTAATCATCTAGAGTTGAAAGAGTATATAAAAAATCCCTGTGCTCACACACAACAAATACAAATCTTGAAACTTCAAAGTGTTTGCTTTGCTAAAAAATAACTTCAGTAGTAACAGCGACTGTTTGAAATAACTAAACACAAGTATAATTAGAGAACGAGACGGGTTCTGTATCGTAGATACGAATTTGGGGGTGGACGAGTGCGTAGCACGAGTCTCCGCCCCCCAAATTTGTATCTACGATGCAGAACCTGTCGAGTTCTCTAAATGATTTGTGACACGATCAATCAAAATAAGCACCTCCCAGTTTTAGCTGTGCAGCATCCGCAGTATATATTATATAATTCCACGGACAAAGTAAGATTCAGTCAGGTTAGTTTTGACAACAGGGTAGATGTAATTGACTTGACTCCTTAATGGATAAGATGGACGATTTAACTTTCTAGTAGTTCTATGACACTATGGAGATTGATCCTGATATATTTGAGGGCCGGGTCTCAAAATCTCAGTTAACCGAGGTACAAATGCAGGCGATACAAATAGTTCTTCGGTGGACTTTGATGTGACGGATTTTTATTTTCTTCTTGAAATGCGACATTAAAAACGAAGTGAAAGAGATGTGGGTCAGTCGTCAGTGATGAGGATTTAAGAAGAGATTTGAAAAAATAAAAATGCTAAGAAAGGACTTGAATGACTTTGAAGACTGAAGGGGGGGGGGGTCGAATATCACTTAATGGATGCTACAATCGTGACCCATTGGCTTTACCATTCTCAAGAGGATACAAAAAACAGGGAAAGCAAAGAGGTTTTTTTTTTAGGAATTTATCCAACACAGGATGTTTTCCATACTGCGAATTTTCCTTTTCGTTTGGATCGAAGTAACGTGTAGATTCTGCGTGGAATAACTTCTTAAAAGAAACTGAGAAAATTTAACATTTTACACTCATAAGGAAATATTGGTCCAAAATTCATAATAGGAAAAATTCGGCATTTACTATCTATATGTGCTTTTGATAAATTGAATCAGATTTATTTTTAGACCGTGCTGTATTTTAGATACAGAATAGCTGGCTAATACAACACAGTTTATAGGGCTAATACAGAACGGAAAGTAGCTCCGCCCACTGTAGTCCCAATCTGTATTGCTAAATTAAATACAGAACAGCAAACTTCAAAGAAATACACCTCTATCGTGTCACAACACATGATTACATGTTATCCCATTCCCCTAATTTAAAAAAAAGATATAAATTAATTTTTTTTTAAATTGTGCAAAAAGAAATTAAGACAAAAATGCCATATATACTTTTTTTTTTTAGATAAATTATCGTAGAATAGAATTGTAATAAACAGTTTACCAGTGCATCTTCTCTGAAAGCGAAATGACTGGGGATTGGGTATTACATGTAGATACCTTGTGTAATAATCAAATTATTGTGTATAATTTATTACAGAAATAAGTACCCATGTCACCTTCAGACCCAATCACCTTTAATTTTGTAGGACCTGCCCCCTACGAAAGATGACTAAGAATCTTTTAATGACAAATGCCACAGAAAATTAGTTACCAATTGTCCTGCGATCCGTTTGTTAGTGGTTCGGATGTTGATAAACGCATCATGTCTGTTGTTGCATTTTGCGGTGTACTTTGTTTCATGACAGACGTCGTGGTTGCAGATACCGTGGACAATAATTCTTTAGGGTAACATCCTTTATCTTTCATATGAAATAAAACGTATAGTTATAGAATAAACATGAAAATGCAATCTTGGGAATAAATAATGCAGACAAGATCGACGTCTACTTGTGGAAAACTTTAAAAACAAAACCGTACATATTCTAAAGATCCTCTCTACGGCATGTTATTAGTAATATTTTCTTTATTATTCACGACAAATTTTATTTCTTGTATTGCAGCAATCCTGACAAATGAAATTATTTAATTTAGTAGTGGATTATTCTTTAATATTGATATCAGAGTAATTTAAAAAAAAAAAAGACTGAGCAATTTAAAAGAATCCACACCACTGCGAGAATTACTACCTTAATTTTTGAAATTTTTTGAACAGAAAGAGGCATCGAACAACCTTAATATTTTCCATATACACAAATTCTTACATTCAACAGACAGCGGTGAACTGAATGTTTTGGTTGCACACTGCGTACCCATGCAGGCTCTAGCATCCAAATTTCCCTGATAATTGTTAAAGTAAGGACATTCTCCTGAAATAAAAAAGAACATCGTTTGGAGTATTGTTACAAGAAAACGTTGATCCCCTGGCCTGGGATATTTAAAAAGAAAAAAAAAGAGAATTTGAATATAACAATCCTCACTAAATGTTGATTCTGTCACATTTGCTGTTCTTGAGGAAAAGAAATTTTTAAACGATTTAGATTAAGTTACATACTGCAATGTCAAACTCAGATATTACTGTATCCCCAATCCGGCCGATTTAAACTCTAAAATACTTGCACATTTGAAAAATCCTTAAAATTTTTTCCTTTACTTATTTTTATGTCAATTTTGACTATTTTAAGTTCTAACCCTTAGGGATAGGTTATGAATAAAATAATACCTTTCTACGCTTGCACATGACTCAATGTGGTCATGCGAAGAGATTCTTAACAAGAGGCCCATGGGCCACATCGCTCACCTGGACACAATTTCTAGGAAAAAGCACAAATCAATTCAGTATTGAAAAGTTTAAATGGGGGGGGGGGGGGGCGCTTGAATTTAAAACTACCTGTGGATGCTTCCATATCAATATAACAAATGGCTTTGCTGTTCCTGAGTAGAAGATTTTTAAAGATTTTTTTCCTATATATTCCTTTGTAAAAATTTGATACCCCATTGTGGCCCCTCCCTACCCCCAAGGGTATTCAGTGGAACAAAATTTAATCTACACTACCCGATGATGCTTCCATTTCAATATGACTAAACATGGCTTTGCTGTTCTTGAGACAAAGATTTTTTCCTTTATATTCCTATGTAAAACTTTGATCCCCCATTGTGGCCCCACCCTAACCCCAGGGGACTTGATTTGAAGAAACTTGAATCTACAATACCTGAGGATGCTTCCACATTAATATGACAAATCATGGCTTTGCTGTTCTTGAGATGAAGATTTTTAAAGATATTTTCCTATATATTTCTATGTAAAACTTTTATCCCCCATTGTGACCCCACCCAACCCCCGGGGTCATAATTTGAACAAACTTGAATCTTCAATACCTGAGAATGCTTCCATTTCAATATGACTAAACATGCCTTTGCTGTTATTGAGAAGAAGATTTTTAAAGTTTTTTCGTATACATTCCTATAGAAAACTTTGATCCCCCATTGTTGCCCCACCCTACCCCCAGGGGTCATGATTTGAACAAACTTGAATCTACACTATATAACAAAGGTTTCCTATAAGATTCAACTTTTTTGGGCCATTGGTTCTGGAGAAGAAGATTTTTAAAATATGCCACCATATTTTCACTATTTCTGAATTATCTCCCCTTGAATGAGGGCGTAGCCCTTCATTTGAACAAACTTGAATCCCCTTTACCCAAATATGTTTTGTGGCAAGTTTGGTTAAAATTGGCCCAGTGGTTCTGGAGAAGAAGTTGGAAATGTGAAAAGTTTACAGACAGACGGACAGCTAGACAGACAGACTACAGACAAAATGTGATCAGAAAAGCTTACTTGAGCTTTCAGCTCAGGTGAGCTAAAGATTTGGCATGAATATTCCTATTGTCCTCTGCCAAATTTAAAAGAACAAGGTACGGTTTCAATACAAATCAGGCCCTGTATTTTCTAAGTAAGAATATAAAATTCGTGCTTTCTGAATCATTGAAATTTCATGCAGTAAGAACATACAAATCGTTTTTCTCAAATGACCTCTTAAATGCTAATATTTTGTCATCGTGAACTTGTGCATTTTCCCGTATTTTCTTAAAAAGTAGAAAGGACATCTTTTCTATCAAATAATATAAAGCACATGCATCGCCCATAAAAATTTTGATAAATGTGATTTTTTAAAGGATTTTACACAATATATTCAAAAATTGAAGTGGGCGACGGCTGTGGACACTATTTTCTCAGGGAAAATAACCCAAGAAATGAGTCGTTTTGAGGTTTTTTTCTGTTGAAAACTTAGAAAATATATGTAAGCCTAACAAATTAATGACGTCATATTTCAAGATTGGTCCTCCTTCATGACATATTCTTTAATGTTCAATTAATTGTCATATACAAATTTAAATTAAACAAATTCTAAATTTAGAAGTTGTCTTCGATCTACTTTATGAGAATTGGCATACTAGTTTGACCCACTTAGTATGCTCACACTATTGATTTCTGGTTTTCCAATACTTTTTGCAAGTATTTTCTTATGATGTCCATACTGTAGCCTCACCCTGGCCCTACAACTAGGGGTTACTGTTTGAACACATTTAATCAACATAACATAGCAGGTTTGAATATTGAATGATTGAAAAAAATATATCATCCAACTAATAGTCCGACTTCGAGTACTCCATTCCGTAGACAACGAGAAGAATACTGGATCAGAAAACTAGGCACGGTCTTTCCGTTTGGTTGCAACGACAACATAAATAATGTAGGGAATCTTTCAAGCCCACAGTGTGCAAATGTAAATGTCATGAGACTTTTAAACAATACACCTAGACGTAGGCGTAGCCATAGACATCAGACATACAATTGACCAAATATACATATCTCTTTTGATTCACTTCCTTTTCCCTTACGTCAATATACAATTAGGTCTTCACCACATTCGTTCCAAACTCTACTCGGTTCCCTTGAAATATTGGAATGGACTATTAGAAGAAGCTTAAGCGAGTCCATACTTAGATTCTTTTAACTGCAGAATACAAACTAGTGTTTGTGATTATGGATGTTGCCCAGCACAGGCTCTTTAAGCCACCTGACGTGCGTCGGAAGATAATTCTGACTCAACCCGTCCGTACCTTAAACTTAAATTTTCCAAAAAAGGAATAGATGCTGTGAACATAAGCAACATTCTTGATCATAAAAAAGTTCAGTCTTGTATTCCACCATATTTCAAGTTGAACTCTACACCCTGCATTTCATACAGATATTCCAAACTTTTGCTTCCAAACTTTTCAATTATAAACAAACCTTGCAGTACTTAGATACTAAACATCTAAAACAAAATCCTCTTCAGTGCTCTTTCTCTTCTTCTTCTTTAAACTACAGTCCAGCTGGACATGTCATTACTGGTGATGTCAATAAAGTTGAAAATGAAGACATGAAAGCAATTACCTTAAAGGGAGCCTCGATCTTTCAATTAGCGACAGAACTTTATTTCTATGAAAAATTCTATCGAAGATTATGCAAGACGGTTGGCTAAATATGAAAAGGAAGATCTGAACACTTTGTCAGAATGAATTTTAATTTTACAAGAGTTTTAGAAATACAAATGTATATTTAACCAGAAGTCTCTGATGAGGAAAAGTGGCATTTGGATTTGAAACTTTGCAACATGCAACAATAAAAAGAATTATGTATCTTAATGTAGTGTACTTCTGTGCAAAAATATATTGAAATCAAAAGAAAACTGTAGGAAGAGTAGCGTTTTGAAAGTATTTCACAGAAAGAAGATGGGCGTGTTTGGCGTGTGATCTGCAGGAATAAGGCGTACGAAACATTTATAGTTTAAATGTCTACGATTTGGTCGGTTGACCACAGCTGGACATACTTTACAAAGTTACGCACATGGGAAAATGTTACATTTAGTTTGAAATAGTTTGCCAAATTTAATATATCACTCCGCTTATCTTAATAATTACTACATCTAAAACTTAGTAACGCTTCACATAAATAATAAACACATATAGGGTATAGCTAAATCCAATTACAAGTACATAGTTGTATATATTAAAGTATCAGTAGGTTGGAAGAATTGCTTTCGCTTTTTGTGCAGCAGAACGAGAATTTATCTATTTGAAAATTTGAAAATAAATCAGTTCATAAAATTAAACTGACAAAAGAATTGATTGTTTGTACAAAAAAAAATATTAACGCTCCATGCGAGGATCGAACCAAAAATACTTCTTTTTCATTGCACTGGACGGGTAACGCATACAACTGAGCTATCACCGCTACACACACTTTTAGGTTTTTAAAGCGACAATGAAGCACCGCATTTAAACATTGGAATTTTTGGGGAAAAAGTTCATTTTTTATCGTCTCTGGGTCTTCTCTCCATTTTTTACAACTGTTTGTTAGTTTCTTTTAATTAAAATGCACACAAATACCGCTTCAAAATCATGGAGAGATGACCCAGAGATATCAAATTTTTAGAAAAACGTGTTTAAAAATGTAACATTTTGTACCAAATGACTCATCTAGCCAACTTTCAAGTTCTTTTTTAGCAAATCAAAATACAGTATCGGGAAAATATTTCCCTTTCCTATTTCAGAGGAACCCGATACATCAAAAGAATGCTAAAATTCCATGTGACAGATCAATGGAATTTTCACTTTTCAAGTGCGCCCAGATTCCTGCCGAATGCCAATCAAAAGCGCCCTCGTTCTTTCTATTATTAGTAATCATGACAACACCATTCACTGAAATCAAAAACTGAAATACATATTATGTATCGTAGTATATTCTAATTGTGTGCCAAATTAGATCGAAATCAGACCAAAACTGTAGAAGGAGTAACATTTTTCAGAGAAATTTCTATTTTTAGTAACTATTGCAACATTGCTCATCGAAATCAAAAACAGATGCATTCAATTATGTATCTTAGTATAGTCTTCTTATTGCCAAATTATATTACAAGCAGACTTAAACTGTAGCAGGAGTAGCATTTAAAGTAATTTCACAGAAATTTTTATTTTTAGTAACCATGGCAACACCACTCATCGAAATCAAAAACCGATGCACTAAATTATGTATCTTAGTGTAGTCTACTTGTGTGCCAAATTATACTGAAATCAGACCAAAACTGTAGGAGGAGTAGCGTTTTAAAGGATTTTTTTTTAAATTTTATTTTTAGCAACCATGGCAACACCATTCATCGAAATCAAAAACCGATGCACTAAATTATGTATCTTAGAGTAGTCTACTTGTGTGCCAAGTTATATTGAAATCAGACCAAACCTGTAGGAGGAGTAGTGTTTTTAAGGAATTTCACGGAAATTTCTATTTTTAGTAACCATGGCAACACCGTTCATCGAAATAAAAAAAACCAATGCATTCAATTATGTATGATAGTGCATTCTACTTGTGTGTCAAGTTATACTGAAATCAGACCAAAACTCTAGGAGGAGTAGCATTTTAAAGGATTTTCACAGAAATTACTATTTTTAGTAACCATGGCAACACCGTTCACCGAAATCAAAAACTGATGCACTAAATTATGTATCATTGTACAGTCTACTTGTGTGCCAAGTTATACTGAAATCAGACCAAAACTGTAGGAGGAGTAGTGTTTTAAAGGAATTTCACAGAAATTTCTATTTTTAGTAACCATGGCAACACCATTCATCGAAATCAAAAACCGATGCAATAAATTATGTATCTTGGTGTAGTCTACTTGTGTGCCAAGTTATATTGAAATCAGACCAAAACTGTAGGAGGAGTAGCGTTTTAAAGGATTTTCACAGAAATTTCTATTTTTAGTAACCATGGCAACACCGTTCATCGAAATCAAAAACCGATGCACTAAATTATGTATCTTAGTGTAGTCTACTTATGTGCCAAGTTATATTGAAATCAGACCAAAACTGTAGGAGTAGCGTTTTGAAAAATTGTTTACAGACAGACGGACAGCTAGACAGACAGACGGACGGACGAAGGACACCTTATTATCGCATAAGCTCTTCTGGTCTCTGACCAGTACAGTTAAAAATCGTATAAGAAATTTAAAAGGCAATATGCGAACCATCTTCCGTTTTCACTTAATCGGAAGTGATAAAAGAATTAAAAAGACTACATGAACAATATGTCATGGTTCCAGCCGACAAGACTTGTAACAATATCGTCTTCGTAAAACTCATTATCATAACAGTATTTTACAAGAACTTGGTTTAATTCCACATCTGGAAATCCAATTTATACTCGCAGTTCACTTTCTAAAGATGAAATTCTTCAAAATCACATTTCAGTCAACCAAGGTGACTTCGATCTACCCTACCTATACTTAATTCCTAAACTTCATAAAAATCCTTACAGAGATACATTGCCGGGTCCAACAAATGCTATATATACCAAGCCCCTATCTTTACTCCTTACAAAATTAACTGCTTTAAAGAAGAAACTTCAGATGTACTGTGTTATAGCATATTCTAGAAGTTGTGTAAATCAGATGTGGATTCTCAAAAACTCAAAAGAACTTTTCAGGCCCGTAGCAACGGCTTCAAAAATGGGAGGGGGCGACTCCGGGAATTTGCCAGTACTCGACCTTACAACATCAAAAAGGGTGGGGGGAGGAACCCGCCTCTAAAAGAAAATTTACTATAGCAAAATACTATACTCAGAAAAAAGTGGGGGACCGCCCCCCCCCCCCCCCCCCCCCCCGCGTTCTACGGGCCTGCTTTTAGAAAATTTAAAATCACCAAATTTTTCAAAAGTCAGAAACATCAAGACGATTTTTCTACATTTATAGAACCATTCCTCATGATAAATCAAAAACTAGGCTTTTTGATATTATAGACAACTGCTTCTTCAACAAAATTGGAAGTCGCAATTTTTCTTATCTTGCGACTGGTCATCTACAAAATTACTTTGTTAAAAATAATCTGATTCTACACTTAAGTACTCTGAAGTTGATATTTAAAGGATGCTGGTGTTCCTCTTTGACAACATTTATGTAGTCTTCGGAGACCTGGAACTGTTGGAATTCCCATGGGCACTAATTGTGCACCTTTTTAACCGACCTGTTCTTATATTCCTATGAAGCAGAATTTATTCAAAAACTTTTACATGAGAAGAAGAAAACACTTGCTGTGACCTTCAACTCAACATTTAAATATATCGACAACGTATTATCGCTTAACAATAGTTTCGTCCATTCATATGTCGACTCGATATATCCCAGTGAACTTGAAATAAAAGACCTCACAGAGTCTACCACATTTGTTTCATATTTGGATGTTTTACTGACAATAGAAAGGCAAACTAACAACTAAATTGTATGTTGATTGATTGATTGTATATTGTTTTACGTCCCCCTCAAGAGATTTTCACTCATATGGAGACGTCACCATAAACCGGTAAAGGGCTTCAAATTTAGACCTTTACTTGGCACTCAGGGCCACTGAGCAGTGAGGATTCTTAATCGTGCCAACGCCTACCGTGACACGGAGCCTCGGTTTTAAGGTCTCATCCGAAGGACCCGCAACTTTCACTTCAAAGTGCCGAGTGCTTGGCGAAGGAACAGTTGCTTCCTATTTTTTGTCGACTTAGGTCAGTCGCGGCCTTGATTCGAACACATGACCTTCCGATCACGGAGCGAGCGCTCTACCGACTAAACAACTGTGACTGCACTAAATTGTATGAAAAATGAAACGACTTCAGCTTTTCCATTGTCAATTTTCCTTTTATTTATGTAGTAATATCCAACTATCACCTACATATGGTGTTTACATCTCCCAACTTATTCGATACTCACGAGCATGATCCGAGTACGATCAATTTTTAAATCGAGCCAGGCTACTGACAGATAAATTGATGTTACAGGGATTTCAACAACCTCGTTTAAAGTCAGCATTTCGTAAATTCTATGGTATTTATAATGACCTTGTTAGAAAATATAACCTGTCATTAGGTCGTATGTTGGCTGATTTATTTTATACCAATTGTTAGGCCTTTGTTTTTATACTGAATTTGACTACGGAATGTTCCGTTTACCTGGTCGATACATAGGACTCACGGTCAGCAGGGAGATGCTTAGTCCTCCTAGGCACCTGATCCCAACTATGGAATTTCCAGGGGTCCGTATTTTATGCCCTGCTCACAAATTTGTTAACTATAGATTTTTATGAGATCGATCACTGTTCGTTATCTTCGCCTTCACCAGGTCCTTACATGTATTTAACCCCTCTCCCCTTTCTCCAAATTTACAAATTTAAATCTAAATCGTTTTTATCAGATATACTTGAAATTCGTAAGTGGTTTTCGAAAAAGTCGAAATTGAGAAAAGTTTACAAACATACTGACGGACGGACACCGAATAACTTTCAAACTCACTTAAGCTGTTGTTTTGTGTAAGCTAAACCCAATGAACAGATTACCTTGATCAATCCAAATCGGTGTAAAGCAACTGAGACCCATTTCCTCATTGGTATTTTCTGAGAGGCAGTGTATTATGAAATCCTTTTTTTCAGCACACGTCTTTAGTAGGTCTAGTGGAATTTCGGCAAGTGTGACTTCAGTACAAGAGCGAACTGGATAAAAATTGTCTCGTCCAAAAACCAGTGCTAAAGAAATATATTTACATACATTTTTAGGAGTACATAATTATATCAATTACATCATCTTTCGAACAAGACAATGATGGTTCGAAATCTTATTAAAATTAGTAATATTATATAACATATAAGAAGCTATTTTTCTTTTTGTTGAGCCATTGCTTTTTGCAAGTCCAAAAATGTGGAGTAATATATAAAGTTAAGAATTTATGAAACGAGGAATATTTATTAGGTAAATTAAGACATTCGAAGGTGTAACTGTATGCAAGTTGTGTGAGCTTAGTTTCAAAATCATGTCAATTTGAATACAATCAATTTCGCTTAATTTCCGAATTTCTTCTTACATGTACATGTATATATCGAGGATTTCTATTTTTTTGCACCAGCGTTCCTTTTAGAGAATACATTCACATTAAGGTAATTAATTAAATATAAACCAATTACCTTTTTAATTTGTTTATTATACTCTATTTTGTATCATAAAATTCAGTCGTCTACTTTTCTTTCTTTTTTATGTTATGTATTGCTGTGTATGTTTATATGTTTTCTTGTCCTCCTGAGTGTTTACAAATCATGTTTACTTGTATCTATGTTACGCCCCCAGTGGAACAATGATTGACAAATAAAATCTATTCTCTTCTAAACAAAAAAATCCTCTGTTAAGATAAGAAATATGCTACCGCTGATATACATTATCTACCTGCAGATAAAGAATTTTAAAAAAAATCAATACACTCGGCTTAATCGTCTTAAAGATAGGCAGCTCTTGTGTAACTTGTAAGTATTCATTATTAATTATGACTTTTTTTTAAGAAAATGAACCACTTCGACAATTATTGTATGCTATTTTATGTTTTCATTTTACTCTGTCAAAAGGTTTCTTTTGGCAACGTATACTTTAATTCTAAATAAACATGTATCTTATAGGGTATGTTTTCAAAAAGAAAGTACGTGTACCAACAAACTTTTCCCCTCTGAATCCCTGATTCATTTTATCTGTATCGTTCCATTTGAAGACCAGTTGTTTTTTTTTTGTTGTATGGAGAATTTAATGAAAAGTTTACTTCATAATCTTAAAAAAATTAAGTTTCGAAAATTATTTCCACTGCGCCCGCCAACATAAGTGCCTTTTAAAGTGGTGAATGTGGGTGGCGAGGCACGGCTAATTCCAATGTCTTTTCATAGAATTTTTACGTGAAAGAGAAATGTTATCTTCGACTTCGAGTGCTGGACCCCTGTTTCACAGCACTCGGAAGACCACCCTTTAACAAGGGTACATGTTAAAGAGTCTGAGAACTAAACTGACAGGTTAAATGTGAAAATTATTGAATATTTTATATACATGAACTTTGACAGTAACCGAAGAACTAGTATTCTGAATAGGTCACCTTTATGGCGCATATATGTTGTTCATGTTGCTTTTCACCTAAACATTGATTTTTTATATTCTTTCAATAACCTTATTTAACCAGATTTTTTTTTGTTCAAGAGAATTCATGTAAATCGTGAATCTAAAAGTTAAAGAATTTACAGGATTTCCTTAATAATTGTGTTAATGTGAACTGTGAATCTAAAAGTAAAAAAAAAATTTAAAAATCAATTCCATGAAATTAATTGTGTGATGATTACCTATTACATTAATTTAATTACAAATGAAAAAATTGGCTTCTGTTTGACAAAATATAACATTTTTCTTTTGTTTTAGGATTACCTGGCACTATCCAGTAAGTTGACAATAAATGTCCAAGTTTAATAATGAACAGATCCGAACTTATTGAACACATACAGGTAACTTATCAGAATGTTTTTTAAAGTATCACAGCGCTTATTGTTAAATCAATGGTAGTTCCATATGTAATAAAGAATTTTTTTCATAAGAAATTTAATATTTTTACTTACTCTATTTTACATTTTACAATATCTATGCTTGGCCTATTTTAAGTACTTTGTAAATTTGATGAAGTCTTTTGACGAACACCCCCCTTGGAATTTGCAGTATTATCAAAAGTATATAGTGAAGCAAATAAAAAATGACTTTGGACCCCCCCCCCCATAAAACGTGGACCCCATCATCATCACCATGAAATAGGTGTTTTTCACGTTTGGAAATGAATTTTACCTTTTTCTGCTTGTCAAGAAATTTTTGGGTTCGAATTTTTTTTTTGACTTGGATGGACCCCCCCCCCCCTGGAAAAAAATCCTGGATCCGCGCCAGGGAACTATTTCTTTCAGGGCATAGACGGGCGCTTTCGGGTGGGTGGGTGGGGGGGGGGGTGCACAAAAATGTTTACAAACACATTGGAAACACGTGGTTTTGAGGTTATTCCCGGTTACAGATTAAAACCCCCCATAAAATGTCGTGTAGGGACCCTGATTTTGGTATCAACTAATGTTACTATGTTTAAAACACTTAACATGCTTTCTGCTAAATATTTTTTCATGAATTCAGATGCCTGATTGATCATTTTTAATCTTTTTTTAATTCTACAAAGAATTACGTGTATATAGTAGAAACAATGATTGGTTTGATACCTTAAAGGTGGTTGTGTAAAATCATCTATACAAATGGCAGTTCTAAATTTTAAAATGCACATTTCAACAAAATTCATGTATATCATTTCATGAAATTGTGTAAAAGCATAAAGCTGCCAAATTAGAAGTGAGATTTAAATTTGTTTACACAGATTTCTAATTGGGTTGAAATGAAAAAAAAATTCGGTAAGATACGCGTAAGCGACCATTTTTCAAAATTTTCCTTAATGCAATGCAGTCTACTAAAGTAAGCCACCCGATGGAAGAGAAGGTCGGTCGTGGAATCGTTGCTTGCTTGAATATTTTTGAAAGGTTGTTACCTGCATCCAGGAGAAGTTCCAGTATGTATCTGAAATAATTTAAGAAAAACATATTAATGTGGGGACAAAAAACCCAATTTGACATTTTGATACAAGCCTCGAAACTCTTCTTACATTTTGATTGTTCTGCACAAATCTTAAATTCTGTCCTCAAGGCTTGTAAATGAAATGTCAAAATTAATTTTAAAACAAGGCTTGAAAGTAAGGCTAGTTAAAAAAAATTATACTAGGTTTAAAAAAATTCTATATCCATATCTAGTACGTGTGCTCTTTTTTTCTACAAACTCTGTGTAATGAGTCATCAATATCAGAGAGCTAATTCAGAGATATAACACAGCTATTTTAACATCAGAACCCATGCATAAAGTCTTTTAGACTTTCTCTCTTACCTATGTCTCTTATTTATGTGTCACAGGGTGAATAGAAAATTATTCTAAAAAATATGAATACATTTTTTAATGACTTAATATATATCATTTCATTATATCATTTTTATCTATAAGCCATCGTAAATTACAGTCTTCTGGAATTTACTGTGTATCCATTCATAAAGTATCTCATTCATATTCATGGGTTTGAATGAGCATTGGTTGGTTTGGGAGTGTAAAAGGTGTTTGGAACAGAGTGCTTGTATGATTGGTAGACATATAGAGTGAGGAGTGTGTGGTTTGGTATCAGGTCCGCATGTTTGGCAACAAATACCATGATTAATTAACTCCACCCTAGGACAGCCAAAAGTAAGACAGACTCTATCTTCTTCTCCCTATAAAGTCATCTCGTTTAATCGAGGACAAATGAACTCTGTATTCGTTAAGAACTTTTACCACAGTTCCTTTATATATATCTTATAAAATAATCATCTACTTAAAGATAATTAGAATACTAGATTTGTTAAAATATACTAAAAATAGTTTAATGCATCTAGGCGTCGGAAGCAAATTGAAAGTTTGGGGGAGGGGGGGGGGGACTAAACCAGCAAAAAGTTTCTACGTCGAGCACACACACACAAACCCCAATTTTCATTGCCTATATTATGTCTATCTTTGCAAAAAAAAAAAAAAATGGGGGGGGGGGGGCGCTAAGCTTCCTAGCCTCCCCCTTCCGGTTCCGACGTAAATGTGGGTTTGAGAGTGGAGAGTGTATTCATTTATTTTCATTAATGTTATTGTTACAGGTTACCTAATTTTGCCATAGATTGAAATATATATTTATCGAACTGTATAGCTGTTCGATATTGTCATTTAAGAAGTTTACATGTTTTTTTTTTCCGTTTGATTAACAACCCTCCCCCTTCTCCTATTGTCCTCAGTTTTTTTCAGTCTGATTAAAACCAGCACCCCTTTCTCCAATCTTTCTGTTACAATGTACACTGTAAAATTAATGTTGATTTAATAAAGTTTATTTTCTGACTGTGCTTACAGTAGTTCACTGTTGAAAATGTAATAAATGTGTTAAATTTGGAATTAACAAGTAAATTATATTTCCTTTTCCTGCAATTTCTATCAATTTATTGTAGGAAATGCCAATGATTTACTAATATTCTGCACCAGATTTATTTAAAGCAGATATGTTATCACTAGTAAGAAAGACACAAGTATTTACTTTCGCTTTTACTTTTAGAGAACACAAAAAGTATGATGATCAATCAAATATGTACGTACTTGTAAATCATATTTAAAGCGCGAATGGTTGATATCGATGTAAGTTTTCCTCAGTTAGTTCCTTGAATCGGCAAACGTATAAAAAATATGGTTACAAAGTTTCAAATTCACATTCAAATATTGGAAAAGTTTTCCTTGCAGCCTGTAAATGGAGTCTATTAAGTCAGGCAGTTCGGAAAAACAAATTCCGGTATGACTCTGGATTATGTAATCGGAGAGGGAAGGCCTAACCCGATTGAATTGAATGACCTTATAGTTTATGTGTTTTTCAGATGTTATCAAATCCTTTTTAGTCTAGGTATCATTAAGTAAGGCAATTATTTGAACTTAAGAAAGGAAACTGCTTATATAATTTTAAAAAAGCAGAGGTATAAATTAATGGAATGGAATTAAGAATATTAAAGAATGGATTAATATAGCTGAAAAAAACCCTGTCCGCATCCACCAATCAACAAAGGAATCTAAAAATTAAAAAATAACAATAACCCCAATCTCACCCCGAAAACTAAACTAAGGCAGTTTAGAACTTGGTTATCAATTTCAAGCAGGTATATAAGGGAGTCCATTTGTTTCTTTCCTTTCTGGCACGTTGTATCATCTTTGAGAAAAAAACGAGGGGAGGAAGGGAAGAAAAAGGGAAGAAAAAAAAGATAACTTGCTTTAAAAAACTTTGACAAACCAACAAAAGAAAAAAAGAAAGGGGGGGGGGGGCAAACTCGAAAATCTTTTATTGTGTGGACGTGTGTGTGTATGTGTTGGTGTGTGTGGGGGGGGGGGGGGGGGTAAGGTTAAGATCGACTTCTTTCACAGCAAAATAATATTTATATACTTATTCATACACATTTGCCTAGTTTGCCTATACTGCCAAAAAAAGTGGTGGGCTGGGCAGCTTTTCAACAAACCTTTTTTAAACAGTAAAAGGATGTGTCCCCTCCCCGCCCCGTGATACTACGACCCTGTACATGTATTTACGAAAGCCTATTAGGATCAAATTACGGTAAAAAAAATTAAAAAGGCGTTATAACACCTTTTCAAAGGCGTTATAACACGAAAAAAGGCGTAATAACGCCTTTCGAAAAGGCGTTATAACGCGGAAAAAAGCGTAATAACGCAAATAAAGGCGTAATTAGTCTTTCCAAAAGACGTTATAACGCGAAAAAAGGCGTTATTTACGAAAGTCTATTAGGATCAAACTACGGTAAAAAAAAAATTAAAAAGGCGTTATTACGCCTTTTTAAAAGGCGTTATTACGCCTTTCCAAAAGGCGTTATTACGCCTTTCCAAAAGGCGTTATTACGCCTTTCCAAAAGGCGTTATTACGCCTTTTTCCGCGTTATAAGGTCTTTTCAAAAGGAGTTATTACGCCTTTTTTCGCGTTATAACGCCTTTGAAAAGGTGTTATAACGCCTTTTTAATTTTTTTTTTACCGTAGTTTGATCCTAATAGACTTTCGTAAATACATGTACAAGGTCGTAGTATCACGGGGCGGGGAGAGGGCACATCCTTTTACTGTTTAAATTGTTCGTTGAAAAGCTGCCCAGCCCACCACTTTTTCAAACTACGGTAAAAAAAAAATTGAAAGGCGTTATAACGCCTTTTTAAAGGCGTTATAACGCGAAAAAAGGCGTAATTACCTTTTGAAAAGGCGTTATAACGCGGAAAAAAGCGTAATAACGCAAATAAAGGCGTAATTAGTCTTTCCAAAAGGCGTTATAACGCGAAAAAAAGGCGTTATTACGCCTTTTGAATAGGCGTTATTACGCCTTTCCAAAAGGCGTTATTACGCCTTTCCAAAAGGCGTTATTCCACCTTTCCAAAAGGCGTTATTACGCCTTTCTAAAAGCATTAATACACCTTTCAAAAAGACGTTATTACGCCTTTTGAAGGGCCATTATGTTTTTGACAGGCCCGTGCTTTTGAAGTGTGTGTGTTGGGGGGGGGGGGGCAGTCTCCCATAGAATTGACAAGCAAACAAAGAAACACCCCCCCCCCCCCCCGAAAAAAATAAACTGCCTAAACTTGAGGGGAATCTTTTTCTAACTCTTCGGTAAAACTTTTTTAAAATGCAATGACTTGCCCGAGTTTAACCATACTGCAACAAAAAGTTAAGGGACCAAGCAATCAATAAATGTTTTTTTTATATTTAAACTATAGCAAGACTATTCTCCCAAAAAGTGGGGTGTGGAAGTCCCCCCCCCCCCCCCCACTCGCATTCGTACTACCGGTCTGTTTGAAAAGGAGTTATATCCAAAAATGGAAAGGCGTTATTTTAAAATAATAAATATATGAAAGACTGAACCAAAGCCATCCTTATTTATGCAATATTTAGATTATAGTTTTAATATTATAAATTATATTATGAATCATAGTATTTTCTATATTCCTGCACATCTCGCAGACAGCTGTTTGCATTTTGCATGCATATTGAGAGAAGTCAACACTCTAAAAATCCAGGATATAGGCAGAGCCAGCTTTGGGCTTTGCTAGCCACGTATTAAAAATTCATATCAAATTTGAAATATTTTTCTCTCCTCTTGGAAAAAAACAGTCAAACTATTTGCATAGGTATAATGAGCAATTAGCCTTCAACCAAATTTCTGAAATCCATGCACCTTGGTAGAGGCGTCTGGCATCAGAGAAGGACTAAGTTGGTTTAACACTGAAAATATTTTACACATTTAAAAATCTTTTTTCCTGGAAATCTAATTATAATCAGCCCCCAGGGTGGGCTAAGTAAGTCATGTATTGAAAAAAAGAGACGTAATAACGCCTTTTACACATGAAATAAATATAAAATATAAGTGAAAGTAACGGTTAAGCAGAACATAAACGGTCAGTTTCATAGCTAAACCAGGTTGGTTAAATCCTTATCCAGTCTGGAAGGAATAAAAACCATTTGCTAAGAACATAATCCGCTCAGGTAGAAACATTATCAAGTAACTTTTAAAACCTAAAACTGAACCTAAAACATTCAATTTGATACCTAACCAAGTCGGGCAGAAATTATGAATAAGGCAAATTAGAAACCTAATTCACTCATGCAGGAACTGCAAACAGTCAGTTTAGAATCTAACCCAGTCAGGCAGAAACATGAACAAGTCAGTTTAGAACCTAACCCAGTCAGGCAGAATCATAAACAGTCAGTTAATTAAGAACCTAACCCAGTCAGACAGAAACCTAACCCACTCAGGCAGGAACATAACACAGTCAATTTAGAATCTAACCCAGTCAGGCAGAAACTTAACCCAGTCAGGCAGAATCACAAAACAGTCAGTTTAGAACCCTACTCAGTCATGGAGAAACCTAACTCACTCAGGCAGAATCATAAAAGAGTCAGTTTAGAACCTAACCACTCAGGCAGAAACCTAAAACAATTAGACAAAATCATAAAACAGTCAGTTTAAAAGCTAACCACTCAGGCAGAATCATAAAACAGTCAGTTTAGAACCTAAGCCAGTCAGGCAGAAACCTAACCCACTCAGGCAGAATCACAAAACAGTCAGTTTAGAACCTAACCACTTAGGCAGAAACCTAACCCACTCAGGCAGAGTCATAAAACAGTCAGTTTAGAACCTAACCACTCAGGCAGGATCATAAAACAGTCAGTTTAGAACCAAACCCAGTCAGACGGAAACCTAACCCCTCAGGCAGAATCATGAAAGAGTCAGTTTAGAACCTAACCACCCAGGCAGAATCATAAAACAGTCAGTTTAGAACCTAACCCAGTCAGACAGAAATCTTACCCACTCAGGCAGAATCATAAAACAGTCAGTTTAGAACCTAACCACTCAGGCAGAATCATAAAACTGTCAGTATAGAACCTAACCCAGTCAGGCAGAAACCTAACCCACTCAGGCAGAGTCATAAAACAGTCAGTTTAGAACCTTACCACTCAGGCAGAAACCTAACCCAATCAGATAAGTAGTGACTCTGGAGTATAACATATTAAAATATATAATTGAATAAACAACTGGTTCTTTATATGCAACAATTGGTCTTGTTAAAGCTAGTTGAACACATCTCTTAAATAGGCTTAATTAAGCCATATTATATTTCTTGTTTCGTATGCAAGCACTGGAACCCACACCTGACTAATTCAACCTGATCGCTGTTGGGTGTAGTGCATGTATTTTTTGTTTACATTTTGTTTTATTGAGGGCGCATTTATGTTTATTTTATTTTGTAATGCATTGACCAGTGCAATTGACATCGAATATCTTTGGTAATTATTTTTCCTGAAGTGGCAGTGGCACACAGATGTCATTTTTGTTGCGCCTAAGTCCATCACACATGAAAGAGATGTCTGTTCAGGTAAATTCTGTAAAGCAAAATACATTCAACTCTGAACAAAGCTGAGGCTTATGAAGCAGCTAGCGAGTGACAATCTTGGATAAAACTAAATATGGTGTCAAAGATAATTCTTCCTTTTATGAATTGTGTTCAGCTTTAAGCTTAATAATCAGATATGTTTTCTGTGCTTTTTTCTATATTTTTTCTTAAATTCTCCCATATCATTCTTGAGGTGTTGATTTCTCAAAGTTCAAAGTCAAAGGACAGTAAAATTATAGACTTACTCTGTTGTCCAATCCACTCAGTATATTTGTTTTTTATATTTCACTTTATAATCACAATTCACAATCCGTGTATATAAAAAGGATCAGTTTTTTTTTAAATCACCACTTTTTTTCTTAATTTGAACTGAAAATGAACACAAGAAAATCTACAGAAGTTCATAACTTTATTGCTTTCAATCCGTTTTGTATTCTCTGTGTACATTACTAGATCATTCATCAAGTGAATTATAAAGGCCTAAAAACAATAAAAACAATGAAATTGCAGTCAAACTTTGATACCTCGGTCTCAACGGAACTGAGAAGAAACTTGGAGGAATTGAGAGACCAAGGATAAAATATAAATATAAAAAAAGTGAGTGAAACTTCCAAATCACTTTGAATTATCCATGGTATTTGAGATATCAGTGTTCAAAATGCTGAAGTTCAACTGTACTTAGAGTTCCCTTAATCCCCCAGTCAGGTTCTTAATGAAGCAAAGTATAATCTAACAAACATGTAGTAATGTGACTGAGGTT